GGAAACAACCATATTTCGTGCTAGTACTCAGTCTGGCCAGACTGGCAAGCGCAATGGTCCCCAAGTCAAAACTGGGCTGGTTGGCGAGCAAAAGGTGCCCCTCAATGTCACGTTGTTTGGTGGCACGCAGCACAAGGCGGAACTTGGGTGTTTGATCCCAAACACACATACTACTACCACGCTCAACGCTGCAAGGCACATTGACATAACATATACAATCTTAGTCAAGGCGTGGTTTGGTTCGATGCAGGCAGTTTTCATAGAGCTTCCTGTTATTGTCTCGAATTGGCCAAGGTAAGGACTTCAGTTAATATTCTATAATATATACCTAACTGAAATACAGGAGCGTGTCCGAGGAAGCCGTTAGGTACGCAATCCTCGCTGTTACGACTGATCTATACTAAAAACATGTCAGGCGTATCGGTGTCGCCCCCAGCCTTTGTACGACCCCATCAAGCACTGCATCCACGGCCCTGGCTCGCCCCCTCACCGCCAACTCACAGATTTCTGATTACAACTCCTCCGCTCAAGGGCATGGGCGCACACCCTTGACACCTCCGGTCTCATCCATCAAGTACAATACTACCCCCAACGCACACAATGGTGATATCCAGTACGACGATCTTGAAGTGGATGAGATCGGCGCTCTTCAGAGTCACCAGTCGCGTGTGCCAGGCACAATAGACCACCCAGGCTACAGCTCATCAGCGCAAATTCCCATGGGTAGCATTCAGGAGGACAGCGCTCTCGTCGTGCGCCATGTCGGTGGCTCGGGCCGTAGACGACGTGGTTCGGCTGCTGCAGGGACGCAAAACCGCCTTACAATCACTAATATCAGCGATCGTGATGCAGAAGTACGGGAGGCTGTGGAACAAGCACAGTTAGCTGCCAGACAACAACAGTCGACGACGCCGTCGATAAGGGGTCAACGTTCGTGGCTCTCCGCCGAGGAAGAAAAGAGGAAGCTGTATGAGAGTGCAAGGGCTAAGGTTGAGCAGGTCCAAGGTAGTGCTGTCATGGCCCCACAATCCAGTGAAACAGTGAGTAGATACTGGTCAACATTCAATCTTCTCCGCTAATCTTCGTTGTAGTCTTCACAACAGAAAGGTTCTCCTTCGTTCCGTGCTGCCTGGCCAACTGCAGAAGAGGAGAAAATTCGTCTGTTCGACAAAGCCCAAGCCACTGCCAAACGCACTCAAGCACTTGGTGCTTCGAGCCACAGCCGAGAGAGTTCGGAAGCTAATGGCTCGCCTGGACTCTCGAAACCTTCTGGTAGCTTCAGTGCTCTGTCAGCAGGTGCCGCCCTCTACCAGCACGCGGTATCCTCCATGAATAAGAACCCCAATACAAGCCCCAATACCAGCGCGAATGTTAGCCCCGCGCCCTCACCACCTCCTTCGACTTCCCCAAAAATTGTTCCACACTACCCGTCCGCTGAGGAAGAGAAGGCTGCCTTAAAGCGGTACCAAGAGGCCAAGCTCGCTGTCGATCGGAGCCAGAACACCCAGTATGCGACTCGCGAAGGAATCTCATCATCCTCGGCAGCACCCGTTGCTTACGATACCCTCTACCCCTCATCCAGTATTTCTCGGAGCATGTCCTACGGCGCACAGCCAAGTGGGTCTGATATGCCTCCGCCGTTTGACGGGCCGAATGGTCAGCCACAGTATCTGAATGAAAAGGAGAAGTTGAGGAGGCACCACGAGGCACAGGATGCGGCCGCCATGGCTGCACAAAGTTTTGCTGACATGTCGCCCTCATACACCGCTTCCCCATTGTACTCACCACCCGCCCAATCTTCTGCAACTAGCGCCCTGTCAGAGAAGGAACTCCTTCGGCGAAAGTTTGAGGAACAAGATGCTGTAGCACTCGCCCAGCAGCAGCCTCAGCCTCAGCCTCCTCCTCCACGGGCCGTCAATGGCTCAAGCCTCCCGCCTCCCCCTGTTGCACCTGGTGTCAGTGGCTTCAGACCACTCACAGCAGCCGAAGAAAAGGCACAGCTACGTGCCAAATACGCCGCCGAGGAACAGCAGGCTAATGGCAATGTATCCGCATCTGCGTCAGGTTTCATCCCTCACCACCGTTCGCCATCGAGTACCGCTCTCTCGCCACCGCCTCCTCCACCGCTCATGCCACGTCCGCCCGCTGAGTATATCCAGGAGACTCAGGAGGAGGATGCTCGCGTGCGGTATTACGACAACATAAGCATGGGAACTGATAATTCACCCATGCGGGTTGGGTCCCCGTCGGCGAAACCTGGGATACAGCTCGACATCCGCCCGTTCACACCATTCAGTGTTGGGCTGTATGACCCAAGCAGTCCTGCAGCACAGCGACCCCCACCACCACCTCGCTTGCCACCGCAGAATTGAGTTCTGCATTATGAATAACCATCTCATCGATTTATCTCTTGCATTTTTACTACAAGCTGTTAATGGATTTTCCTCATTCTTACGGATTGTACCACTGACAAGTCGGTCAGTGTATTTCTGTCTATCGTTACATTTTTCGAAGTATTACAGCACTACATATAACGGTAACGTTATAATAACACGGAGTGGTAGCAGTATCATTATAGCTCTACAGTGTTTCGACATTCCTTACGCACATCATGTCACCCATCCTGCTATTCATTCACCTTTTCCTTTTAGTCCTACTTCCTGCTGACGGTGTCGATTCTGTTGGACCCGAGAGTGAATCAACATCCGGTATGTCTGATTTGCGTTTGCGGCCTCGCGTGGCGTTCGCACTTTGGGTTGTTTGCATCAAAGACGTGGCCATGTCCACGCCGCCATCTTGAGAAGCAACCCCGTCAAGAAATGCATGCATCTCTTCACTTGGCACTTTCTTGTCTACGCCTGCTCCACGCGCCGTTGATGAATCCAGCTTGTCTGCCAACCTCAAGCTCTCTATATCTGGATCTTCCTCACTCTGGCCCGTATGCCCAGCCGCATCATGCGCCAGATCCATCCCGTTAAGATATGAGCCAATGTCGAAAGAATCCTGCCCCGAACCGACCCCATAGGGATCATCGAGATGCGGCTGTGCGCCGTCAGTAGCGTCAAAAGTCGACGGGTCAAAGCCAAGGCTCTGAATAAGGGAATGAATGTTTGTCTCTAGCGAGTCAACATCTGTGTTGATCTCGTGTGCGGTAGAGTAGGTCTTCTGCAGGTGATCATCGTGTGCTTCGAAAGCCGCTAGCTCAGCACCACCATTTTGCGAGAGGGCGTATGGACTAGAGTAGTCGGTCTGGAACATGGGGGGGTCGTACGGCATTAGTTGTGCTGGATTGGCGTTTGTGTGCTGCTGGGGCAACTGGGCTTGCGGCTGCGGCTGGGGTTGTGGCTGGGCAGGGAAAGGCTGCTGCATAATGGATTGTGGTATTATTCCTTGCGTGTGCCCATCTCCTGGAAACGAGAACCCACCCCCGCCAAGAGCAGCTATCAATTTCTGCATCTGCACAGGAGATGAGAGCACCTGTGATAGTGCTGCATGGATGAGGGCATCATTCTGTGGGGAAGGCGGAGGGGATGTCGTAGTTAGGGAGGTGAAAGCAGGTGCAGAGACTGAGTGATGAATCGGGGCAGGGCGAGGGAGGGCGGCATTTGGTGAGGCGGGTGGGGCGGTATTTATAGTTGATGGGTTTAGATTGATGCTATTGGCTGTAGTCGTGGTGCTGATTGGGGCGGTGTTGGGGCATGGCGTGGTATTTGCATCTGCTGAGGGAGTTGGGGCATCAGGAAGAGAGGGTTCGATGGATGCAAATCGGGGTGAAGTATTGCACGAAGGACCATATTCAGATGGGATAGCAGAAGGCGTGTCCAGAGATGCGAAAAAATCTGCAAAATCATGTAAACAGGGCGTCAATGCCGAGACATACATGCAAATGGAGGACATACCCATCTCAGAAGACTTTGCACTATCTATGCTGGTCCTCGGTTGGTCCTCCATGATCTCAGCAATGTCGACACCCTTCTTTGCACCACTCCCTCCGCCATTGCGTCCATCGCCAATCATCAACCGCTGTGGTTTCCTCGCGACGATCTCACTCCCCTCACCACCACTGACAACCCCACCTCCACCTATATCATCCTTTCGTATTGGATTGTCTGCATGACCGAACACTCCAGCAAGGAATTTGAGGATACGATTAATGGTGTCCTGGTGTTTCTTATGCCTCTCACGAGCAGCGATGGCTTCCTGCCAAAGATGTTGGTTGGAAGACTTGAGGTCGTTAAGGTCAGCAGAGATGGCGGCTTGGTGTCTTTTGATGGCTTGAATACCATTCACGATTGAGTTCATGTCCATTAATTGGCCAGGGGTCAAGGCGCCGGCAGACGCAGCTGCGCCCAGGTCTTTATTGGGAACTTCAGCGACGGCGGAGGTGACGTCAGAGGTGGATGCGGCCTGCTTCTTACGCTGGATAAGGCAGAGCATATCCGGTTGGCCACGGAGAAAATGGGGGTGCTCGAAGTTCCAGAATTCGGTATCAGATTCCGAGCGGAGTACACCTTGTTGGAGATGAGGAATTTTGTGAAAGCCGTACATGTTGAGTTGGCGGACAAATGAGGAGAAGTTCTTGTGTTTGAACCAGCGCCCTAGGACTTCGCTTGCGAAGCGCTCTTGGTCAAGGACTATGTGTGTCAAATTCGTTGAATATTGAATAGGGAAAGACTGGCGCTGGGACGTACCAAAGAAGGAGTCACCGGTGTCAGACCATCGAATGAGATCATGGTCTGAGGGGTCATTAACCATCCTATAAAGCAAGATGGTTGTAAGATATCAGGACTACAGGCATCTGTGAGATTAGATTTGACGAAGTACGCACTCATATAGTTTCTGGAGAAACGCGGGCACAAGCTGACGTGCTGGTCTGTTCAGATGCGACGAGCTAGCTCTTGGAGCTACCGCCAGATGCATTTGTTGGTCTGTACTCATATTGTAGTCGATGCAAGAGACGAGTGTGACTTTGCTTTTGACAATCACAAAGAGCCAACACGTCAAAACAGTCGAACCATAACCTTCTTCAAAGTACATACGTCACGCGCGCTTATAAACTCCCCTGCGATAATTTTACAAAACTATATACAAAAAGCGTGTATATGTCAGCAATAATGCATGCATCCTAAAAACTATATGGCTCCCGTCGTCTTATGCACTTGGGCTGTGGTCTCTTCCATTCCCCTTTGTTTGGGTCTGGCCATAAGGAACCACTGTCCCATTGAGGTTGAAGTGATGCGCCGGGAGTCGGGAAAAACCCAAACGGCCAAGTAGGCAAATAGCACATCTCCTACACGACGAGGTCAGTCATTTCGCAAACAAGTAACTTGATTGTGTTACCTCGAAATCACAGGCCGGTCGGCACTTCACCCACACGCTCCAGTCCAACCAGGAGATTAAATGCGTCACATCCTCCTTCCATTCGCCTATGAGAGTATGTATGTGATCAACTTCAGGGCGTTGTTCCGGAGGATAAAAGGCGTCGACTCCGAAATTCATTCCGGAAGCCCATATCTTCGTGACGACGCGGCATATTTCATGCGTAGTTTCCCGCACCGCCTGCAAAAGTAAGCGTTCAGAGGGCGTCAGTGATGTTCCACGATACGCTATGGATGCCGCATGCGATGTAGCACATTCCCGAAAAACTGGCGCAGCCCACGAATTTGTCCTGTTGGCGGTGACGGAGGTATTGGGAGGCAGAGCTGCAAACACAGTGTAGGGCAAAAGCACGGTACGCAACTGTCTCTGAATTTGTTGTGCGTGGTCAAAGATCGACCCATCGTTCAACGACAGGTTCAAAAGGTGCTGTATGAACTCCAGGCGGCTGGCATATCGATCGACCACCACGCGCAAGACCGTTTTCCAGTCAATGCCGCTAGTGGTCGCGGGTGGTCGTGCTAACGCTTGAGCTAGCCTGTCTTGGACGCGCTCTATATCCTCCGGTGATATTCCTGCCACTCGGTGATCCCACCGGTCCAAGCCCGCACGGCGCGGCACTAAGGAGGGAACAAGAGCGGTGTCGTAGAAAGAGACGAGTTCAGAAAAATCAAGCATAATCCGGGTTTCTCCTGGATAATTTTCGCGCCATGACGCAGAATGCACTAATTCAAAAACGTGATGCACTGATGTCCGAAAATAAATGAGACCTACGTCAAAACATGGACAAGGTCACTCACTAGTATCGGGGTCCTCTGGCAGATATCCTCGCTCGATGGCGGTACGAATGCTCTCGAGATTTAAGAATGAAATAACTTCCATGTGAGAGGTGAAGTTGCAGATCATGATTTCACTATGACCGTCATCAATAACAAATCACCAAGGAACTACGTCTGGGTTCGCACAAATTCATTTCCATCCTATGAGTCACAAATCAGCATCAGGCACTCGCGCGCACGCGTCTCAACATCCAACGAACCTCACAAAGCCGTTCACGCCATATTTCTGACCCCATTTACACAAGTCCTTTATGCGCCGCTCTTCACTCCGCACCCACTCGGGTTTCATTTCCGACCATGCCAGTAGATCTTGGGTGTCCAAAGTGCCCTCAAGGATTTTCGCAGCGCTGTTTCCGTCAAAATAGAGCACTTTCATTGGCCGAGTGACTGCAAGGGTGAGGTGCCAGCACCCTGTTTCGATTGGCCCTTGACAGAAAAGCATGGAGTGGTCTGGCTCTACAGACACCCAATCCAAGGCGGTCGGTAAATGGGGACCGGTGATAGCTCCATGGTAGAGGAGAGTGCCCACAGGAATAGTTCCTGGGACTATTGTATGACCTGCAGGACGTGAATGATGAGTCGCAAGCCATCTGATTGGAGTTTCAAACATACCAATACGATGACGGGTATTTGCCCAATGTTGAAGCAAGGAATTGGCCGTTTCAAACACTAGATGTCCTGTCGCGTTCACCCCAGGTCCTTCATCAAGGTTCCATTGTCCAAGATCACTTTCGATTCCCGGGTAAAAGGATGAAGGCGTATGACTTGACAGAGGTGTCTGTGCAGTGAGAACCCGTTTGAAGGCAAGAGAAAGCCAGACAGCTGCGGCTTTCCCTGTAAACAGCATTCTGACGGAGCGCCAAAGGCCTTTGCAAGCTTGGTTATATATTCAGTGGGCGTATCTATAAAGTTATAGTTTGATTCCGTTTATGGAACCCTTTCCGCAGCAGTACTGATGGGAGCGAACTCGATAGCGGTTGAGATAGCAGTTTTCGATGTTCATTCTTCTATAATTCATGGTTGTCTTCCAGTCATCAGATGATCGACGATAGGGAAGATGGACGCAATATTATTTCCTGAATTTCGCCCAGTTGTGCCTGCGCAGCGACAATCACGGGGTACTTAGGCTGCCATCACGGTAGTCAGAAGGAACGATCAGTTCATTCTAGGCTGAGGTACCCACGATCCGGTCGCGTTTGACTTTCAACTTGTGGAGGCTCGACTTGGTCTCGATGTCATGATTGTAGGGTCAAACTATTCTGTGACACATTCTGACATAATTACTTCAAATTTCGTATGCTATGAGCTAGATAGGGATATGTCACAGTCACACTGAGTGTGACATGATCACAGCCCAATTTACAATAGGAAGTCACACATATTGCCAGTTTCACGGTTTTTTTGATGAAAAATGGAACTTATATACTGTATACCCATGTCATTGCCTATACCCTGGCTGGTTTGTAGCATAATGGTTTTCTTGTGTTTCTTCCTCGAATAACTGGCTCAGTGAAGTACATACGTCTGCGCTTAAACACCCCTGCGATAATTTTACAAAAACTACATACAAAAACGTGTATATGTCAGCAATAGTGCATGCATCCTAAAAACTATATGGCTCCAGTCGTCTGATGCACTTGGGCTGTAGTCTCTTCCATTCCCCTTTGTTTGGGTCTGGCCATAAGGAACCACTGTCCCATTGGGCTGCACGGGTTGTTGGGAACCCAAAGGGCCAAGTAGGCAAGTAGCACATCTCCTACACGACGAGGTCAGTCATTTCGTAAAAAAATAACTCGATTTTGTTACCTCGAAACCACAGGCCGGTCGGCACTTCACCCACACGCTCCAGTCCAACCAGGAGATTAACTGCGTCACATCCTCCTTCCATTCGCCTATGAGAGTATGTATGTGATCAACTCTAGGGCGTTGTTCTGGAGGATAAAAGGCGTCGACTCCAAAATTCATTCCGGAAGCCCACATCTTCGTAACCACGCGACATATCTCATGCGTAGTTTCCCGCACCGCCTGCAGGAGCAAACGTTCGGAGGGCGTCAATGTTGTTCCACGATACGCTATGGATGCCGCCTGCGATATAGCACACTCCCGAAAAATTGGCGCAGCCCACGAATTTGTCGCGTTGGCGGTGACGGAGGTATTGGGAGGCAGAGCTGCAAACACAGTGTAGGGCAAAAGCACGGTACGCAACTGTCTCTGAATTTGTTGTGCGTGGTCAAAGATCGACTCATCGTTCAACGACAGGTTCAGAAGGTGCTGTATGAACTCCAGGCGGCTGGCATATCGATCGACCACCACGCGCAAGACTGTTTTCCAGTCAATGCCGCTGGTTATCGAGGGTGGTCGTGCTAGCGCTTGAGCTAGCCTGTCTTGGACACGTTCTATATCTTCCGGTGATATTCCTCCTACTCGATGGTCTCCCCGGTCTAAACCTACACGGCGCGGCACTAAGGAGGGAACAAGAGCGGTGTCGTAGAAAGAGACGAGTTCAGAAAAATCAAGCATAATCCGGGTTTCTCCTGGGTAATTTTCGCGCCATGAAGCACAATGCACCGATTCAAAAGCGTGACGCACTGAGTCCGAGAATAAATCGGACCTACATCAATATATGGACATGATCACTCACCAGCATCGGGGCCCACTGGCAGACCCGTATCCCCTTCGATGTAGAAGCGAGTGGTCTCGATATTTACGAACGAGACGACCTCCATGTGAGAGGTGAAGTTGCAGATCATGATTTCACTATGACCGTCGTCAATAATAAGTCACCAAGGAACTACGTATGGATTCGCACAAATTCATTTCCATCCTATGAGTCACAAATCAGCATCAGGCATTTGCGCGCACGCATCTCAACATCCAACGAACCTCACAAAGCCGTTCACGCCATGCTTCTGACCCCATTTACACAGATCCCTTATGCGCTGCCCTTCATTCCACACCCACTCGGGTTTCATTTTCGACCATGCCACGAGATCTTGAGTGTCCAAAGTGCCCTCAGGGATTTTCGCAGCGCTGTTTCCATCAAAATAGAGCACTTTCATTGGCCGAGTGACTGCAAGGGTGAGGTGCCAGCACCCTGTTTCAATTTTCCCTCTGCAGAAAAGCATGGAATGGTCTGGCTCTACAGACACCCAATTCAGGACGGTCGGTATATGGGGACCGAAGAGAGCTCCATGGTAGAGGAGAGTGCCCACGGGAATAGTCCCTGGGATTATTGTATGACCTGCAGGACATACATGATGAGTCGCAACCCATCTGGTTGGAGTTCAATATTTTCAAACATACCAATACGATGACGGGTATTTGCCCAATGTTGAAGCAAGGAATTGGCCGTTTCAAACACTAGATGTCCTGTCGCGTTCACCCCAGGTCCTTCATCAAGGTCCCATTGTCCAGGATCACTTTCGATCCCCGGGTAAAATGATGAAGGCGCGTGACTCGACAGAGGTGTCTGCGCAGTGAGAACCCGTTCAAAGGCAAGAGAAAGCCAGACGGCTGCGGCTTTCCTTGTAAACAGCATTCCGACGAAGCGCCAAGGGCCTTCGTAACTTAGCTTGGTTATATACTCAGTCAGCGCGCATCGGCGCATCAGAGGACCGGTGAGCCGCAGATATTGTTATATATGCCGATATATGATCATATATAGAAAAGGTTTTCGTTATAAAGTCATATAAAGCCATGTATAACGTCGGAAAACCACCGCGATCAACGTAAAGCACCCCGGAGAGACTCACGAGTTCTCCGATGGCCTATAGGCAATGACACGGGTATACGGCATATAAGTTTCATTTTTCATTAAACATCCCCTGAAACTGGCATGTGGCTGGCTTTTATTTGTACCTATTTGGTCTGTAAAACCGATCTTTACTTCAGCTTCGACGTTCAACGTGAGTAGAAGGGCAGTTTCAATATTCATCTATAGTTCAGGGCGATAATTGTGTTACAGCCATCCACACGTAGTATTTATACACAAACCAACCAACGTAGGAATGCAGATATGTAGAATTGGAGAATGAAAAAAAAGAAATAGCAATATTTCCTGCACTGGCCCTCTGAATCCACCACCGAGGTGCTTGCCCAAAGGGAGAAAAAGTAAGTAAGGAGCGTGACTTTGAAAGAAGCGCGACGAGGGGTATCATCGGAAAGGAATGAGTTGTAATTGTCTGGCAAATAACCTGGCGCATGGTGTGGCAGAAGAATAGATAGACAACAGAAAGGAATAATTTCATTCAGAATGCGACAAAGCAGGTCGTGAGCGGGGTCGTAAGTGTGCTTTTAATTGAAGGCGCCCATGCTGGACGGCGGTGTTTGCTGGTATACTTGGTACATATATGCCTGGTAGAGGTGCTGGGGGACATTCTGAGTATTGAAGCCTGGCTGACCCATGTTAAGGATGCCACCAGGTGCAAGATTGGGAGATTGATTGCCGTATGGGATGGCAGAAATGGGAGTGGGAGTCATGGAAGGAGGAATCGAGGGAAGTCCGCCATTACGACGAATAGTAGAGGTACGAGGGCTGCTCATGTCCGGAGAGCGAAGGGCAAAAGGATTGAAAGGATCCGAGGAAGGCGAAAACGCAGAAGGTGGCTGAGAAATACGGCCGCGTGGTGCGGGAGCTTGACCATATGCAGGATCAATGTGCAGTTGCGGGGGCCCAGACTGGGGGTTCTGCCCACCCATCTGCAACGCAGCCATCATCGAAGCCAAACCCTGATCATTCGAAGGGTAGCCTGACGGAAGGCCAGGCACTCCATAGTGATTCGGGTTTTGACCCTTCTTGCCAGGCGGACCATTAGTGGTGTACGTGGGCTGGTAGTTTGGGATGGGAAGACCAACTTCTTCAATCAGCCGGCGATACGCCTGGGTAGCGATAACCTTGAGCTCGATTAATACCCGCTTAGTGGCCTCGATATAAGTTGGCTTGTCAATAGGGTCAATGAATGGGCTAGTTAGGATCTTGTGCACAACAGCGACACCATTCACTTGATCACCCAACACGTCAGTGAGAACATGGTCCCCGGGAGACGAGAATAGCGCCTGGACGATTTGACGAGATGCTTCGAACTCGATCTTCTGGTTGACAATCCTAAGAACAGTTAAAGATGCCAATTTGTGCGTGCACAGGTGCGATAGATGAGGTGTGAAACGAGGCGCGAGAAGGTTGTACCGTGAAGGGAAAGAAGACGTGTCAAGCAACCATGTCAGCAGCAGCGCGCCGTTAGGGTTCGTCGCCAGAGGAATAGAGTTCAAGATCACGGCAGTAGCAATACGACGTTGCTGGCTCAACGTGATATGCGGGCTCTCAAGACATGCTCTCATGCTGCGTGCACCGAAACGACCTTGTGCGATCTCCCACATACGATCGACCATAGCGTCGAAGATGAAATCATTAGCAGGAGCCCCGAAGCGTAGACAACACCTAATAATTGCTCAGTTATCAATGATACCGACAAAGAAACATCGTTGCACGTACTGAACCACATAATTACCAAACTGATCAAGCAACAACGGTGGAGCATAAGCCCTCAAATTTTGTACGATGAGCCCGACCTCCTCGGGAGTCTGGACACACTCGATGATCTTCTGTGCAGCCCAAGTACCGTTCTTGTGAATGCCGATCATCGCCAGATGAGGCGTGATTCTCTCAAGCATCGCGAACCGTGGCACAGAAGAGCACTTTTCAAACAGCTTTTGTACGACCTGCAGCACACCCAGGTAAGCCACAGCAACCGAACTCGGCGTGGGGATACCCACCGTGTTGCCCAGCCAGTCCGAGGCCAAGTCGACAATCTCGCCATCCAAAAAGTCACCAGCAACTTGATCAGTTTCCTCCACGGTCATTGTCCCAGAATCCAGCCTTTTCCGGAGTTCACGCAATTTTGAAGCATCCCAGCGCCTGTTGTTAGGTCTCTCAGAAACGAGTGGAATCGTTGTGTAATACATCGTCGGGGGGCGGAACTCTGCGAACCCCGTGTCAGAAGCCCTCTGACATCAGTGGCCGAAAAACACGTACCAGACAACGACTGAATATCAAAATCAGCATCAGGGCTACCGGCCGTCAACTCTTTCATGATCATCTGCTGCTCCGTGACCGACGGCAACCAGCCAGCAGGCTTCGACAAACCATCAGAAACATACGCGATATTATGCATGCCAGAGCCAATCATGCTAAGCAAGAGATTCGAGCGATAGTTCTCCACCTGACCACCAAGCACTTGCTGATCTGCTGGAATAGTGGACGCGCCCTTCACGCTGCGAAGAGCATGGATAGTGGCTCCGACGCTCAAATCACCAATACCCTGCACTGCAACGCTGGGACTGTCATCTTGCGTTCCGTTTCCTTCTTGACCATTCTTGACAGGGACCTTGGCAAAGCCGATACGAATTGCACCAACGTCGCTGCCAAGGACATCACGACCATTCAAGGCCTTCCTGGCACGCACAGCGTCATCCAGACGTTCAAAGTTAACTACCCAGATGATTAATATCAAAACACTTCACGAGACTTAACACTCACTGAATCCACAATTTTTATGCGTCAATACCCTCGCGGATTCGATAGGTCCATAAGGACTGAAAACGCTCAAGATCGTCGCAGGTGTCGTAGTGCTCGGAATAGACCCAATCCACAACGCACGAGTAGGCGTAGATTGCAGCTGCGCGTCCAATCCACCAAGGCCAGGGCTGCTGGTCTTGCTCAAGCCACTAGGAGACGTAGCACCAGAGTTTGTAACAGTCGTGCCCTTGGCAGGGGCAACAGGAGCACTGTCCGCCTTCCCAAAGCCAATGCGTACGGTCTGCCCGTTCGGCATACCGATGTTCCCACCTAGACGGTTGAGCACATCGTCTTTGGCTCGAATAGCATCCGCTTGATCAACAAAATTAACAAAACCGCACTCCTGGAACCAATCAAAACATCAGTATCTCCTCGTCCAAACAATCTCAATCACGTACCTTTTCCGGCAAAAGCCTTAAACTCTCAATAGCACCATACGGCGCAAACACATGAATAAGCTGCTCGCTCGTGACAGCGCTATCCAAATTCCCAATCCACAACGACCGCGTAGGGGTCTGGATCTGCGAGTTATTATTCGCCTCGGTCTTGGGGGACACGGCCCTTCCCTGCGAATTGGGTGCAGCGAGATACGACGACGCACGACTCAACTCGCCATTAGGGAAATGCACTGTCGGTGAAGACGTCCCACGCGCACTCGACATCTTCGCATCGCTCTTCAAAATACCAGCCGGATTAGACAGATTTGCAAGACTCCCACTCGCAGCCGCAAGATCGTTGAGATAGGGGGATTGAGCTTCACTAGTCGTGGCACGGCGCTGAAGGGTACGAATGGGATCATCAAGCGTTCCTACAGAAATTGCTCTGGGTCGGGATGAGAGAGCGCTCGCAGGCGTTAGATGGTCGCCCTGCTTGAACCCCTTCGCCACGTATGACGAGTGAAAGAGACTAGCGTCTGACATGGAGCCATCGTAAAGACCCAACCGTTGACGTTCGTACGGTTGAGTATCATGCCCATCAAAGTACTCCTCTTCCTCCTCCGCATTAGGGGTGGCGAGGAGAGACGAAGCGCCGGACGAGCGCGTACGATACGGGTTTGAAACCGTACTGGCCCTCAAGCGTGGTGGATTAGCGAGGTTCCCGGCGATAGCGGCCTGCGCTTGAGTCCGTAGCTCAGATATAGTAGCAGCAGGTGGTGGTCGGAGACTATCATCCAAGCCAAGGTAATCCAAGGTATGAACATCAAAATCATCGACCGAATCTGCGGACGTAACGGAGCGTAACTCATCCAGAACAGGAAAGTTGGATCCCGATCCATTGGCGGAGGATAACCATGACGATGAGAAGATAGACGGGCCGAATGCGTTGGAGAGACCGGCGGAAGGCAGCGTTAATGAACCTGACCTCAAGCGACTGTTGCGCTCGGAGCCGACAGATGTGGGAGCTGCCTGTGGAGCCGCTACAGTTGTGGTATGCCGAATGCTAGGACGCGGGGGTACGAGAATGCTAGGAGGCGTATTAGCGGCCTGCCTCTGTTGCAACTGTTCGGCAAACGATTCCGTCGAAGGAGCAGCACTGCTCAGAGTATTAGATGCAGCAGCGAAGCGCTGTGCAGCGAGATGGACATCAGAAGGCAGCGTTCCGGCTCGCGCTCTCCTAAAACCTGGTGGATAATTAGAAGGAGATGTGGTAGAATCATCACTGGGGGAAGCGACGGTGAAGTCGTTCGGGGGAGAACCGCTCGGAGGAAGAGCGCGCAGCGCAGGTGGCCTATATCTAGCACCGTTCAGCCGTTCTTCCGCCTGGATCTCCCGTGCCCTGTTCACAAGCGTGGTAAACGAAGCAGATCGGCTAAAAAAGCTAGGAAAAATGAGACGTACCTCTTTGCATAAGCAGCAGAAGGAGCTGGAGGAGGGGTCTTTCCCGAGGAGACTCGTGAATAGGAGCCATTGTTGTCAGAGGCAGATAAAGACATTATAGGGCTTATTTTGGTGGAATTAGGATTAGCGTTGGGTGGATGGGATGATTAACGGACGACTGGTCCGTTGTTTTTGTCGTGCAAATGATAAGACTTGATGCCCAAGCTGGACCTATGATTGAGATGCGAGCCTAGACGAGCAGGGTCGTTTCGTTCGTTTTCGCGGTGGCAGTCGCGAAGCGGGTCGAGACGTGAATTAGCCTGTCACAAAAAAAAGAACGGAATAGAAAAAGCCAAAAAAAAAAGAGTTAAAGCAAGGATATTGGATTGGACAGTCAGTCCAGAGAGGATGTACTTTAGAAAGCCTGGCGACTGGGACCAGAGAAATATGCAAGTACTAAGTAAGATGATGCTACAAATTCAGTGGTTGGGAGAAACCTTGAAAGAAATCCCACTCTAGCTTTTCACACTCCGCTATTCTTCCCATCATGAACTTACGAATAATTTCATTGTGTTACGCCCAAGATTCTTGTTCGTCCACCGCATCAGAAAAGAAACTAGTAAATAATATCCGAGTACTGCCTCAAGCGCAGTTTACTATCTGGAACACGTTGATTGGTGATTGATCATCATGATTTGTTTAAACGCTTCCTGATTACTGTATGTGTACCACAAGCGAGTAAACTATGAGTGGGGGCTGTGAGCTATAACATACAAACGAAAGCCGTCGCAAGACAAAAAATGGAGGACGAATGTGTATGATGCAATCGACCCCATGCTCGCAAAAAAGTAAAAGGGCGAGCGAAAGGGTTGACTGGTGAACCTAGAATACTTGGCGCATCTTTGCGCAAAGAGGTATATGAGAGAGACGGGTCGATAACTGATACAGCTCTAACGAACGAAGCTAGCAAAAAAGCAACAAAAAATCAGTCCAGAACGAAGACCTGCAAGCAAGCAGTCAAGCAAAAGAGGGGGGCTTGAGACCTGATGGACCTTGCAGTGATGAAAATGAGTCGAGCAAATGCATGTCAAAGCAGTTCGACTGTCGGTCGAGTGATGCAGTGATGACCGAGAGTTGATGGAGTAGCAAACATGATGGTGGAGTTTCGGACCCCGATCGAACCTCACGCATGTCTCGGCCCCCTCATCCGGGGCCGCACACCCCGCGTGCGAGCAACAGCATCCGCAACCCGTTTCGACCGCCTCAACGAACGGCCATCTTTCAAACTCCTCGGCCCCTCTTCCACGATCTCCACGTCCACGTCAGCATCAGCGTCAGCGTCCGTGTCTTTATCGCATTGGTGGCCTGCGTTGTCATCACGCTCCCCGTCCGCGTCTTCATCACGTTCACCGGCGTCTTCATCCCGAGCATCCATAAACACATCACCCTTTGCATAACCCTCGCCCTCCTCCCAATCAGGATACATGCACAACACCCGAAACATCTCCGCCTCCGTAGGACTCAGCGGTGGCTCTCCGCTTCCAATCCCATGACCATTTCCGAGATCGGCACTTCCCGGTCCAAAATCAGTGCGTCCAACTTTGAGACCGGTGCTTCCACTTCCAATGCTGGTGTGTCCGCCCCCCAAACTAGCTCGTGGACTCCCAAAGTCAACACTACTCCCGAGGACGCTCCCCCTCCCAAAATCAATCTCACTCCCGAGACATGCACTCCCACTTCCAGAACTAGTACTTGGTCCTAACCCCGACGCAAGCACTGCCAGCGCAATATCAAATGCAGGAAGCACAGGTTCTGCTTCGACTTCTGCTTCTGGCTCGGCGTCTTCAGTAAGACTCCATACCTCGTGGGCATTAGGTATAGGCCTGGGAAGTACGGGGCTGGTGGATGCGGGCAATGACGACGGCAATAGCGGCGAAGCTGAATGTGAATGTGACTCCAAAGATGATGAATGTGGATGCGATTGCGAAGAAGACGGCAGGGGATACGGTTCGGCCCGTGACGAAGGCGCAGAGGGCAAAGTTGATTGAGGTGGAGATAACACAGACGACGCCCGTGCCGACACCAACGACGAAGAAGACGACGATCCCTGACCCACAACCCTCCCGCCCTCAAAACACACCCCAAACTGCCCCAACATCCTCCCAGGTTTACTCGTCCTCCAGAAATCCCTCAAGGCGCTCGGGAACCGCATCACAAGCTCGTCGCTTAGGAATACCTCTACGCTTGTTCTTAGCGTCTCGTCTTGAGAGTAAGGCTGTCCTGTGCGTTGAGTACCCGCCTGAATACTGGTCCTCAAAAATTCCCTCGCACAATCCAACGACACCCACACCCCTGCCACGGCCAAATTCGGATGCTCAAACTGCACAGCGCTCGGCGGAAGAACTGGGACCGCAGTAGCACAAGGTGATGGCGATGGTGAAAACGCAGCAAGCAAGGGTGTAAGGTTTACGAAATCAGTGTCTAGCCTCCTCAAAAGCGTGCGCGTCGTGCGGGGTGCGTAAAGAGGCAGCGTAGTTTGATACACCGGTATTCCTGGAACTCAATTAATGCCCGATACAGACCACAGACAGAGAAGAATCGAGACGAAATGAAATGCGACTTACCTTCGACCTGTGTAGCGCTAACAGGTGGATCGCACGGTACGCACGTGTGGACTACTACTACTTGATCTTTGCGTTCAGGGAGAGGCTCGGGATCAGTCATTTGGCAGTCTTCACCTGGTGATAATGAAGTGTTAGGTGCAGGTGATACGAATCGTGTCCGCCGAGTTCCCTTTTCCCATTCTAGCTCGAGCTCGGTAATGTGGACACTATCAGGACCAAGCAGTTCTGCATCTTGCCAGTCCAGCACGCTGTTCTTGCGTTCCAGGGACGGTTTCCTTGAATGTGTGGGCCGAAGAGGGGAAATATTGACCCTTGGAGACCCAGGTAGTGCCGATGAATGATGGAACATAAACCCCGTGCTCGAACCCGGGGATGTTGGAGAAGGAGTGAGTGGCGACATAGGAGAGAGTGGAAACCCACTCCATGGCACACTCGTAGGCGACAACGACAGCCCATTCGGCGCCTCTGGAGCATCTTCCTTCTTGACTTCAATCTCCCCACACGCACCCGCCCAGCCACTATCAAACTCCCATTCCCACATCTCAAGTTCCTCAACCTTGACCTCTGGAGCGACTGCATGGCGACTTTCGTTTTCCCGCGCCACCGAAGCGAACCCAGACTCTGGGGATGAATATGACCGCGCACGATTGAGATCTAGGTCCTCCCAAGCATCTAGCATGTCTCTCACGTTGTGACTTGTGCCAAGACCATTATCTTCTCCTTCGTCTTCTACTTTCACGCTCACACCTCGAGATTCCTCTTCATCGCTTGAGAAATCGAAGTCGATATCCTCCTCGTGATCAGAATCTGGCGGAGGTGATGCGCTTCCTCTGGATTGGTCGATGGGTGGCGGGGGAAAGATGTATTGAAGGGAGGGAGGGGATATGGGGGTGTAACATGGGACTGCGATTGATCTGCGAGGATAGGGTGGGAGGCAAAATGGTTCTGGACTGATATCGGGCTCTGCTGGGGACATGTCGATGTCATCGTCAGAGGAAGTATCATGGGAGAGATCAATGATGTCTGTGGGATCTGTGGTAGTGGGAGAGGGACGGAGACGTAAGGTGAGTTTGACTTTTGGAGGTCTTTCAGGTTCGTCTTCTTCTTCGTCAGAAGAACTGGAGGCACTCTCTGCATAACCGCTATCTACAGGACTGGAGCTGGGCGGTGGACTGGCGCTCTCTGAGAGTCTGTCAGTGGCACGACAGCGTCTTGAAATGAGTCTTTTGCGTTTCTCTCCGCACTTTTCCATTGAACTGTGAGATTGCTTTCGAGGCTTTGTATTGGAATTGGAAGCGGGATAATTTGAAAGGAGAATACCAGCACGAGAAAAAGGGCAGGAGACGCCACTAGCTTTTGAAAGATACCATACGATTGTGCCACGACGAAAGTTTGTACGGCGACCAGTAGGAATGTTCTGATTGGGACACGTGGTGTCGAGTGGTTGCCTTTGTAGGGGTGCGCCTCCTACGCGGGAATGCAGTGCAGGAACGAGATCGTCGTCAGCGGGTGTGCCAGAGAGGGTATGTCGAAGAAGAAGAGGGTGATCTTGTTGAGCCTCGCATCTCGAGAGATGATTTCGGATGTAAGTAGTTATTGCTTGCGACGCAGCAGAAACACTAGGGTGTTGTGAGCAGGGTGAAGAGAGGAAAGAAAGGAGAACATACTTCTGACACACGAGGCCGAAGTTTAGAGTCATTTCCGCAAGGTCCTTGATCGTCATAGCACGATTGTCCTAGAGATACACGCGTGAAGGTATGAATGGGAACGAGGAAAGGGACTCACCACGCTGAGGAAGCAACGACCGATAGCATGAAATACCTTGCTGGTGGCGTCTTCTGGGTGTAGCATGACATTTGGTAGTGGAAATATTGGAAATTGAGATTGGTTTTGAGTTGATTCTGTTTGTGTTGGATGTGGTACTGGTTTTATACGCCTTGGTTGTGGTGATTGACGAAGACGAGCGCTCGGTTTAAGGATTGAATTGTTCCTTATTCTTGTACCGTAATTGTGTGAATGTGAAGTATCAGACATTATAAAACATTAGTTGTTGAGTTCGTTAAGTCGACCAGCGAAGGAAAGGCCTTAGTGAGTGAATGGATGGGTGATGGTGGTAAGAGGAAGAGAAGCGTTACACACCAAAAAAACCAGATTACTGCGTATCCCCCCGATCAAAATAACGTAACCCCTTTTTTATCATATAAAATAAACTTTAATTTTACACAATGCCGTCATGGACAAAACTAATTTAATATTTGATTTTTTTTTCTCCCTTTGTCAGCATGCCTATTGTGTCTCACCAGAGCGCTTCTCTCAAACTCCGGATAGTTCGCTTCTTGGCACCCCCCTTATCAGTCTCACGTCCCCAGTATCTTGCCGCTCGTCCATTTGTATATCAGTTTGCGCCGTAACCACGCCAACTTTCGTAATAGTGAACCTCCCGAATGACTCTTTCCAAAGATCGGTACCCTCCACGTAAGGTGAATTCTTTCCCATCATGCGTTTGGTGAACCGTGAATGCGTTGATCGATGCCTTGATGTGTAGCGCGTGTAAGGAAATGTCTGCTATTCTCACGACCCCAGCACTTTAGCTTGCTGCGCTGTCTTTTCGGTGATATCCTGAATGATATGGACTCGGATGGGATCGCCAAGCCGTACTACACCCGTGCGCCACTCTGAAGGCGACTTTGTTCAATTGACACCGTTTTCAATGCCAGGTCATGATTGGGAACGGAACAAAGGCTGTCTGTATGATAGTCTAGACCAGATCTGCTAGTCCCTCTACTGTGCAGCTCTCAAAGATCCCCAAAGTAGATATCGATACGCATACGAGCTAGTCTCCCAATGGAAGCAAGTCGTTGATGATGATAGAAGGAACAACTGACTTCCGTGATCTGCCTACGGAAGACTAATATAAAAACAAACCTAAAATTTATCAAATCAATTCTTAGTACATAGAGCGGAACAACCCAGGATCCCTCCCTTTTGACGCAGTTGTATTGTCGCTGTAACCAAAAGTCATGGTCTTGTACCACAGCTAGAACCCCATTGTAAAGTCTAAACGCCACCAGCAGTTACGCCACTGATGGCCCTGCTTCAGAGGTCCGCGAGCCCGAGACTCAACGCTATGAATCAAGAAAGAACACCTTCCCTAATTGATCGGGCGCAACAGGCTCGAGGTGACTTTCAGCACGTGTCGTGTTTGCTCGTGTCATGACTGGGACAAAGGCTGCGGACTAGTTATACTGATGCCCTGTAGGCTGGATACTATATATAAGACATGAGAACCATGTGCTGCGGCACTTGCAAAATGTGGTTCTCATGAAAGGACATTACAAGCAAAGATCCAAATGAAAGCGCAAAGCTAAAAAAAAAAAAAAACTCCAGATGCAGTCATTCTCACAGGATGTTTACGCCACAACCCTTTCAAAACAACGGCGAAGACGCTCGCAGAAGAACGTAACAAGTTGTGAGAATCCACCAAAACCTACACACATGCTATCTTCTCGAACAACAAGCGAAACTACTGTTACTGAGAAATTAGGACATCACCAAGATACGTTCGTTGTTATGAATCCGCTCCCATGCTTCGTCCCCCAGATTACACGACGGAACTCAAAAATATGACATGTTCGGGTCGTAATCCATTTCGTCCTGAGCAGGTGAACCTTGCCTTAGCTAACCGCAAATGGAACAATGACCAAAGACAAACCTTGAATTTGCATGTGTCGGAACTAGTTTGATGCGAAGGTTGGGTTATAATTGGTCTCAAGGCAGGTGTGGATGAGTCACTTGAAAAACAGGACCGTCATCAGTCAGGTTGAAGTTGGACGCTTTTTGTCCTTCCACCGTATCGAAGACCTAGCCTCAAGCCACATAGAACGCTCATACCCTGCACCACTGTGCGGGAATACATTGTTGTTGGATCTACATTATTGTCCTCGGGAAGAGGTGAGTTACTCACGTCCACTTCGATATTGGGCCACTTTAAATACTGGGCATGGCCAAAGCACAACGACAACTACCTGGTGGTCGACCGGTATTGGAAGAATATGTGGCGGAACGGTCAGAGTCGTAGATGCTCTGGCGATAATTGGGCTTTGAGACATTTTTTCCAAATTCGAGTGAAGACTCCGCACGGACCTGCCATATTTTTCGATTGTCAGCGGTTGTTGACAGCGTGGTAGGTTTGGTGGTGCAAAGTGATGGCTACTCTCTTTCGACTTGACAGGTACGAGTATAGAATTCTTTGTGTGCAGGCTTCATGAGCTTACTTGTCCTGAATTCCGACCAACGCTGTGCGAAGAATATTTTTTCGTAAGAATCATACGGCACAGTCGTTGAATTGGACGCACCACTGGAGTTTGCATGATCAATACTGCAGACCATGCAGGTTATGAGCCTCGTATTATGCGAATACAGAACGAGTATACTGGTGTGCACTTGGGGATTTCAAGTTTGTCCAGTGATCAGCGATGGTATACGTGTCGACGTGTCGATTAGCTCGCTGGCCGCCTCGACGAGCCGGAGGCGGATGAACACATCAGTCTAATGACTGTCCTTCTACCGGTTTATCCATATACTGATATTGCCTATACCATGGAGAAAGAAGATCATTAGAAGGAGCTTCGACGGCTGTTTGAAATGAAGGAATCCCATAGTCACGTGAAGTCGCGACACGCTCACCGGCGAGGACGGCGCCATCATCTCTTATATACATGATCCCATCACCCCGAACATAAAAAAGATCTGCGTGGCCATAAAATAAAGGTTACATGCTCGCACGGCTGATGAGCACATATAAGGAATGAAAGCCATGCTGCAGCTGTGTGAATGAGGCGGCGCCACAGCCCCAGGTAAGCAATATGTCTCCGCTCAAAGGATAGTTATGTAAATGTTTGGTAGATGTCCCTATTCTTAGACGGCGAAAATGCGCATCTGGTTACTGCGCATGCCTGATAATCATGCGCTGGCATTGCAGAGTACTCCAGCAGTCACTGCGATAGCTATCTAGTCGAAGTAGTAGTCCAGGATGTTTTGGAGGTATGTTGTATGCTTTGTCTTACCGTCACTAGCAGCACAGGTCCCGTTGGGCTTATCGCCTGATGGCAAGCCGTCACTGGAACTCGGAACTTCTACAATAACTCAACCATATAACTCTCTTGACTCGGATGATAGCCTCGACCTTTCATCTTGGCGGCTTGACGAGCCACCTCCTGCTAACGAAACAGGGCACTTTGTTTTCGAAACTGTAAATTCGCTGCTCCAGCATTGGCCGAACACACGCTATCGAAATGGTCAGTCCTTATCTTAACATTGGCACTGACGAATGTCTGACACATTGTTATTGCCGCGATCTACTAGGCCATACAATGGTTCCCGGTGTAATTCCCAAAGGCACCTTGTTGTATCATGGAGCTGTCAATAACACAATCCCTACGGTTCCCGAATGGACAGCCACAGATCCAGAACACTCCATCCTCTTCTGCAATGGCTCTCCCGATACAGGATGTTGGCACTTGACACTTGCAGCAACTCGTCCCCTCAAAATCCTCTACTTTGATGGGACTAGCGCAGCTAATACCCTAATTGGCCCTCTTGATACTCAGGATATCATTGCATGGGGAGAATTGAGACCTGACTGGCGGTTTAAGGAGGACCAGCGCCTCGTGGACTTGTGTAAATGGGGAGCAGAGTACGCTGTCGATGGTTATGTTCGGTAAGCCAATTTATCTAGCATCATCTCATCACGTATCGACCTCTTTTACAGAATGGAAATGGACTTGTATGTTCTTAAATTTCGCTTTGTGCTCCCCAACTGATCGATTTGCTTAAGTGAAGTCATGCTCTGTGACTTTACAGCTGGCCTGGAAGTCGTCTCCTGGTCTCACCTTGCTAGCATCGCCGAACCGGTATCTGCAGTCCCAAGAATACCTAATTTTATCAGCAAGTCTCTGTGGTTTTTGCCTTCCTTGTGTCTTCCTAATGTATATTTCTAGTGCTACGCATGTTCGAAGTGATGCACGCAGGGTCGTGGCACAATCGATACCCCGGGGATACACGAATAACCCTTGATCTGACTGGAATCGTCTCACTGTACGACACCACCCTCGCACCGTCACTCGTTAGCTCACGCGACGGCCAGGAACGATGCGACCACGACATGAAAGCTATATCTTCTGCGGATATCAAGGCGGTCAGGCGTAGCGTCTCTCGCATATTAGAGCGAGATCAGGGTGACACTAGTGGCATCGACTGGAAAACCCTTTTCAGAGTTATAATGGAACGTTACTCGGAGCGATTCGAGTTGATCGACTACCTTCTCAACTCAGAAAATGACTCAATCGTGGACCCAGCACTGCAGGTACATGTTCAGTTGCGCGTGATGCTCACACCATACATTTTCCACTCTACTGTGCCCCCCAGCGCATCGCATGACTCATCTAATTCCTGGGCAACACCAGTGTTCAAAGCATGCGGGACCGCGCACACATCGTCAATCCTATCATACATCTCGAGCCTGAACCCCTCAGAACGCCTTTTGTTGCATGCAGTACAAATGACTTCGCGTGAAATATGTCGCGTTGTTACAAAGATGTGGGTGTCCGGCGTCCTCGCAGGACTTGATGTATATCTCCCCCGTGACTCCACTCCGGACGCTGAGCAAATGGCTCGCCTGATGAGTTCGTGGAGGCAAGAATTAAATGTTTTGATGACATGGCTAGATTGGAGCGTGTGGGTTAAGTGTCACCCAGCTTGTGCGCCCGAGGTAAATGTCTTGATATTATGTGTTGCTTATATACATCTTACGCCTTCCTTAGGAAATGTGTTACCTTCCTTCCTGGCCCATCAATACGCCAAGGGGTCGGCGGCCACACCATCCTCCCTATCATGGACAATCTGAGAGCAGTGATATTATCAATATAGACAGCTTACCTCTCAGGGACAGGCTACTCATGCAACTGGCGAGTCCGCAGGATGATGACTGGAAGAAGCCAAAGCCAAAGTGCATCAGACGAATTGCGCCATATAGTTTCTAGATTTTTATTTGAAACTAGTATTTACTAATGTCGCCCTCCCGGTGATGACCGGAGACTTCTTGGATACGCACAGCTACTATTCACGTCCTTTCTTGCTAGTTTCCTCGCGCGGCCATTACTGCCGCACTCTCATCTAGACAGCATGTGGCCATACTGTCATGTGTATATTACCCGATTGTGTATACCATCTCTCATGTGCCGCACAGCGTTGCGTCCTGTCCTGAGCCGTCCGATGCACGTATCAAATCATCAACTTCCTTGATGGTGGAGTAACACATCGACTGTCTCGCTCAGCATCAATCATTTTTTCTGCAGAAACGCGTGGATCTTTGTTTACAATCGAGACCGATCCATCAAAGAATATAGTAAGGAAGAGATGGAAACCTCAATTCCTGCGGGTGCTATGGAAGGTGATTATCCGGTAGTGAAGGCACGACGAAAGCATATGGAGGCAGGCAGAAAGCGGTGGTTTATACCACATCTTTGCCACCGCTGGTGCTACCTGAGTCAAACCATGCCTGGGGGTGTTGTTCTTCAGACGACAGAAGCACTACGCAAAGATACTTTGCTCCTGCAAGGTCATACACGGCAAATATTCCGGATGCCCATGCTACTTTCCGAGCATGAAATGAGGATACGGCTCGACAGGAAACTCATCTCCTACGAGTCATTTGTTCAAGCGCAAGTTGATTTTAGAATCGGCGCGATTATTCCCCCCTCGGAAGTGCGGACCGTAGGCGAGCCCTCCTGACATCCAAAGTTCATCTGCTGGCTCTATCTGTTTTTCCAGTGAGCCAATTGCAGCATACATAAATTTGCGTGGAACACGTCAAGTAATCCTTGAGTTTGTATAAGAGACTCCTGACCTCTTCTGACATTTCCCAACACAAGTTGTCCGCTACCATGTCGCTCACAGTGAGTCGTAAACACATCATATTAATATGAACATCACAGCTGAGACATTCGAGGTTGAATCGGTTACTACCCAAGAAGAAGCATGCCGCCTCCGCTCGTTCGACAGTAATGTCGCCTGGGAGATCGGGCACATCATCCGCGCCAATGTCCAAAAAAAGTTTACCCGCCCCGTCGTCATCTATATCGCGCACGCGAACTCATCCCAGCTCCTCTTCTTCGCCACCTCAGGACCTGGTACACTTCCCGACAATATGCACTGGGTGAAGCGCAAGGAGGCAGTGGTGCTCCGTTGGGGATGCTCAACGATGCGCATGAGATTATCGCTGCAGACCAAAACAAAGACACTCCAAGAAGTATATGAAATGAGCGATCCAAGTATATATGCGGTGCACGGCGGAGGTTTTCCGGTGAAGGTAGAGGGCGTAGAGGGGGTCGTGGGAGTGATAGTGGTTAGTGGTCTCACGCAGGAAGACGACCATAGTGTCATTGTGGAGGGTATCCAAGAATACCTTGCGAAGAATCCTTGAGAAATCGGCCGGTAAGTCGTACACCATCGGTGACCGTGTCCCATCGACAAGGTGGTTGTTCAGAATGAAAGAGATATGTCGAGGATGTGGAACTATGATAACTATGATTTAGTTCTGACCTGAATGCAAAAGTATAGGTCGGATGCGTTCGGCGTTCTGGGGTGTGCGCAAGCTGAATAGTGATCTGATTCGTCCCCAAAGTGCATGGCGATCTCGCGTCCCGCTCAACGATGCACTACGATTGGAGCGAACGCTCAATGCCTTTATAGATAATTTGTGTCTTTTTCGAGGTCCAGTATCCTGCATGTCGAAGATGTCAGTTCGGTAAGGCTTCAAAATCACCATGTAAACAAACTGACGTTCGCCACAGAAGTTCCTGAATATACTGTGTCGGCGGGCGACGATTGATCTATTCCAAGCAGTTCCCCACTGTTAACATCGCCCTTCTGTGTGTGATCCGTAAGAGTCGCTTCTAAGACAGAAGTTTGTTCCGCGTCATCCAGCTCTCTAGGGCTCAGAGGAAGATGATCTCCTTGCGGCACATCGGAAATAGGAGACACTAATACTTCATCGTGATCGGCGTGTGGGGAGTTGGGGGAGGCAAGGCTATCATCTTCACAACTGTGAAGTGAGACTACAAAAGATGACCAATCTGAAAAAGAATAGCAGCCAAAACCGAGGCTGGGACGTCGAAGCACCTTGAGCATATTTAACATACATGTTCGTTAAGAAGACAGAAGATCAGACCTCGCTGAATGCTCCGAGCTCTGTATTGGAGAGATTTGGTGCTGCGATGAGCTCACCGACGTCCTCGATAAATGACTCTTCGAGATGAACCGAAGATGATGGATCAGTGATGGGATCTGGGTTGACCAGCTGAAGTTTCAATGACACGCTAGCCTGGTATATGGAAGGTTCTCCATTCCTCCCTCGTACGTGCACATGTCTCAAATTTTGTGAGACGACTAGAAAACTGTGAGTGAATGTTTATGATGACTTATGAGGGCCGCAGGACCTTTTGTTTCTGTTGATGTAGGTAACTGCACGTGGTCACGAGATGATGCAATCGGCACGTCCTTGGAGAGCCAACTCAGCATGCTGCACGATAACAAAGTATGTTTTGCTATCAAGTCAATGCATATAGACCAATCCTCCCTCACTAAGCTATTGAAGAGGGGATTGTTGAACTATGATCACCCACACGATAGGTAATGTCGCTTACAATTCAAATGACTCATTCCAGGCGTACTTTCCGGGGGTGGAGACTTGAGTTCGCTTGCGAACAGTGTCAACGCCGACCTGCACGTAGCATTTATAAGGCCCAGGTGGAAATTCAGGATTGTCTGGTTCTATGGAAACGCTGATATCTATGCGGCACGGTGAGCATCCTGCGGAATGTATCATTGCGATTTACTTGCCAGAAACCTGGATGTGGTAGTAGAGTTTCCGCCTTCCACCACACGATCGCATTGGGAGAGAATCCATCTATAGAATGCGGCAGCAACTGGTTATACACTAGGGTAGAACAGTTGTTGAGGGACGAGGAGTCACATCTTGGTCAGACGGTATGTAGTATGTCCCGTGAGCACGCACAGCAATGGTTTGATGCCTTCCCAGGGTCGTTCGTAGAACAAGTACTGCCAATGTTTGGAAAAAAGTTACACATAAATTTTGGCAACGTTCGGAAAGTGATCCTGATTAAAATCCATCTTCAACAGAATCAGTAAGTCGATTCATTGGCAGAACGGGTAGTAGGATAACGTTGTGTGCCTCACAGCAACTGCCCTAATGAGATCCGCACAAATACATGTCAACACAACGCGCGTCCGTACAGTGCACGCGGTCATGATTCATGAAGGTCTTTAGCCTTAGCACTTTAGATCATGGTGGCATCAACAAGTGAGCAGGTGAGTCGTAATGTTGAGCACGTTGAATATTGTGATACTCATTCAATTTGCAGTTAACAGCACTTGCTGGAACAACAGTTGGTGAGCAATCACTCGTTCGAAAACCCCCCGCATATACTTAACACCTCCAGTTGTTCACCCATTGGTCCTACTCTCTGTTACTGATCACCATGCGCGCACGGTTTCGCGTACCTCATCAAAGCGTGTTGTCGGCGTTCTTTTGGGCCAGGACAACGGTAAGACCGTTAACGTTGCCAATTCATTTGGAATCCCGTTCGAGGAGGATGAAAGAGATAGCAAGACGTGGTTCCTAGACCATAACTATATTGAGGGGATGTACGATATGTTCAAGAAAGTCAACGGTGCGTTCCTCTTTACCTGAGCAACCATCATAGATGCTATGTGAAATTGCAGCAAAGGAGCGGATGATCGGGTGGTACCACACGGGGCCAAAACTACGAGCTTCGGACCAGGAAATTAATGATCTTTTTAAACGGTACATTGCGAAACCAGTTATGGTTATCGTTGATGTACGACCGCAGGCCGTCGGAATCCCGACGGATGCATACTTTGCAGTAGAAGAAATCAAAGACGTATGCTCTTCCTCCTTTGCTATCTATGCTTGTACTGATTTTATGGCTCCAGGACGGCACAGAAACACGGAAAACATTCCTTCACGTCCCTTCTGCAATTGAGGCTGAGGAAGCTGAGGAGATCGGTGTTGAACATCTCCTACGCGATATCAAAGACTCAACCACCACCACCCTCTCAACACGCGTTTCTGAACAACTCGCATCACTTCAAGGTCTTCAATCCCGACTACGAGATGTGCACAAGTATCTGCTAGATGTTGCAGCTGGTACGATGCCAGTCAATCACCAAATTATTTACCACCTGCAAGACGCACTCAACCTACTTCCTGACTTGAGCAATCCGGTGACAACACAGAGCTTCGCATCGAGCACAAATGATCAACTACTCGTGGTGTATCTGAGTAGTCTTCTACGTGCTGTCATCGCGTTACATGCTCTGGTGGACAACAAGGCCACGATAGGGCGAGCAGAGCAAGAAGAAGGCATAGATGAGAAAGACAAGGACAAAAAGACAGTCAACGGCGACTCTAAAAAGTCGGAGGATGCCAAGAAGGATGCAGAAAAGGGAAAGGACTCGAGTAAGAAGGACGCAGACAAGGGACTATAATTCAGTCACCAAATGTTCTATCATTACTATCACCGGCACGACTCCATATTGCTGTGCAGAAGCAGCTTGCATTACATTTAGTTTTCCCTAGATGGTTAAACATGTGATGAGCACGTGCCCGATGAAGTGCCGTTTGTGATTATGGAAGCGCTTTTCTTTTTTCATTCGCTACCTTGAGGCATTTTTTGCGTCCTCCTCCTCTTTGCTCCGTAACCTTTCGAAGAAAAGTACGTCGGATCTTGTCTTGGATGTATACCTTGTCCAAAATGCTTGTCGCGTCGAGACCATCAATGGCTGCGTCAATCGTGCACGGACCCCTAACATTGATTTTTCCCTGACAGATTCTTTATACGACATGTCTGGCGCTCGTGGATGTTTCAACTGTGGAGGCTGTGCGTGGTGTTTCCGTGTTGTCTGTTCCCTGGCTTTTCAACATTCCCTCGTCGATATGGCGAAGGAAAGGCCCTATAGGCTATAGCCATTGCTTTTCCTTCGTTCTTATTTACATTGTCGATTTTCTCGGTGCTGACGTGGATCGCTATGTTCTTTTGCTCATATCTACCGATGACACATGTTATCATCGACGACTCGCACAAAATCGCAATATATTGCATTGCTCGTCCTAATTATCTGCCTCGCTTGGTTCCGTACCTCCGATCTTCATGAAGGCAGTCGGTCATCAAGCTGCTAACTGCCCCAAGGCAGGGACTCCTACTTGGTAATTATTGATCTTGTTTATGCTGTGCTTCGTCTCATATTCACTCACCTTGTTTAGCTACAACTGTATGTTATTCCATTGCCGAATCCATTTTTGCAGTGTTCACGATTTCCTCAGGTGGCTTGGAGGGTCATGTTTCTCGTGATTGCACGATGGAGGTCAAGGCTAAGTCTTGCTACAAATGTGGTCAAGAGGGTCACATTGTATGTTTTCTGAGGATGTTGGTCAATCTTTTTACTCATTGGACTCAGTCTCGCGATTGCCCTGACGCTGGTGCAGGCGGTGGCAGCTATGGTGGGGGATTCTCCAGCCAGGAGTGCTACCGCTGCGGCAAACCCGGCCACATTGCGCGCGCATGTCCTGAGGCCGCAGGAGGCAACTCTAGCTATGGAGGCGGAGGCGGAGGCAATTATTCTGCTTTTGGTGGCGGAGGCTCGAAGACTTGGTTTGTCTCTATTATGTCCATCTTGCATTGTACTAATTCGCCATACGCAGCTATACCTGCGGTGGTGTAGGTCATCTGTCGCGCGACTGCGTTCAGGGCTCTAAGTGCTATAACTGCTCGGGTGTGGTACGTTGCTCTGCATGTAAATGGTTCTTTGGTTCACATCCGCCGATTTAGGGCCACATCAGCCGTGACTGCCCTCAACCTCAGAGGCGCGCCTGCTACACGTGTGGTTCAGAAGGGTGAGCATGTCCAGATGTCCTCATGTTCCTCTTGTTAATCCACATCTTAGCCACATCTCTCGTGATTGTCCCGGTACGGCCGCTGAGGGTGCTTGAGTGATGTGATATCCATGTATTCCTAGCTGCTTAATGTCGATCTCTTTCTGGTTTGCTGTTGAAGTGTTTGGATCAGTTACTACGTGCTCCGTACGCGTATATGTTTGCAGAATACTGGCAGTTATTTGAAACACACCATTAATATCATTGTACCAGTTCATGCATGTTAGTACTTCGCAGGTTTGCAGGGTGTCCACTAACCCGGTTCACGCCGATTGTGTGCTGCAGGCCAGCCGAGCTTATTTTTTCCACGATCTGTTATTCGCTAATTTCCACTTACTCAACTTCTCTCCTCCGTCTACCGACACTCGCTTTCATTGTCCTCCATGCAAGCCATTCGCCTGGCGCGCCCTAGAGTCTCCTTACGCCGTCTGGCGACCATCGCTCAGGTGCCCACGTCCGGACCCTCGTCTGTGACCGCGTCTGTCATTCCTCTCTCTAACGTTGAGGCACAATGGGAAAATATATCTAAGAGCGAGCAGGCAGTTGTCCACAGGCAGCTCGAGGAGTTGCAGAAGAAGGACTGGAAGACGCTCTCTTTGGACGAGAAAAAAGCTGGTGTGTGTTGTTGTCCTTCCGTTCTTCGGCTGCTCCCGCTGACGGGTCTTCTGATGTCCTTTTTGGCCTATTATCTTATACTAAATCGCGCATTATCGTGACGTTGGGGTCGATGAAACGCTATTTTTTCTGGCGTAATGTACATCAATAGCATACTATGTTGCCTTTGGCCCGCATGGTCCCCGAGCTCCTGTCAGCCCACCTGGTCAGGGCTTCAAGGTTTTCCTTGGCACCATGGGCCTTGTAGGTGTCGCTGGATTACTCACCTTGGCTATCCGTTCACAGTGTAGGTTTTTTCTCGTTTTTTCTGTATGCTTGATCTCTGATACATGTACCCCTGGACCTTAGCTCCACCTCCACCGAAAACGATTACACGCGAATGGGAGGAAGCAAGCAATCAACGTGCACTCGAGCAAAAATCGAACCCTATCACTGGTCTGTCTCTTCGTCTGGATGTGTTTTCGTCGTGCTAATATCCTGCTCGTCGCACAGGCATATCATCGGAAGGGTACTCTGGAAAGGGCTACGTGGTGTCGAAATAAATGCACTTTGGGTTTACTTTTCTGTTGCTTATGCGCGCACTATGGACATTGTCCTGTGTCTGCTGTGAAGAGAAAAGACTTGCATTATACCGTAGAGTCTACCTTCCTTTTCTTTACTTCTGCATCTGTTGGAATCCATTTTGGTGTGCGATCAATGCGGCAATGCTATTTAAGTTTTGCAGACATCAAGAAAGGCATCGTTCGCGGCGCTTAGCATGGTAACCTTGAGTTTAAAGATCAATACGTAGAAAATAACCAAAGCTAATAAACGACAAGTGCGGCAAAGCTAGGCTGGGCAAACAGGTAGACAGACAAGCCACATTAGTTTCCGTTGTTCAGTCTTGTTCCGCGCTCGGAGCATATCATTCTACGCCACCCGACATTCAGCACCATAGCCACTCAATGACATTACCATGCACTACGAAACAACGGTTGAAAGGCAGTGAGAGGCATGTCGAATGCAAGCCACAAAAAATGCAAGCGGACCAACAGGTAGCGAGCAACCGACAAAGCTCTTCAAGGCACCTAGCCAACAGGTCTAATGCACCCATGGCACCAGCCTCCGCTTGGCAATTGTAGCATTATTAGCCGTGCAGTGCACGGTCAGATCCTCTCGATGTCATGATGCTCAAAGGCAATCAAAGCATGAATTTTATAGTCTTTCCGTGGGTGGGCGAGGCACAGGGGTACCACTGCCGACTCCGACTGAGACCTTGCTCGAACTGTAAGCCTCAATGGGTGCTTCCCCGACGGGTAGTTCCGACCTGAGGTGTCACCTCAGTATGACCATAGCACTAGCCAAACAATGCACGCACCGTAGCAGGAGTTTGCGCCTGCAAACGTATCCAATCACTACCAATGTTGATTCATGTGGGCACTGCTGAACCTTCTTTATTGAGTGTTATATTACACTGGGGCTGTAAAATTTCATCCTTGGAACGTATGATGTGATGGCGACTAGTAACGAGATATTTCAAGTGTGACACTTGTTGCATTTAGGGATATATTGCTGGACCGATGAGCGAAGCTGAAACAATTCTTAGACACAACGGCGAAATGCCATCTCGCACCCAAAAATCGGTGCCCGCAAACTGATGGACTGCAGCGGCAGTGGGCTCCAGATGGATCCGATGATACACCAGTGACATGGACAAACAAGCATTGCTTAGCGGGTTCTGAATCTGTGTCGGAGATAATGAATTTTCACACTCGCCGTCTTGTGAAATCGTTTCAAATTGAAGTCCGCATGATAAGACAGACCTGCGCACTCTAGTTGTCGTTATGCATTCCATAATCACCTCTGGCGGCCCATTGTATGAGGTAGGGACGTAAAATGTCGGAGTAAGCCATGTGGTGGTAAAACCCCCCGCCCCCAACGATGGAGTGGTTTGCGAGCTAAGGAATACAGACAGCACAAGGGACCCGCGCAACACGCATCAACGTTTATTGGAAAAAAAACCTCTTCTCGGGATAGGTAAACCGGTCACTGATCGGGCACCACGGGGGGAGACCTCCTGCAAATCTATTTCGGATATATGATCACAATGGGAATTAAGGCATTCCGTCGCTAGTCAAGCAAAATGCCGACGTTCAACTAGACCGCAGCGCTTTCTCTATTTCTTGCCCTCCTCGGAGTTCAGGAGTACCTGTGTGGAACAATACATCATCAGAGATGCGCCGGTCAAGATTGAACACGTATGAAGAGCGCACCTGCGGTCCACCAACACCATTTTCCCATTGTTGGTATTTTAGAGCGGTCGTACCTCTCTTCTCAGCCACGACACGCTCAGACTCTTTCAACGACTGTCGAACAGCCCGTGCGGTGATTTGGGCATATTTGTTGTACCTTCAGAGACGTGTCAATGCATGAAGATAGACAGAGTCCGCTGAATACGAACGTGAAAAAGTTTCGCCAAGTTGCACTGCTCATTGTGGAGGACGTTGAAGTTGAAGAATACTGTTCACGAAATTCTGGTGCAGTCAACGCTGAGACCTTCCGGAAATGTCCGTTCATCCATGGATTGCCTAATGTGGTCATTCACTTGGAACTATGGGGGGCCGTTGCTCATACGTCCACTCTCACCCTTTGCTTGGTTCCCTAATTGTTGTACCTGTTTTTCTAGACTATCCAAAGAACACGAAACATAGAGCCCTAATGACAGGAATTACTTGGCACTATGTCCTGAAATTTATCATTACAGGTGTGTCATGCTTGCATTCCGGTAAAGGGTTGATTGCTCAATGACTGCATTCACAAGGCGATGCTGGGGTTGGCAAGTCATCTTTACTCGTTCGCTTGACAGACCAGCGTTTTCTGGCAAACCCCGACCCAACTGTGCGTGGCTTTTCACATGCCTGATAGGTTGAATTTGACGCACACACCCGTTACCCCTAGCTAGGAGTAGAATTTGGCTCCAAGCTAATTGAGATACCCGAGGAAGGGAAGATTGTCAAGCTTCAATGTCCGTCTCCTTTCCCGGTTTCCCCTGACACGTATTTCATGTAGTGGGTTATTATGTAGGTTGGGATACTGCTGGAACCGAGTCCTTCAGGTCGATTACACGGTCATACTACCGTGGTGCCGCGGGCTGCTTATTAGTCTATGACGTGACATCCCGCAAAAGTGCGTCCAAGATGACCGATTCATCCCCGGTCGTCTACTAATCATCTTACACAGGTTTTACTAACACGCAGTCATGGCTTGCAGACGTACGAGAGCATGCTGACCCTCATTTAACTTGCATACTGGTCGGAAATAAAATTGATCTATGCGATGAGGAAGGAGAAGACGCATCCAGTCGACGAAGAGAAGTTTCGACAGATGAAGCGAACGAATGGGCGAGAAAGGAGGGGTTGCTATTCTTGGAAGCAAGCGCAAAATCAGGGAGCAACGTTGATACGGCATTTGAGACAGCATCGCGCGATATTCTCCATAAGATCAAGCATGGCGTTTTTGATGATGATCGAGTGAGTGTTATTTCAAGTCGACAACCAATTGACACCTTCCATCTCTGACATCATGTTGGTCTATTAGTCTCCAGGAGTGAAGCTGTCAAAGCCAACAAATGGAAGCGTTGCCCTGAATCGAGCCTCAAATAAACAGGGATGCTGTTCGTGATGTGACATATATTATATGCAACATTATACATAAAGTTGCTGTACTCTATTCTACTGTGGTTATGGGACTATAGTTATTACTCTGTATTGCCGAAGATGCGCACAATTATGGAACTCGTACTGTATCTGAAATGTTCAATGAAATCCCGCGCCAGGGTGTCCTGGGCATACAGATGATACAGAACTTTTGCGTATGTGTAAATGCAAGGGAGTGATGCAAGCTTTGTCAAGCAATCTTCTAACACGCCTCTGATGGCCATCGGAAGCATGTGTCCATATTTCCTGCCCTCTGCAACTATCATGATCAACGCCGTAACGTGTCTGCATACTCCTGCAGCTGCTGTACAAATCCAAAATTGGGATTGGCAGATCTTCGTCTCGTTTTGACGTATTGATAGCTTGTGCTGGAGTCCAGCCGTACTCCGATATGAGAAATGCAGCAAACCACGCTTGTGCTGCGGCTCACTCCCTCCATGCAGTGCACAAGAATCCGTGCATTGGGATCGTGCAGTGCGCTGCGGATGAAGGCAGTTGCGGAAGGAAGGTGGGCGGCGAGCTCAGAGAATGGAAGATCCTCGAGGGGGTATTGAGCACGATGTATGGGTAGATCATGTGGTATTGCGACGTATCCACGCATTGCGGAGAGGATGTGGGTTATACCCAGCGTGGCGAGGGCGGCAGGGTTCTCTGCGAAAGAGAGGTCCGAGACATATAGCCTTGGTAATATTTCTGATGCACCAGGAGTTCGGAGCTGGTAAGGGATTTGGGACATGGGTGATGGTGACCAGTTGGATATGTTAGAAGGGTGACTGCCGTTAAGTGATGACAGTGTGAGCCTCCCCAGGTGCTAGAGTATATATAAGCATAATGGGAAGTAAACGGTGGGACGCAACCAGCAAGTGTGGATGTACTCAAATGTAGGAAGGACTGTTTAAAACACGACTCACCATGACAACTTTGACAAGCGCAGCAGAGAGTGTACGAGTTTAGAATTTGTTAAATTGAAGGAAGAAAGTGGTTCGGGTAAGAGGAGTAGTATAGGTGCGAGAATAGTACCACGGGGCAGAGACCCTTACTAGATTAGCCGACCGAGATCGATGGCCTCTTTATGAACGAAGTAGGTAAGAAATTAGCAGACAAACAGCCTTGCGTAACAGTGTTAGAGATTTGCCCGATCCTGAGCCGACGGCGTCCTCAACGGACGTCGGGAAGGCACGGCTCTTGGGCGGGGTTGGCCAGACTCAGGCTTAGTGATTTCGATAAGGGGAAGCAGAGCTTTTTGGTTGGACTAAAGTAGGACAAAGTCTGTACACTGTGAGAGAACTCACGAACAGCCTTGCGCGACCTCGATCATCAAATGGAATTTTTATCCACACTGGCAGATTCAGGGACGACTAAACAAGCGGTCGAGGCTATGCATGACACCACAGTACTGCTCCGAACCAATGGATCTTGTCCCCGGCTATTGTCCCTCAGAAAGCCGTATCTGGGGCCAAAGTGCAGTGCAACGTGTAGAAAGATTTCCACAAACAGGTGAGATATGTATGCAGCTAACACACAATGCGAAAAAAGGAGAAGTAGGGAAAAAATTGAAACATAAGCTTGGCAGACCCAAAACATTTTACATGGCATACTGTCAAAAAAATTTCGCGATCATAGAATGGACGTAACAATTTCGGAGCAGCATCGTAACAGCCTGGCCTATAAAACAGAAGGCAATCTAAATGAGGTCGCTGGAAAAACACTTGTCAGAGCCCAGACCCAATCAATCCCGTACTAAGAAACTCACGCGACATTAAGAGGCATCTCGTCAATTTGAGTGTTGTAGAATTCTGCCCGTAGTCTTAGCATTAATCATGCAGTAGCAAAATGTACTCACGTTCAATATCTCTCAGCATTCTGACATCTTCTGTGGTCACAAAGTTGATGGCAACACCTTTACGGCCAAAACGTCCGCCACGACCAATGCGGTGAATGTAGTTCTCTCTGTTTGTCGGCAGGTCATAGTTGATAACTAGAGAGACCTGCTGCACGTCGATCCCACGGGCCAAGAGATCCGTCGTGATCAGGACACGAGATGAACCTGACCGGAACTCCTTCATCAAAACTTCACGCTGCTTCTGCTCCATGTCCCCGTGCTGGGCAAAAGATGCGATCAGATGGGACCTAACTGAGATACTACCGCAATTACTGACCATAGCAGATACTGTGAACTCACGCGAGTGCATCTTCTCCGTCAACCAATCAACCTTCCGCCTTGTGTTGCAGAAGATGACGGCTTGCGTGATCGTTACAGTCTCGTAAAGATCGCAAAGAGTGTCCAACTTCCATTCCTCCTTCTCCACAGCGATGTAAAATTGCTTGATACCCTCAAGCGTCAGTTCATCCCTTTTGACAAGAATTCGAACAGGGTCACGCATGAACTTCTTCGTCACTTCCAAAACGTCGGCGGGCATGGTGGCGGAAAGGAGTACTACTTGAGTCTCCTGCGGTAGAAGCTGGAACAGCTCGTAGATTTGGTCCTTGAACCCACGGGACAACATCTCATCAGCCTCGTCGAGACAGAAAATCTTGATGGTGTCAGTGCGGAGAGCTCTCCGGTTGATCATGTCATATACACGTCCGGGAGTGCCGACAACGACTTGCACACCCTCCTGGAGCTTGGCCATGTCCTCACGAACGTTCGTACCACCGACACATGCATGACATTCGATGTTCATGTAGTCACCGAGTGCAATAACGACTTTCTGGATCTGTTGAGCCAGCTCACGGGTGGGCGCCAAAATAAGGGCTTGGCATCCTTTGATGGACATATCCAACTGCTGAAGGATGGAGATGGAGAATGTGGCGGTCTTGCCGGTTCCAGATTGTGCTTGAGCAATGACGTCGTGACCCTTTACAACGGGGACGATAGCACGCTGCTGAATCGCGGAGGGCCTCTCAAAACTACGAAATATTGATGATATAACAATAATCAAAGGCTGAATGCACCTACCCGTAAGCGTAGACACCACGGAGAAGCTCAGCCTTCAAATCCATGTTGTCGAAGCTGTTTGGCACCGCATCAGGATTGGATTCTGCAAGATCGGAGCATCCATTTGACGCACTTATCTACGACCTGGTCCCAGTTGGACTCGATCTCATTCTCTGCAACATCCTGGAGCGCTTCTTCTCTAAATCCACACGAGCGATATATTAGTAAACGCACGAAGTTGCATCGGTAGTAGGACGGATTGCTTACGCTGACATGAGTATAGTCTATTTTTTTGTATCCAAGGCTCGACTACTGTAGTCGATTATGCTTGGAATGTAGTGGGTTGTGTCCGGTGAGCGTAATCGATTGACTTCTGCGAACTGATCAAATTTTCCGCATCTTCCTTGGGTCGGTGGCTGAAGCGGCCAAAGCCGACCTTTTTGAAACTCCGATCTTTATGTACTTCCACATGGCAAGTGTCGGTTGGTGAGAGGAAACGTCCGATGAAGGCCTACGTCTTTTCACAACTTGACAAGTATCGCTTGGATTGTATTTGACATGAAGGCTATGTACGTCTGTAATGCCTTACCAAGACAAACGCGACATTGTGAACGAGCATCGCTTTCACGTCAACGTTGAGTATCTCCTTATGGACCACATTGATCTGACAAATCGAATAGCATATATCTCATGACCTCCGGGTAAAACATCACAAGCCTGCGTGACTAGCTTACAGTACAAGAAATAGCTGATGAGTCCAATATGTGTCACATAACGTTCGTTATACTCTTTGGATCGACCAACCCTCCCATCCTTCCCTTTTCCCAATGCATGGTCCTTCCTGCAACTTGAAAGCAACGTCATCCAATTTAGCCATGATTTTTGCGGTGATGACAGCTGCAGCTGGTGGCGCCCAGCTTGCCGCTACGCACTTCAGCTTTCCGTGCCCAAAGGCATACAGCTGGTCCCTTTTAGGAGCGGCATGGCTCGCGTGAAACCGCATAGGATTGAAGGATTCTGGATCATTTCCGAAGAGAGGTGATTTGTGTGCCTCTTCGATATCTGCCACATCTATGGATGGGACGAACGGTCGCTTCCACCATGGGACGACCACGGCACGAGTGATGTGACGAGTCGGGGGGTGGAGTCGGAGAACCTCACATATGATTGCCTCTGCACTAGGCTGCGCTCTTGTCCCTTCGTCTGCGAAGGCGCGGAACTGATCGTCAGTGGGGTTCTCGTCGTATGAGATAAATGCATCGCGTAGCAGACTATCGCGGTTAGAATATACCACCGCAATTGCTGCTACGCGCCACATTGTTTCATATGCGGGGATGATGAGATTGAGAGGATTGGTTCGGTCTGGAACCCATCTGATGATGTGATGGTTGATGCGATCGAGCACTTCTGTAGTGAGAGTAGTGCTCGATTTGGATTGTGCCCAACGGTCGTTGATGGCTTTTGTCACAAATGCCACGTCCACGGGGTCAAGATCTTCAATATCTGTGCCCAGCAGACCTGCCAATACGACACTGAGTGTGACAGACTGCACGAAGGTGGCGTAGTCCAGGCTCTCTGCGTCAAGGAACCTGTTCACGCAGGTTTCGGCGACGTCAACGAGCCTTGACCATCCATCTTTCGCGCTGACGGCGCCTATTAGGACTTTCGCTTCGCGAGTGAAGTTGTCATGGACGCCGGGATCATCACTGACAAAGGTGCTCGATATACCGAGCGCCTTCACCAAACGCTGGTTTGGTATGGATCTTGCGCGTAATAACGCCGGAGTAGGGATATCAGGAGGACTCAGTAATGTCCTGACGGCGCGGACACTGCTGTGTATCCTTGTCTTTGGGGTTGTGAGAGCTTTGGCGACGATTGCCGCGACTGCGACGGCAGCGGAGAAAATCAACACGATACTAGTATGAGACATTGCGGGTGTCAACTGAATGAACTTCCATTCACCTGTTGCCTCAGTATTTATCCAGGCGGTTCGTACCATCTATTCTCCGATCGCTAGCTGTCGAACCATGTAACCTTCTGACTAGAGTTCAACACGTTCATGACTCACTCGAACTCTAATATCATGCGGTTTTTCGCGATGCTTTAATAGCCGCAGCTCGAGAACATTCGAGCTCGCGCCTACGGACTGTCAGGGAACGTTTACTTTGTTTGCCCTTCCCATCATCAAAACTCTCACGAAATGGTGTTTTTGTAGGCGCACCGCATGCAACAGTGACATCTATTATACTTTTCTGTTACGTTCCGCAGCACGCAATCATGACTATCAATTCATATCACTCAAAGTCCTCCTTATTATGTTCCCGCTGATCCCTAATCCATTAACACGAGGTTTCCTGTGTCGTGCAAAGAAGCAGTCTACCCCGTTTCATAGATATCTGTACCCCCTTTCAGTGCTAGATTTAGTTTCCCGTGCAGATATGAGCCCACAGTACGTAGACAATCTGCCTGTAACAGGACGTTCAAGCGGGCGTCATGATTTAATTCCCCCATAGTCACCACGAGTGTTTACGTATACCCTCCCTCCACGTCAAGAAATTATGATACCTCCACAACTCAGTCTTACTTCCAACTCGGACTTGATCAGTCAAGTTCGATGTACTCTGGAGTCGCTGACGAGTCGCGGCCGCCAAAAATAGAACAAGACCGTCACATAAGTCCGCCTTTGATTATTCGCTGCGGAGTGGAATATGCCGTTACATATACCCCTATTAGAGGCGTTACTAGGATGATGGGATCAGGAAGTACCCCCTGCCGTGATTCAGTGGGCTTGAAGAGATCCCCAAGTCTTTTGATATGTTATGCCTCTGCACATATCCATTGGTTATTCTTAAATATGATCTGGGATTCTACCAGTGACGGAGAGACGGCGATGTGCTAATAAACGTGCCTACTTGCGGTGATATATTGTATCTGTTCAGCGGAAAATGCCTACCCTCAAACTGTTTTGAAATAGTACAAGGGTACTTATATCGTAGATCTGCAGGACGGCGTCTGATTGTGATCACGATCTTATGTACCTAACTCGATACAGACATGCCGTTAACAAACGCTGCGGATCACCTTGGAGTGAGTCAGCTCAGTCCGCCGCGGATTCCTCACTCTCCTCCTCTAACCCGAAAATGGCCCACAACACTCCAGCCTGTCCAAATGGCCTCTCCATGCCCAACAAGGTACTCGCTGCTTCATATCTATTCTCCGGTTTCCTCACTTCCTCGCAGAGTTGTGCGTAGGCTTTTGTCACGCGAGCCAGAGACACGCGGTGGATGGTAGAATGCAGGGATGGAGATGTTAACGCTGATAGACGTGGTGAATGCACAACTTCGGGACTGGAGAGCCAAAGAGAGAATCTCGCAAGGGTAGGTTGCAGCTTCTGCGCAGAAAGCACATGAGACAGCGGATCCTGTAATCGGGTCTAGACATGCACGAGTTGTGAATAAGATAGTGAACTTACGGAAGGCGACTTGGACTTGATAATGGTGACAGTGTCATATAACGAGGCATCTCTTAGAATGTTCTCGTACTGTATAACAGCTGAGTAAATTGGACATAATATGAAGAAACAAACCTACATGCTCGTCCTCCAAAAACTTCACCCTTTCATCGATTTTTTCTTGGATGGTGTGACGTTTCTCTGAAGTGAACTCGAACGCCTCCAGCACATTCTACTTCGATTAGCTAGCTGTGATAGGAGTCTAACAGGAGTGTGAACCTACCTGGAGATAACACCAACAATTAAGCACGAACACCGCCCGATCCCACTGCGGGCGATACCTCGCCTTCTCCTCTGCCGCAGCGGCACACATTTCCATAGCAGGATCGAGCATCACATCTAGGATGCGGTTAAAAGTTTGTCCGGGCTCTGCAGTGGTGTCATCAAGAAGAGAGGAATCATAAACCTGCATGATTTCACGGAGCAGCTGGGCATGCTCTAGAATTGGGAGAGGTGGCGTCAAAGATGGGTCGTCTGAGTCCTGATAATTGCTTGAAAAACATGAAACAACTCATTGTAAATAACTTACCAAGGGAATTCTAAGGAGTGCACGACCATGGGCTTCGATAGCGTCAAAGAAGACCTTGTAACTCACATCTGTGATTCTACCAAGAAGAATAAGTATGTACCACGTGGGCAGGGCAAGAGGAAGCAACTCACTCGCTCAGAGTCGTCGACAGAAGAGCATCCTCCCCGATAGTGCGCCGCATCGTAAGCATGTAGTATTGCAGTAGATTTGCAACTTTGTACGAGACGATACTACTTTCTTGCGAACGTACAGTCTGCTGCACGCGCACCTAGGAACACGCATGAAATCCAGTTTGTTGTATGACAAATGGCAGACAGACCTTGAGCGGCACGCACAACTTCGTTACTGCAGAGTTAAGCAATTCCTTAACCCATCCCTCTTCTTCACTCCCTCTGAATGTCCGTACAGCACCAACCATTCTCCTTGCTCTGCCATCGTCATTTTGCCCTCCAAGACCAAACAGGCTTTCCAGAAATTCACATTCTGCGGCAATAGCCTGGTGAACCCAAGCAAGCATATCACCAACATATCTGATAGGATCATGTGCATGCAATTCAATGGGACGCGGAAGACCTGACGGGCCACCTCGAGTCAATGCATCCAGAAATGCACTCAGCAGACCTGTTTGGCGGGTCTGCGTCAGGAAAGTAAGAGCTTCACTGTGGACAGATATTGAAGAGATTAAAAATCTACCAATAGCGGGTACATACGAGAGTAACTCTGGACGCTGAGAGAGGCGAGAGATGGCTTGCTGCATAGTCGAGTCAACTTCCAGCTGGGCGTCGCGCCCCATCTGGCGGAATTGAAAGGAACACCAGCGATATATCTTCTCGTAGCCTTGTTCAAGGTAGGAAGAAGTGGAGGCCATGATGTCCAGTCTGCAAGAGTGCTATTTACATAATATCACCGGGGGTTACAAGATGTTACTTACCCAGCTTTTGTCGGTCCGTCTTCGCCTGACATGAGTACTCTGCAGTCATTGCGGATACGCTCTGTCTTGTTCATTGCCTCAAAAAAGCGGGGGCCAATGGGAACATCTCGTGAGGTTATAGCTTCGGCCTCTTCATCATTTAGCGTGAAGCGGTTTAGGAAGAGCATGACAATAGATTTGCGCGCCTCAACCTCCTCCCTGTATTATCTGTTAGTAGAAATACCTTCCAAGGCACAAATATAATACCTTTCACTCCTCAAGCTCTCCGCGCGATCAAGTAGAGACTGGCTTGCTTCGTTTGATAGCCTCAGCTGGGTCTCCGCTTCGTCACAAGCAACGCGCATGGCAGCAACGTGATTCTGCAGGTCATCAAGTTTCTACAGCTTGATTAGACGATTCTCAATGATGCGTCCGACCATCACACACTTGATCCACTTCGCTAAATGCTTGAAGAAATTGCTGGCTTCCTTGTGCAAGTTTGTTTTCCAGATCTCGGCGAAGATTCTTGCGTGCCCTCGACGCCGTCTCGTTCAAGCATGCACTGTCGTCCTGGACGGCTAGCCCAACGTCTACATCTTCATCACTCCAATTATCGTCTGAATCTGTACCGTTTGTCTGCGCTTTGGAGTCTGATACTGACACTGTAGATTGGGTCCCATACAGTTCTGACAGCGTCTGGAGCGCTTCTGTTGTTGCTTCATCGGTAAAGTTTGTACCCAAGATTTTGCGCAGGCGGATTGTTATTGGATTCCGAGTCTGCGACGCAGAAACTGGGGTGCCTGCATTTCGAGACGGAACAGACAAGGAACTAGGTGGAGGTACAGGCGAGCGTGCTTGAACGGACATGCAGTTTCAGTTCGGCAAAGTCACCACACATACGCAAAGACCTCAGAATTCATTTGCAAGGACCAAACCCACGAAACTTTCTTGCACTTGTATATCGAAATCAAAGCATTCATGGTGCAAATATAGCGCATTTGTTGGTGAAGCACCATCAATGAATATACCTAACGTAGAACGTAGCAAGTGATAAAGTCTAATGTATTACTAACAAGAAACCCGCCAATCAGTAGTGGTGCACCTCCTCACGCTCACGACCACGCATGGATGATGGTTCCGTGCCCTTGTAGTAGATGTCTGTCCAGAGGTCCTTGGTTAGTGGCTCAGGGGACTGTTTAGCTTCCTCGACAGCCTGGTCAACCTCGGCCTTGGCGTCCTTGTCAAGTTGCTATGCGAACAAGATCATGAACATAATTCAATGAGAAGCGAATGTCAACGAACCTTGAGCTCCTGCTCAGTGGCAAGACCCCACTCCTCGATGTAGCGCTGGAGACCGCGGATAGGATCCTGGGTGCTACGCATACGCTGAACCTCCTCACGGGTACGGTAAGTGGTACCAGGGTCGGACATCGAGTGACCGCCGTAGCGGTAAGTGACAAACTCCATAAGAAGTGGGCCATTGCCTTCCGTTACCCACTTGCGAGCGTATTGCACAGCGTGTCTGGAAGCGATGATGTCCATGCCGTTGACCTGAAGACATTCGAAGATGAGTAATATTTAAATCTTGCAAGGACGAGAGGAAATGTGTTTACCTGGAGACCGGGAATCTTGTCACCACGAGTAAAGTATTCAGTGTTGGATGAACTACGCTCGGCAGAGGTACCCATTCCGTACTTGTTGTTCTCGCAAACAAAGACAGCAGGGAGATCCCAAAGTTTAGCCTATGTGCAAATATATTGATTAGACGATGTTTATTCATGTCTTGAAACACTCATACCATGTTGAATGCCTCAAACACTTGTCCTTGGTTACTTGCACCATCACCGTAGAGAGCAAATGTTGCAGTGTTCTTGCCCAGGTACTTTTGTGCGAACGCGATACCAGCTCCTACGGGAACTTGGGCACCGACGATACCATTACCACCAAAGAACGAGGGAGTGAAGATGTGCATAGAGCCACCCTTGCCGTGAGACATGCCGGCCTGGCGCCCAAGCAACTCTGCAATAACACCCTTGATGGTGCCACCACGCATAACAGCGAAGGGGTGACACCGGTATGCAGTAATGACACGGTCTTCAGGCTTAATACCATACTCAAGACCAACAGAGACGGCTTCCTGGGAACATGGTCAATACTATGTTATTCAGCTGAGAATACCAAATACCTGGCCAATAGCTAAATGGCAGAAACCGCGGATAAGCTTGGCCTTATAAAGGGCATCAGCAGCCATTTCCATCCGGCGCATCGTTTGCATGTCCTTGTACATTTTCAGGAGCTCATCCTTTTTCACCTCAACCTCAAAAGATGGAGTCTCGCATCGATACGCGCGGAAAGACTCCTCATGGAGTTTTACGGTAAACGGTTTTGAGTGGTCCTCGATGGTGTCTTGCAGTTGAGTGGTGTCTGCGGACGTCTGAATGGCTCGCGCAAAGGCAGGCTGTGAAAGAAAGACACACGAAGTCAGTTTTCTCACAAAATAAGGAGACTGGCTGGACTGACAATACGACGAGTAGCAGGACGGAACCGTGCAAGAGAAGCCATTGTTGAGGACGACGACGACGACGACGAGAACTAGGGAATGGAAAAGAGCTGGAAGAGAGGCGGACGTGTATGAACCGACGATAGAGACGCGAACTTTGACCTCCCAAAACTGAATACGTAAGTCGGGCTCGAGCGGAAGGAAATAATTATGCCTTGCACAGCCACAATCCACACCATTGTCAAGGAATAATTCCTAATCGGCCGCCTGCAGAGTAATAAATATTGACTAGTACTTAGCATGGTGTGATCCTAGTCACATACGATGACTCCATACTTTATTGTTGTACATATCCTGAAGTTTTGGTGTGTAGGCACTCAACAGTGATCGATGATCCCTGACTTTGTCTAGCGGTAATCTTATCACGTCGATTGCTGGTGAGAGCTGTCGCGCGTGCCATGTGAGTGGCGCCCGCCTAGGGAAACATTGGTCCACTTTGGTGGTGCGAGGTCCATAGCAAGCCTCTGCCCCAAAGTCATTTGAACGCAGTAGCACTGGCCAGTATCATTAATAGCCACTGGGCTTCGATACTTCACGAATGAAACTAGCGAAATTGAGATGTTCTATTGGACATAATAGCAAACGCATCAAGCCTCTCACTGGGCAGGCACTGTCGATATACAGAGTCCGCCTGAGAACCTATGCATTATATATATTCCAAGTCTATTGATCGGAAGTTAACCGAGTCCTAAGAATCGAACAAACTTGGACTTACTTTACGCCACAGGAGGCCCCAGTGGTCGTTGATTGGTCCATCAATGCCCCATGCCATTCCCCTGAACCACCAGAAATTTCCGACGATCAAGAATGCGCAAATACCGAAAGCGACACGCTTTGTGCTGTCTTTCCAGCGTGCTGAGAAAATGAAATGGTCAAGAAGGTGTGCGAACATGAGAACGGAAAAGTAAAGAGTGGGAAGCTAATCGATTGGTTAATAGGTGTCTTCCAGCTTCAACACAGACACGTACATAGTGATGAACATATGTGACACGGCCCATGATAAAGAACGGGACTTTAAAACGAGTTATGAGTTCCTAGATTGAACAGAGATGTTCAAGGCTCACCGTAATGCAGGAACCATCCATAACCGGCGATCTTTCCGACATACAAGAAATGATTCCATTGTTCTGAAACGATACATTAGCGCATGCTTATGAGACAGATGATAAGTGAGCTTACGAAGAGTCATATCAATGTACTTGCGTTGGTGGCGGAATAAGTAGATGCCAAGGACAATAACAAAGACTATCAGGCTGACTGTACCGCCCCACCAGATTACAGGCGTGCCAAGAAGGTAGTACTTTGTTTGATTATCGCCCCAGCCACACATCCTGAGGCCTAGCCGCATCCAAGGCCAGTCAGTGGGAGCTGACGCAAGGATATCCTCCTTGTCTGGATCGGGGATAAGTGCATTGTTGGAAGTCATCATGGCCACATTGAGATGCCAGAAATCACGGAGGAATGGGGACTTGTAAAATTTCGCATCACCAAGAGGCACTGAAATACCAACATCAGAGTTACATCAGGAAATGGCACTGTAGCTCACAGCGGTCGTTCCAGTGACTCTCCACGTTCCAGTATGTGTGCATGTCATCTGGGTTGTCCTCCTTGGTGCAGCTGACCTCAAGCTGTTTAAAGCCCCATTGAGGTAAGACTGCATTCGCAGCGTACAGATAGCATCCTAGAGCCTGGTGTTTGAACCTCAATCTCGTTGTGAGTGAATGGATTTTCGTCACGTGCTCTCTGGGGCCCTGCTTGATATCATCGACGACCTCGACGACCCAGTAGTCGTGGAAAATCCCCAACGGTCGAGTTACCATAGCCAGAGACTTCGTTGTTAAGCTTCGTCACGGGTGCTGCTACTGTGTGCGAGTGCAAGTGTCGTGTTGTCGGTACATGCTGCAAGCGAATAACATCACCATCCTGGAGGAACTGTAACTCGCCGTTTGGATTGTATTCAGGCGCTTCCCAAGTGGGAAGGATAGTCCAATGGTTGTTATCATCTTTGTAGTGATAGCAAGTAACCTGCTGCTGGCCTGAACCAACGGGATAGGTTTGAACGTGGGAGTGCAGGAGACCTCCGCCCCAGCCCATGCCTTTCAAAGTAACTCTTGAGCCAAACGCAATTTCTGGGTATCTCGTCAATGGTACAATTCCAATATACGCAAGGAATCGAACAAACCCCGTGGGTTCTTGCCAAAATCATTGCCGACCTAAGTGGGCTTGGAATAACGAACTCATCGTAGAGTCGCCAGGACCCGAATGGTTTAGGATCATGAAATGCAGCTTGAAGGATAACATATACACCAGGATCGGGAGGATAATTAGGCAGAGCACGCGAGCTGCCCAGTGTCGAATTTGATCTCGCTGTTGAAGGTATCAGTTTATAGGAACAGCGTCACGAAAAGTGGTCAGGCTGACATTGGTCATGCGAAGATCGCCAAATTTCTCCCAAAGATCTTCGATGGTGTACAAGCCAACCACAGCAGTCACGAATAATCCAATCCATTTCACACTAGGATAAGTTAACGAAAAAGCAATTGGGAAGCTGAAGAAGGGGGCAGACCTGGTCACACAGCCGATGGAAATACCTGTAAATGCAAGCCACATCCACCAATCGAAAGAGAATGACCTGTTGCAAGCTTCAGCATTGAGCCGCATGTAATGGTGGGTCTAACACATACTGATATTGTTGGTTGTGAAATTTGGTGAGCAAAAAAACTGTTGTGAAAGTGAAAAACAGGAGCATGGAATCCAGTAGAATGAACCGCGATATAGCCAACCAGGCAACATCTGCAGCCAGAACATGAAGCAAACGACGTTTATTTTCGGACCTGACACTCACCGCACAAAACCATGAGCGCAACCAGATGACAAGACCATGAGCTCATTCCCAATTCGACTGCAGTATACCACCCTAACGGAACCAAAGCCACCCCGAACGTCGCCATCATAACCCGCATGGCCACGTATGGGACACTTTCATCGTACACCACTCCGCTTTTGAATTCGAAGTTTCCGTTGTAACCCGATAGTAAACCTGCAAGGCCGACGAGCATCTTGCCGAGCGGAGGGTGGACATCGAAGTAAAACTCGCGTTTGAGGTAATGGGACCCGAATTTGCCAAAATGCGCTTCATCCCAAACAACAGTGTTGGCATGGCCTATTTTGTGGAAGCGGGTCCAACATGAGAGCAGAGTGTAGATGACAGGTGGGAGATGCTCTAGGTTCTGAGATATGAATTCACTCTGGGCGAACGCTCAGAGTCAGGATGGGCAGCAGGCCTCGACAGCGAGAGGTACGTACTATCGAAGTTGGAGGCGGAGGAGGAGGCCTGTGGACACGCCCGCTGCTGACACGGCTCCTGGCAGGACTTGGTTTTGAGTATACATCCTTTCCGTCGTCGTCGTAGTGCATTTCACTTTCATGCTCATCACCGCTCATAAACCCACCGCTGCTTCCGGGTCCTCTAGCCACCCTCCGCCTTGTGGATGTATCCTCGTTCATGTGATGCAATGGCAATGATTCCTCGTGTTTGTAGCTGTGAACGGTTTTAAAGTAAGATGGATGCGTGACAGGATATGGAATTTCTTCAAATTCAGAAGATGTGCGTGGAGGCGTTCCGGGCGGTGTACCAAAGTCTATTTGGACTTGAGAGGGTCTCATTTGCCCTCTTCTTGCGTTAGTGTTTTTCGACCGAACAAGCCCTATGGAGCTTTGGGAAGTTGATGAGTCTCGCGGGAGTGATGAGCTGGCCCTTGTCGCAACCTTACATGATACCAACCAGTATTGGATCGAAGCACTGCCTATTGACGTGACACGTTTCAAATATTCACAAAGGCTTGTACGTCCACATCGTTCAGATACAGAGGTTTCCAATAATTAAGTAAAAGCACAAATTTGTGTCGAGGATATGAGCACAAATACTTTTTACGACAAATGATGATACCAGCTAACAAGATGATTCATAGCAGGCAGCAAGTGCATGTACATTTTATGTGTGTCGTTGGTATTGAGCTATATGATCAAGCAATGTCAGGCACAAATAGCAACTGAAAAGATGGGGATACTACTAACCAGCAACCATAGCATGGTCACGCTCGTAGGGCTCGAGGGTAATTTGTTCAATAGGTTTGAACTTGTTTTCTCGTAGTTTTTGTACTTCCTGCACGAAAACAGCGGAAGGTGCTGCTGTTGAATCTATACAGCTAGCTTTGATAGAGATGACCACGTGGCCACCATCTTTGAGGAAGAACTGCGCATTGTGGATGACAATACGTGCTTGATCGGGCTGTGCAACGTCTGCGAATATGACGTCTACAGTTGACACCAGCATGCGGTACCTGTTAGGAAGGCGGGCGTCCTCCACGATGGCTATAGTAAATACTGTTCTCTTCAGCTGTAGCCTACAGTTTGGAAGTACTCACGAATGACATTTGTTCGCTTTTTCGCCATATTGATCAGATCACGCCCTGATCGTGGCGAAAATTCGACAGCATAAACAACACCTTCCTATAACCATGTTTAACACCAGTATTGTTAGAAAATGAGGAAGGCGACTCACAGGACCAACGATATCTGCTACGTGACTTACACTCGTGCCGCTGGCAGCACCGAGGTATAGAACCTTCTTTCCAGGTTCAATGAAAATTTTATCCATACCGCCCAATACACCTGCTGCCAACTTACTCCGGAAAGGGTTCCAGACGCGATACTCGATCTTTGTGTCGTCGACACCACCTTCAATGGATATCCGCTTCTCACCATAGACACTTTCTCCTGGGACAAGGTTCTTCGTGACAAGTAGATGGTCTTTCCCCTTGGCGATGAAGACACCTGGATGTCTATGAGGTTCGAGAATAACCTTTGCACCGCCCCTGGCTCCACCACCAGGGCCTCCACGACCACGGCCACGACCTCCACCACGACCACCTCCACCCCGACCGCCGCGATCTCCACCTCGCCCACCACGACTTTGGAAGCCTCCACCACGACCACCGCCTGAACATTGGTTCAAACAGGCATGATATAAAGTGAAACATGAACGTACCACGGCCGCCTCCTCTGCCTCCCCTACCTTCTCCACCTCCTCCACGTCCACCACCAGCTCCCCCGCGTCCTCCTCCTCTACCAAATCCACCACGATTTCCTGATGCTCCTGCGAGTCATAGATTAGACAAAGAATACTTTTATAGACAGCATAAAAGATGTTAACATACCAAATGCCATTACAAGTTGTGCAAATAATCTTGCAGTTGCCTCGCAGTGGTCTTCAAAATTTTCAGCAAACCTTGGTTCGTGCCTGATTGTACATACTGTGACAATTTGTCACATTTGTGTCACGCTCCAGCAACAGCTTTCAAGCTTTCAAGCTCAAGCCTCGAGCCACAATCTCTCAGTTGATAAATGGACAACGTTCTCATCACTCCTGGGCCTGAACCAGAATTATGGAATAGGTAAATCAAGAGTTTTGACCCAGTGCGTCCAAATCTGTGACATCCTGAATTAATAACGGAATATCATAGCGTCTGCGTTTCTGGTCTGGTTACAGACCCGGCCCTCGGCGCCCGGCCCTCAATCAGAACCATTTCACCGACTTTCTTATGTGGGAGTGGATAGTACAGTCGTCCCACACCAAATTACCCCTCACAGGATAAGCCTGAGGTGGCAATCTGCTGGCGTTCTGTTCAAATGAGGATTTCATAGGTTCTAATTGTCATGAAGAACGATTCCAGCACATAAAAGCCAGGCGTCCGGTTCCTGCTATCCTCAGATTTGTTTCATCCCATAGATATCACATACTCGCAAACAATGCGTTTCCCATTTGTTCTCGCTATTGTTGCTACTTTGGCAGTATCAATATCTGCCAGGCCCACTGATGCTGACGCCGACGCCAACGTTGGAGCATGTCCTATCTTTTGCGTGCGTAAATCAAATTGCAAGCACTGCCCTGATAAAAACTGCGTGAGTATGAGTAGTTTGCATCCTGAATTTAAACACATAACTCACCGGTGAGGTAGCTCATCTATATATGTTTCTAGTGCGACAGTGAGTCGTGGTTCTACTTTCACATCGTTGCGGTATGGTTGATGGCACCATGTGTGAGTTAGAAGTTTGTTGCTCGGTTGATCAACGGGACTGCTTCTAAACAAATTTTACTGTCGGTCAAGCATTCGAGATCTGGGAATAGAGGACTCGTTTCAGAATCCTGCGTTGGTCACTTAAACGATAGCTTAAAATGAGGGGCTCCCTTTTAAATGTTGAAAACCATGTCGAAAGTGCCGGACAATATATTGCATCTGTCTTCATTTTGTTCACCAATCAGACAGATAAAACTAAAAAGCCCGAGCCTTGGCCCATCTTCCATGGTCAACAAATTATTACAATTGACATGGAGCGTTGATGGTGCCCGGCACCACCCATAAATCATTCACTCCATTTGTGCCATTCTAGAGCGCATTGGTAATGCTATATTCGCCTCACTGAACGATCGTTCAAAACTTGCCCCATAGCCGTCCAAGATGGAGATACCGCGCCACAAGTAGCAATACAACACCAAATATAATGATGCCACCTGAGCAAGGTCAATGTCCACTCAAGGATCGCGCGTCATAAACTTACCTGAATAATAACCCGCGGCAGCGAAACCCCCTGTCGTGGTACTGATAGCGCCTGATATCGGAGGACCTGCAACGCCTCCAATGGCAAGGAGGGACACGAACATTCCCACTCGACGTCCCGCGTCTTCCATATGTCCCATTGCTACAAGAGGTACAGAGTAAAGAGATACATATGCTCCGAGGGAGAAACTGGACGAGTGAGTCGAGCAGCTGGTTGTGAACAAGTGCGGCGCGTACCCATAAATGGCGGCAATTGCAATAAGCTCGGGTTCATTTTTAGCAAATGGCCAAGCGATTGTCGCAATTCCCGTCACAGTAGTCAAAATTACCATGGTGTTGATAGCACCTGTCAAATCATCAACTGATGTTATCACAGTCCACAGCTATCGAGACCTACCGATTCTATCTGACATCAGCCCAAATGATACACGCAATGCAGATGCTGCATTGGCGATCGCGAGTATATAAAATGAAAAATCTGTTGAGACGCCAATTGCTGTAGCGCTCACAGAGAGATATATTAACTCTGATGGAACCAAAATATCAGGAACCACTATGATAGGCACAACAGTCATACCTGTATAAAAACCTAAAAGTGTCATGATTCCAGAGATACAATAGACGGTAAATGCCTTGTTGCGGAATGCTTTGAGATTGAAGAGTCCCCCACGAACGTTGACGGGCGGGAGTCGTCGTTTCAGTAACTTAAAGGAAATGCGTCAAAGGAAGAGGCATCTACAGGTGCTGACAACATACTGCATTGGCTGTCCCCAGGGTAGCCATCAGAATGAATCCAAACACCCGAACTGTCCATTGAAACCTGTAATTGTATGAGCGTATATGAATTGTTCTTCAATTAATCGAACAGACTCACCCAATTAATGGAATCAAATTTTGTGCCATCACAGGAAACACGATGCTGCCAAGCGCAGTCCCAACGGTGGTGAGCGACAAAGCCAAGCCACGTCTCTTGGAGAACCAATGTGACACGATGACGACTGCGGGACTGAATAGAAAACCGCAGCTCACTCCCAGACCGACACCCTGTGTCAGGAAGAGCTGCCAAAATTTAGTGCATTCCGCGGTTAGGAAGGTGCACGCGACGAGGACGCAGCTAGCGGCGAAGAACGGTATTTTGAAATATCCCAGGTCAAACATTCGCCCCGTTGCAAGCGAAGGAAGGCACATGAACGCATACTAGCAGGACAAGTGAGTTATGCAGGTTTATCAGACCAAGAAGTAAACATACCTGCGTAGAACCGATCCATGCTCTGGGTGAAATCAGCCATGCAAGGTTGCAACTAAACGAACCTAGCGCCTTACATAGTTGAAGGAGAAGTGTGGAGTAGTAGATTCTCCTCATAATAGGCTTGGAAGATCTGAAGGTAGAAAATTGTAGAAATTGTGAGTGTGTAATGGTACACCTTACTCACACCCCATGAAAGTAAAAAACCAAGCCTGATTGAACCTTCTTGAGCTAAACCATGGAATAATTAGGAGCAGCTCACGTAGAGAACATAACCAATCCGGCGCTGCAACGCAAAGACGTCAGTGACTGTTCAATGGACTGGAAGTGTACTCGCGCAAAAACCACAAGCCATGCCCTTAATCCTCCATCTGGTGCTTCACCAAGATGTGTTACGTGCTTCTGAAAAAGTTGTTCATCCAGAATTTCCGGCTCAACAGCCTCTCTTGTCTTCTGCCCATCGTACGACAAGACTTCGGACGCAGAGTCAATGCCCTGCAAGACCTCTATACTTAGTGACTTCTCGGACATGGCTTCTCCTGCCAACTTTACGCAGGGAAGAGGTCAGACCCAACGAAGAGTAGGAGGGAAGGAGCAACTGAACTGGTATGTGAAAACCATGCTGCCAACGTCATTTGCATATTGTACTCTCCGGGACACCTGGATCCTCCCTATAGCTATTTTCAAAACCCCGAGGGGCCGCATCGGGACTAGTACCGTGTATTCCATTCTCATTTGATGAGGCCACGCATACAATGACCAAAAAAAATGACATTACATTTGCTGGCCTTCGCTGGTCAAGGGAAGAAATCGAGCCGATTGGCAGGCAGGCCCATTATATATAGCCTGTGCTTTGCCAATGAAACTGCCATCAGTGACGATTCGAAGGCTCAGAGACCTGATAGTATGATATCCTTGACTGATCAGTCTCGTAGTGAAATATCGTGTTGGCTGTTTCACCTCTTTCAAAAACTTTATATGATACCCGCACAACTTCAAGTGCGCGCTAAATCGTCATATAGCGCATTCAAGTTTCAAGGGTGAGGCATTGGGCCCTCAAGGCCTCATGACTTATGCCAGGAAGGCCAGCAAATTTGAATCCAATGACTATTTTTGTTTGCAATAGGTACGTTCAAAGTTGGGCGCACACGCACACCGCACACGCACCGTACAACCCCTTCGCACACAAGACGCTACCTAAAATGTATTTTGCATAATTAGATAATATGAAAATCAAACTAAAAGTTAACAATTGATTCTCACCTACTACTCGCTGTGACTCGTCATTGTAATCCGTGCATACGGGGAAGAAGATACTGGCTGGCGTCACGATCCCGGAGATTGTCTGGACCGACGACTTGGTCTGGGAACTTTTGGCGCAGATTGAGCTATCAGAGAACAGAGTCGTGCTTGTAATAGGCAAGCGGAAGAAAGGCGAGGTAAGTGAGTCAAAATTAAAACCATAAGCAAGAGATACGAGTGAAGGTATTGCTGGCGTGACGTTCGGAGACGGGCCATCGAGTTTGATGTGTTTTCAGTAGGGTCGTACCAAGTACAAAACGGGCAGTGGTGTATGTGCGAGGGAGGTCGTGTGCGTGTGCGCCCAACTTTGAACGTACCTAATCTACCATCATGGCTCATCGATATGATCCTGATCCAGTTGCAGCCTCGAGCCAAGATAGTGGATGAAATCGCTGGCCCACTCCTCCGTCGCTTAAACACAAGTTGCGCTCGGTAGGTTGATGAAATGCAAACAAGAAGTAAAAGCCAAGCTTACGTAACTGACTCGTGATCTTTGTAGACTAATTGTAGTCATTAAACATCAGCTACTTTTCTACTTTCTCCTAGATATGGGAATATCACGACTCTGAATATACCAGCAGATACAACAGGCACCAAAGGTAATACTAGCAGCTCCAGAGCACCAAACTGTATTGCCTCAATGCCCTAGAGATAGAGAGCAGATCGATCGACGGCACCGTACGGCGCATACATTGTCTCCGCGTCGAATGATCACACTGCCCGAAAGTGGCGGTCGATTGAAAGAAAGGTGCTCGTTTTTTCCAGGGTCATGCCAATATCGTCAACTCCCTTGGTCTTTCCCCTGATGGAAGCCATCTTGTTAGCACAGCACTTGACTACTCAGTTCGCATCTGGAACCTCAAGAATCAATCAGCCAGTCGGAGACGCACCCTTGCATGACGGCAAACTCTGGACTGCCTCCGATGGAAAATACATTGCCAGTGCTGGAAATTACATATGAAGCATGGAAGCAGCGCTCAAACAGCGGGGTGTGTGCATCTGCATTATGTCAATGTCTTCCCTATTTTTGGTTGTTGTTTAGGGTACAGACGATGCTAATGCAAAACCCGATGGGAAGTCCAAAGCAAGTCAGTTCTGCATCTCGTTCACACATGATCACACTTCTTAACTAGGGATGTCCAGTTTGACTGATAGATGCTGTGCGTCAATCGGTTGTCAACACCCTACTTATTCACTCATTCGTCTTGTTAGATCTCCGAGCAGCGGCCCGTCAACAGAGGCTTGGCGAGATGTGTCAGTGCAGTTTTTCATTCCGGAGCTCTTGCATGTCTGACAAGTGGTACAGGGCAATGACTTTCGTTTACACAAGAAAAACTTTATAGATAAGTGTCCATAAATTCAAGCTAGCTACCGAAGGCGGCCTCCAGGAGCTTGCCATGTTCGAGCCTGGATGGGCATATTCCAGCCCAGTTGGCTGTTCCTGTCATAAAGGTCACGTCGAAAGAAACGCGAAGTACCGGACAGTGTGCATCACTCACGTCGCTTTCGTCGGCCAATTAGACGGGCAAGATTGAGTGAGAAAGGGCTATCTTACACAAGAAAACTTCAGCTTTCCCGCCCAGCTTTAATGTAGTACAAATCAAATTGTTACGTTAATCTATAACGAAAGTGACCAATGCTCGCCACGCTTAAATCATTTCACATCCACTCCTTCAAGAACACACCGACTCAACACTAAATTCACCTCACAGAACGATCATTCAAAATTTGCCCCATAGCCGTCCGAGGTGAAGGTACTGCGCCACGAGTAGCAATGCGACACCAAATATAATGCTGCCACCTGGGAAATGTCAATGTTCACTCAAAGATCGCGGGTGTCATAAACCTACCTGCATAATAGCCCGTATCAATGAAGCCTCCTGTCGCGGTACAAATCGCACCTGATATTGGAGGACCTGCAATGCCTCCGAAACCAATGAGGGACATGAACATCCCCACTCGACGCCCTGCGTCTTCCATTCTCCCCATTGCCACGGCAGGTGCAGAATACAGAGATATATATGCTCCGATGGAGAACCTGGATGGGTCAGTCGATTGTGCACCTGGCAGCGAAAAAGTGCAATACATACCCATGAATGATGGCTATTGCAATAAGCTGGGATTCGTCTTTAGCAAACGGCCAGGCGACTGTCGTGATTCCTGTAATAGCCGTGTAAATTACCATGGTGTTGAGTGCGCCTGTCAAATCTCAACTGATGTTCGTATAGTCCACAGCTGTCAAGACCTACCGATTTTATCTCCCAACAGTCCAGATGACAGACGTCCAAACGCAGATGCCGCATTGGCGATCGCAATTATATAAAACGAAAAACCTTTCGAGACACCAATTGTTACGGCGCTCACAGAGATATATGTTAGCTCTGATGAACCAAATATCGATATATCAGGAGCCATAATAATAAAGCACAATGGTATTACCTGTATAAAGACCTAAAAGTATCATAATTCCTGAAACGCAATAGGTGGAATATGCTTTGTTGCGAAATGCTTCGAGATTGAAGAGTCCCCCGCGAACTTTAGTGGGCGGAAGCCGCCTTTTAAGAAACTGAGGAAAATGCGTCAGTCGCAGAGATGTCCTCGGGTGCTAACGACATACCATGTTTGCCATCCCCATTGTAGCCGTTAGCATGAATCCAAATACACGAATTGTCCATCTAAACCTGAAAGTGTTGTGAGCACATATGGATTGCCCTATAATCGATTAGATAAACTCACCCAATTAACGGAATCAAATTTTGTGCCGCTACAGGAAACAAGATGCTGCCTAACGCAGCCCCGACGGTGGTGGTAGACAAAGCAAGGCCACGCCTCTTGGAGAACCATTGTGAGACGATGACGATTGCAGGACTAAACAGGAAACCGCAGCTCGCTCCCAGGCCGACGCCCTGTGTCAGGAAGAGTTGCCAGAATTGAGTGCATTCTGCGGTTAGGAAAGTGCACATGACGAGGACGCAGCTAGCGGCGAAGAACGGTATTTTGAAGTATCCCAGGTCAAACATTCGCCCTGTTGCAAGAGCTGGAAGGTACGTGAGTGCATACTAGTAACACAAATGAGCTCAGTAGGCTTGCTAGAACCAGAATCAGACACGCCTGCGTAGAACCGATCCATGCTCTGGAGAGTGCAAGAGGTCATTGTCTAGCATTGCATCAAACAAACCTAGCACCTTACATAGTTGAAGGTGGAGTGTGAAGCAGTAGATTTCCCTCGTAGTACGCTTGGAAGATCTGAAAAGGCGGAATTTGTAGGAACTGCAAGTGTGTCGTGGCAAACCTTGCTTACACCCCATGAATTTAAAAAACCAAACCTAGTACAATTTCTTGAGTCGAACTAGTAGAGGAATGAATTAGGAGCAGCTTACGTAGAGAATGTAACCAATGCAGTTCTATAATCCAAAGACGTCAGTGGCTATTTCGATCAAATGAATTTGCACTTGCGCAAAGACCGCAAGCCATGCCCTTATTCCTCCATCTGGTGCTTCACTAAGACGGGTTTGAAGTTCGTGGTCGAAGCCTGCTTCTGTCTTCTGCTTATCGTAAGGCAATATATGTTTGCTTTCAGACGCAGAGTCAATGCCCCGCAAGGACTCTATAGTTGGTAACTTTTCCGAGTCGGGCATAGCACCGTTGTTCTGTCAATATGAAGAGAAGTGAACAGGATCAACAGACAGCCAGTGGCAGAAAGAGCAACTGTACCAGTGTGTGCAAATCATGCTGCCGAGGTTATGTACATATAGTATTGTCCGCGACGTGTGACACAGAACTCCTTCACAAAGCCATTTGCAGTGTTTTGAGTGGCACAAGATGTCTTACACCGTTCGTGAAGCGTCATCTGATGATGCCACGATTACTACAAGGAGCAAAATATGCAATTGAATTTGCTAGCGTTCGCTGGTCCCCCGGAGGTGAGGGATCAATTGATCAAGCCAGATCACAGGCAGACTCGGTGCATGTAACGCTTTGCGACTGAAACTGCCGATTCGAAGTTTAAACCTATTACAGATTCAACTTTTTAGTGAAAATTGGTAGAATAAACACCTACAACCTCGACTTTTAGTTACTTCTTGAAGTGCGCGCTATTAGCGTCGGTCGTTGAGGCGTCTCCGCATGAACGCTACTTGCCATGGCATGTACGCGTAAATATTTAAAATTTTGGGGTATAATATATATTTTCTAGCGCTGTCATGATTGAACCACCAGAAAGAACAAAGCATGTGGAACGGAGATGATTGGAAATTTGAGCTCACTGACGTCATGTGCTTTGTGATCCTAGGTACCAAGACCCAGGGTCTAACCCGACCACAATACGAACAAACAAACACCAAATAAACGGACCTTACATCCCGCCCCTTGTGTCTCGTTTAAGTAATTACGGGGTACGCTGTCCATTTCTAGTATCTACAGGTAAGTTTTTCTCTCCATTTCTTCCTGTCGCTGTCTCACATGACGCTTGCGCAGCTATTGAGTGCGGACTAGGGAGGTAACGTATGGTGCGTCTAAATAATGGCTTGTGGAAAACAACGAGCTTAATACATGATTTTAATTTTTATAGCAGATATGTAGTGCGTGAGAACATTGTGATGGCGCAGGTCGGGGCCCGGGGGTCGGACTCGTAGGGTCAATCGAATACCCTGAGTCCTAGGATCGATATGTCTTCGGTCAGGAATGCCAACAGTCATCGGTTTGCAAATAGCTCAATAATGCTATACTACATAACATCGGCAGAATGGACCAGTACGTTCCCCCACTCTTATTTTGATCCTAATCTTCAAAGCTATTATGTCTGAGGAGTCCGCAAGAAAATCAAAGGACACCGTATTTGTGCCTGAAGCCTTACCTTGGATATCGAGAGCAGCTGTTCCAGCTGACCAGGAAGCCCTGCAGCATGAAGAAGTTTCTGAGAAGCCAGTAACACACATTGCTGGAACACCAGATGGAGGATTGACCGCGTGGCTGGTCATTGTTGCGTCAGTACTGGCCTACGATTAATTCTTCGAAATAGTCACTGACATCTTCAAATTACAGTGTCAACTTGACTTTATTCTCTACGTGAGCTGTCTCAATTTTCTCTTCCCCCAGCTTAGCTCAAGTGATCACCAGGTTCGGTATAGCTAATACATGGGGGGTAAGTAAGGCTTGTCACCACATACTCGCAATTCCTGCAATTTACCCCCTGTCAGGTCTTTCAAGCGTATTATGAGGAAAATCTACTACGTCAGACTTCTCCTTCAAACATGTACGGCGTTAGTTGGTTTGACGTGACCTCGTAACTGATCTATCGTACATTTTTTACTCTCCAGAGCATGGATCGGTTCGGCGCAGGTAAATCTATATCCAGGTCCAGTAAACTTGTGTCGCTCACGTGTCCTTCTAGTACGCGCTCATATACTTTCCAGCACTTGCGACAGGACGAATGTTTGACCTAGGATACTTCAGAATACCCTTCTTGTCCGCTAGCTGTGTTATCGTCGCATCCGTCTTCCTAACTGCGGAATGCACTCAATTTTGGCAGTTCTTTCTTGTACAAGGTCTCAGTCTGGGAGTCTGCTGCGGTATCATAGTTGGACCGGCACTTGTTGTCATCTCGCATTGGTTCGACAGGAAACGTGGTCTCGCTATGTCATTCGCCGCCATTGGCGCTTCGTCTGGCAGTACTGTATTTCCTGCAGCAGCGCAGAAATTAATTCCATCAATTGGGTCCGGTCGACTGATCATCGATGATTCATGCTCGCTCATAAAATTTTAGATTTCAATGGACGATGCGTGTATTTGGATTCATTCTACTTGCTACACTTGGGATGGCCAATATAGTATGTCCTCATCACCTGTAGATGCCCCTCTCTCTGTCCCTCTCTGAAGCATGTTTCCCAAGTTACTGAAACGACGCCTTCCACCCGTCAACGTTCGTGGGGGACTCTTTAATCTTAAAGCATTCCGCAACACAGCATATACCATTTATTGCATTTCAGGAATACTGGGATTTTTAGGACTCTACACAGGTAATGTCGTAACAGTTACCACCGTGGCTTCCTCGTATTCTGAATCGATTCATCAGAGCTAACATATATCTCTGTGAGTGCCATAGCAATTGGCGTCTCCAAAAACTTTGCATTCTATATAATCGCGATTGCCAATGGAGCATCTACATTTGGACGTCTGTCATCTGGACTAATGGCAGATAAAATTGGTAAGTCTCGATGATGGCTGTGGATGGTAACACCAGTCAATTCCTGACAGGCGTGCTCAATACTATGGCGGTTTTTACCGCGATGGCAGGCATCACGACATTTGCTTGGCCATTTGCTACAAATGAATCCCAGGTTATTGCAATAGCCACCATTTACGGGTATGTGTGGACCTTGTTCGTTACTAGCTGCCAACTCACCCAATCTAGGTTCTCCTCGGGAGGATTCCTAGCTCTCTTCGCTTTAGCTGCTGTGGCATTGGGAGATATAGAGGATGCGGGCCGCCGAGTGGGAATGTTCATGTCCCTTGCTGCTTTTGGAGCTATTGCAGGTCCTCCGATATCAGGGGCCATCAGTACCGCATCAGGAGGGTTTGTTGACTCGGGTTTCTATGCAGGCACGTTTATGAAATGTGCGGTCTTTGAGTGAACGTTGATCTTGTCTAGGTGGCAACATCATGTGTTCTGCTGGACTGCTACTTCTGGCACGATGTCTCCATCTCAAGCGCCTATGGGGTAAGTATTGAATTATTCATTGGGTGAATGGCACAACACTCGGCTCCGAGGCCCACCGAACTAAGGGAAAGCATACGAAGAGATGAGACGCGTAATATATCACAGATGATACAATGACTACGGCTTCCTAAATATCATAAGGACTGATATCGATATATTTAGATTAGGTCAACTCAAGGAGACAACAGCCTCAGATCTACCCGTACATTAACATATTAGCGAGTGGTTTCTACTATACACTCTAAACGTATTACTAGTCGAAACGTTGACATCTGGCAATTCAAATCGCAAGGAACCAGAGTCACCGAAGGTACTAGGTTTCGTTACGTTCCGTCACTAGTAACGCGGGGAGCTCAAATTCATATGACAGCAGTCGACAGCTCAACAGCGAGTCAGTTACTAAGTTACTATGACGCACTGCTGCAACTATACTTTTGACCTTCCGTCATCATTCTCTCGCCTTTGACCGAAACCCGGCGCCACGCCTTTTTGCAATAGCTGACGAGTTTTCTACAGAGGTTGATACATGTGATGGTTGCTTCATTCACTAGAACAATCATGAGTAAGGGTAACACGGAGTCTTTGAGGTTGTCATGCCCAAACGCGGTTGAAGCCACTTTGCCTCATTCCTTAGGGGATTTGCACTTAGCATCACGATGCACGCTCACATGAAACACGGATTTCTGGCGGATTCCAGGCGACGAATAGCACCGGTTTTGCGGGGATTCTAGTAGACTCGTCAAGAGATTTTCATTATTGGCATATCTATACGTCTATCCCAGTCCGTCAGCATGAATGAATGCAATAGGGAGGCACGATGACACCTCTGCTTATGTTGGGAAAGAACCGAGAGTGAACAGGGTCTGCTTCTGCTTCCCCTTTCCCTTCTTTCCCTTTCCACTAGCAGTCTCTTCAGCAACATTCTGTTCTTCCGGTATCAGAGTACCGCCCCCGCTTGCCGTACCATTGCTTTTCCAAGCAGCAACGGTCGGAGCAGTTTCACCAAGAATGTTTCGTAGAGACTGATTCCCGCTGACTAGTGGTTTCATACGAGAGTTGCCAGACGAAGGCAACACTGGAAAAGCAGCAGATGTAAGCGACGGTGGCGGCGGACCTTTCTTCGCAACAGCGCGTTGCTGTATTACAGGAGTTTGTACCGATTTCGGTGCTCGGGAACCTGTGCTAGAAGATCCAGATCCAGAAGCCCACGGGGTGTTCCGCTGTTGTTGACGGAACGCAGGCTGCGGCTGAGAGGGACCTGTCAGAACCGGGAAACTATCTGGCGGTCGTGGTATCGGAGTAGGAGCGGAGCCAATGCGAGATGAGGAAGATCCAGCCGCCTGTGCAACACGATCCCACACTTGTCTCGAAGATTGTGACGAAGATCGCACGGCGGTAGCATGCTTGACGTTTAAGACGCGACCGGATGCGATACCAGCATAGCCTGACCCTACTTCCTGAGGTACTAGATCAGGAAACTGCTGACGTTGCTGCGATCTCACTGTCAGATCCACCGCAGTGCAGATATAGGGGTCAGTAAAATACCTCGATTTTGAATCCGTTCCAAGAGGAGAGCAGATTAGACTTTTTCTCTTCTTCGTCAAATAAGTCGACGATAGCATTGACAATACCCGCAGTGTCATCTAAATTCCTGTCAAGAACGTTCCATATTGTCGAGATGAGATCACGGGCGGTAGATTCGTTGAATCGGAATCCTCGGACAGCAGCTTTAGCAGCGAGCACGGCAGTGGTAGGGTTTGGCGCAACAGATTGTAACCTTGAAATGAATGCCGCATGACGCCTATAATGGTGTGAGAATAAATCTTGGAGATCCTGACAATACTCTTACTGAGCTACAACGGGATCGACGTCTTCCCCGTTTCGCTGTGGGGATGGCGAAGCTCGTCGGCTAGGTCCAGCCGATTGCGGCGTTTGCGCTCCATTAGGCGCAGGAGAACTGGTAGTAGTCAGATGGCCACCGAATGCTTCCCTGCGTCTTGCCACTGCCCTAGGCTGCGCAGCAGGTGGCGGCTCATGTTCTCGATCTCGATCTCGTTCCCGGTCCCGTCTCCCCCTACGCCCACCACCAGCATCCCCAAATTCAAACTCTGCCTCAACTCGCTGAGTATTCTTCTTATCTCTTGAAGTCATCTCTGCTCCGTGCACTTCGACCTGATGCGCCTTGAGATCGATCGCAGATCCAAACACCACAAATTTTTGAGCCTGACAGGCAGGTTTTGAACACGCAAAATGCCCTTGATTAAAATGTTGTTCCTGCCGAGAAAATCATGGATTACTACGAGCGTCAATGTCAATGCAGTCAAAAAGATCCTACAAGGGCCTCATAATCTTGAAAGCTGGATAAAACAAACAACCCCGCATTAGCATAAACCACCAGCGTACAAACGACACAAAAACTGACTATTGATCTCGTATTTCATTCCGTTTGCAAATGAAGCACTCCTCGTGTCGTTCGCGCATATGAACATACAACTCATCATCACTGAAAAAACATTCTTTGCAGAAGCTGCATAATGGATGTACGCCGCCTTCAATCGGCTCTTTTGTCACTTGTTTATGAGACCGATGCGGCATAGACGGCAAGTGTAAAGGTAGAACGTTGGGGAAATACAAAGCATGCTCGTGACTGAAAACTTTCTTGAATCGGATACACAGGTCACTTTCAAGGACATGAGAGGTCTGTGCTTGGTTCATAAGCTTACATATATGATGCACGTACCACATCATCTTTCCGTGCGTACCCCGGACGTGTAATTTAAGATCACCCCATCCAGTCGCGGTATAATCGCACTGCGAGTCAGGACAATTGAAGCGTAGAAGAATAAGCGTCTCTTCCATCATATCAGTGGACTCGAAATAGATTAATAACTTGGAGTCTTTATGCGGGATCATGTCGGGGGTGTAAGAAGAAAAAAGCGCATCGGGGGAAGTCGTGAATATCACTGTCGTTTGAGGTTCCTAGTAAACGTCGCAGCGTCAAAATTCATAGATGGGACCAAGAAAAGATAGACCCCCCTTGCAAAATGTACAATCCAGCTTCTTATAAAGTGCTCTTAAGCGTAGAGCACAGACATGACATGTCCGGTGGTTGCACGCTGATACTGAGTAGTATTTGACGGGCTCTGCGCAGATCCAGCATACTTCTGTGGCTTCTGGAGCAGGCGCGACTTCGCTCTGAGTTGGCTGAGTAAGAACGGGGTTGGCTGGTGTGGCTGCACTTGGATCCTTGCGGCCTCGGGATTTACCACCGCCTCCGTGTTGACCGCCCTGGCCTCTGTGTCCGCCTCGTTTGCCACGCCTGGCTGATGGAGAAGTCTGAATCTGGATCTGAGGCTGGCTAGCAGTTTCTGCAGACATGATTGTATGAGAAGGATTGAAGATTAGAGAAGGATGCAAGGGTTGCGCTGAGTAACTGGCTTGCTCCACGAAACGTTTTATCTCCACGTGATCAAGTCATGTCCATTGATGACGGTCCCGAACGTTGTAAGCGCTCACAATCGTATCGATCTACGTAAGTAGGAGGTATGCAAACAAAGTCACAACCTAGTCATGAATCATACAGAACAATAAACCAACCAAACATAACATCAAATCGTGCACACAAGTGACGAAACTTATCACTCGACATCACTTTCATCACGATCGCGGCGGGTCTCACCAGTGAGCGGGGTCGTGACAAACCTACTCCTGCCTCCCCCATTCTTCACAGGCGACATCCCAGGTATCCCCAATGACGACACTGACCCCAACGCCGAAGTCGAAACCGAAGCCCTAGACCCGATCCCCAACGAATACATCATTGACATCGTTCGTTGACGTCCTAACCCCGGTGCAGCTCCAGATCCCATCCCAAGTCCAAGGGCTCCATACGCAGGTTGAGCTTGAGGTATCAACGCAGGCAATGGCATAGGAATTCTCAACTCTAGCTCTGCAAGCGAAAATAGTTGCTTCACCGAGGAGGAACGCCGCAATCGCGGAGAAGTCATCATAGAACCAAATGTAGGCGCTTGGCTTGGTGTAGGCGTGGATGAACGAGGGAGGAGGCTTGATGTCCATGCAGACCAGCTTTTGTCTTCCTCTGGTTCGCTCTCCTCGTCAAGCTGAACCTGAAAGTCATGCACAGCCCGCTTAACAACCGCTACATCATGCTGTACATCCACCAATTTTTCCTCAAGCCTATCCCTAGCCCTCCTCACACCCTCATCACGTCCATCAACAAAAGCCCGCATTTCTTCAAGGTCCATATTCGAATCCGATGAAAGGGAGAGCGCGCCTGGGATGGTGAGGAGGGTCTCAAAACCGCGAATGGCGAGTGCTTCGTCTGTGATGCGGATTTCGAGCTCGACACGGGCGTCTTCGGTATAGTCGGATATGCGCTCTAGGGCGGTGCGAAGGAAGGATTGGGGAGAGTGAGAAGGTGTCAGTGTCAGTGTCGGCGGAGAGGCGATGGCGATGGGGGGGAGCAAGCGTTTAAGGTCTTTGAGCGCGAGAGAGCAATCGCGGAATGCGTGTTGGAGGGTGTCGTAGCGGTGGCTGACTTCGCTGAGGGAGGCCAATAAGGATGAGATTTCGTCTGGGATGGAGGGGGGTTGTGATGAGGGAATGATGTTGGTGGTTAAGTTGTTGGGTTCATTAGCGGGAGCGACTGCTTGACTTGTAGCAGCTGAAGTAAAGAAGACACCGGAATCCTCCTTTCTTTCCAGAAATTGGTTAGTGGGACTTTCTTCCTGTTTTGTGAGATTCGTTAGGGGAAGGGGTGGTGGGGTATCCTTAGTATCTGAAGTTCCATCGGTGTCAGGCTCTATGATCGATTTATTGGCGGAAGCCAAAGACGTATGCGATTCGACAAAAGGCAGCAAAATACACGCCTCTTCCCCAGCGGGGATCTGCACCAGATCGAGCATTGATACTGCAGTACACCGACCTGGTTCGGCGGGTAAATCGAGAAGCAGCTGCGAGGTTCCAGGCGTGATCTCGCCTATGACGGGCAAAGGTGTACCTTTGGTGTCAGGTGTTTGAACGTGCAATTTGACTTCTTGAGTATCCAGAATTCTATCCATGTCAACAGGCTCCATAGGCAGCTCATTCGCGGGCACCAAAGGCGCGGGCAGCTCGGCAGACTGCGGTGAAGTATACACCTCTTTCGTAGCGGGGGTCTGCGTCAGATTGAGGATCGAGATAGCAGGCGACTGACTCGATTCGGTGGGTAAATCAAGAAGCAGCTGCGAAGTACCAGATGTGATGTCGCCTATGACGGGTGAGGACGTACCCCTGCTGTCCTCCGCCGGGAGATTTGGAAGAGGTGTAGGTGTTTGTGGGCAAGCGAATGATAGATCCTGGGTAGGCGGGATATCGGTGCTTATGTCCTGTGCATAGGGTGCTTGTTCTGTAATATCAATGCGAGTTCCTTCGACTGAAATAGTCTGTTCGTGGGCAATCTCGTCAAGAGACCCCATGCCCAAGGAAATCTTCCGCTCAGCAGCTACTCTTCTCTCGACCTCCATCCCAACTTCTTCAGTCATTCTCATCACAGCGTCCTTAGCAAGAACCAACCTCCCAAACACACCAGTAACCAAACTCCCAGCCACTTCCGCATCCAGCGTCACCAAAAGACTTTCCGCATCTTTCACTGCCCGCTCAAAAGCTGCATACATTTGACTATCTGCGTCTGCGCAACGGTGCATACCTTCTTGGGCTCTTCGAACCCATCGGCGTAGGGCTTCACTGAGCGCTTCTTCGCGTGCGAGAAGGGCAAGACGTAGTGCGACTTCCCTTCGCCGTCCATATGCTTCCCTGGTGACTTCTTCGCCGAGCTCTTCTAAGGCGTCACGAAGACGTGCATTCTCGGCTATGTGAGCATGCATTTGTGCTTCAGCGTCGTTGATCGTTGATTGGAGAGTGTGTTGGCTAGATGCATGTCGTATTTGGAGAGTCGTGAGTGTGGATTGAAGGGCATTAGTTTGAGACTGCGAGAATTTCCTGTGTGAAGCTCGAGTCTGTAGAAGCAATACATGTATGGGGTACGCACATGTATCGGGAGACCATCTTGGCTGCTGTGGTATCGTCTAGTTTTAGTGCTTCTAATTCTGACTGCGCTTTTGCGAGGTGAGCACGGTCATGAGCGGCTGGTTTACGCTCAGCATCGAGGATGTTCTCCAAATTTGTGATTTCATTGCGTAGCTGGGTGATGCTCGTTTCGCGTTTCTCGGTCTCGAAAGCAAATTCGGTCGTAAGGCGATGCAAGTTTGATTTGCCCTCATGGAGCCCTTCGACGAGGGTGAGAGAAGACGCAGACGCAGATGCGTTTTGCAGTACTGCGCCCCCATTACCAAGCGAGCTCTTCCTGCCATCCAAACTGCGTACGAGATCAGCGTACTCGTGTACCACGAGCTCTATGAGCCTGCGTTCTTCTTCTGCAGCTTGGAGACGCGTTTCCAAGCTACGTTCGCGGAGTTTACCTTCCTCTTCGCGTGCACGAACACTTGCTGCGAGTTTATACGCGCCTTCTGCGTTGTATCGGGCTTTTTGAGCTTCGGTGCGGGTGTTCACGAGTTCAGCTATCTTTTCTGCTAGTGCATGTTCTGTGAGATCGAGTTTCTCGGAAGAGCGTCTTAGGGCGAGAGTGAGTTCTTGGACGACGTGTGTCTCTGATTGAGAGTTGGGTAAGGTGTGAGCACGGAGGGTAGCTAGCTCAGATAAGAGCAAGGAACGTTGTGATTCGAGGAAATGTAAGCGATCGTTTGTTTGGGCTGTTGCTAGAGTGTGACGCTGGAGTTTGAGAGCAGCTTGGTGTGCTTCATGCTAATCCAGAATATGAATGGTCAGTACAGAGGTGTGTAAAATGAAAAGTACCTGAAATCGAGCTGCTGTTTGTCTGAGACTGGAGAGTTCGAGGACGAGTGGGTGCTCGTCGTCGAGCTCGTTCTGCCCGACGCTCATCGTCAGCGACGGATCCTAACGTTGCTGCAGGTCTATTTCGGGATCAGTATACAAACAAAATACAACAAGAATTGAGAATCATATTTTGAAGGAGGCCCTTAACCACGCGACCCAGTCTAGACTCTCTCCCTTCGCTGTCAGGTGCGTTGAGCTCACTATATTTTGACATTTACTCGACGGCAGTCAAAAATTTAGCATGGCAGCTCACGCTGGTCCTCCTGGTCCTTCGAATTATTATCATTACCCTTACGGTAATGTGGCTACTGCGCCATTTCCTGGTCAATATCAGCGATATCAGGCTGCAGTACCAATGAATGGACACATTCACCGACCAATATTTCATCCTCACTACAATTATCATCATCCTCATCAGCCTGCTCATTATGTTCCGAGGTCTAGTTACTGGCAACAACATGGCCAGCAGCCGCTTTCTCCCTTACCAAAACAACTGTCAACTCTTCCTTCTCTTCAATCCAGCGGCGATCAGATCGGAAATCAAAATATAGAACCCGAGGAGACGCCTAATCCAACAACTTCGCCTCCTTCTTCACCCATGCCTAGCCCAGATCCAAAACTAGGTGGTTGGGTCATCTGGTCAAAACGTCCCACAGATCCATCTACCGCTCCTGGTATCATCATATCACCTCTAGCTCATCCTCCTCGCGATGTCATTCAATATGCACTCGACATTCCAACCCCCCCTCCATCTCCTACACCCGTCATTATAGATCTATCAGCGCCAACCGTGCCTTCTGATCTCCCAGACAGTACAGAATCAAATACAACTCCTCCGCTTTCCACAGCATTTGATACACCTGTGCCCGGCTCACCGGATTCTACTAATACTTCACTTTCTCTTGCAAAGGCTTCCGAACAACCTGAAGAGAAACCTTGGGAGGAGGCCACGTCATCCAACGCCGAACTAGAGCCTGAGCTATCATCCACTGATCACGTAGAGGCGCCTAAGCTATCCGAATCTGATACAGAACCTTTTACGTCCGCTGCTGCGCCTTCCTTATCTGATGCAGAGCCTTCTGCGGCTAACCCATCCGATATAGATTCTTCTACCTCCACCCCATCTGCAGAAGCCTCCACGTCAGCCCCCAAACCCGCGCCCGCCCCAGCCCCAAAGCCCGCCGTATCATGGGCTTCTCTCCTCCGCAAACCCGGCCCCTCCAACCTCCCCGCATCCTCTGTCGTAGGCTTCTCCATCCCTGCCTCTCCTCCCCCTCCCCCAAACCACACCTCTCAAAAGACACCATCCCACCCCAAAAAGTCCGAGCTTCTGACCCTGCTCAACTCCGGTGGATCATCCGCAGCTCCCATGCGTATCAGGCCACGCGGCCTCGTCAACTCTGGTAACTTGTGCTTCGCTAACGCGGTGCTTCAGGTCCTTGTGTACTGTCCTCCATTCTGGCGTTTCTTTACGGATCTCGGGCGCTTACTTGAGCCTACGGAGGAGTCTAAGACCCCGTTGGTCGATGCTACCATTCGGTTTGTAAGGGAGTTTATGCCAAAAGAGAGGGTGCCTGTGGAGGGCAAGGGAAAGGGTGTAGAGCGCTATGGATCAAATGGTCTTGTGCATGAGGAAGTGAATGAAGATATTATGGATTCGTTTATGCCGACTTATGTTCATGACGCTTTGAAGGAGAAGAAGAGGTTCGATCATATGCGCGTGGGTCCTCTTTCCTACTTTTGGTGACTTCGATACTGAGTTGTACTGACAGGGCGGACATCAAGAAGATGCAGAAGAGTTCCTTGGATTCTACCTCGACACGCTCGAAGAAGAGCTCCTGACGCTCTCCTCGTCACTCGCTAACCCCAACCCAGTTCCAGCTCAGCAGAACCACAACGCTGCAGTGAACAACACGCAGGAAGAGGGCTGGCTCGAGGTGGGCAAGCGTAACCGCACCGTCCTCACGCGCTCTGTAAGGTCTCCCTTTCCTCCTTTTCATCAATACTCACCTTTCCTAGACAAAAACAGCTGACTCCCCCATGACCCGTATATTCAGCGGCAAATTCCGCTCCATCCTCCGCGTACCACACCAAAAAGACTCTGCCGTTGTTGAAGACTGGCGTAGTCTACGGTTAGACATTCAAGTTAGTCATTTTGCCGCCCCTTCTAAGCTTATTCAAACTGACATTGACATAGCGCGATACAATCCACACAATCAAAGACGCCCTAACGCACATCTCCACCCCCCAATCCGTACAAGTCACATCTGTAACCCGCCCAGGTGCCACCCTCGATGCAACTCAACAAGTATACATCGAATCCCTCCCTCCGATCCTCATCCTCCACCTCAAGCGGTTCTTATACGATGCTAATAAAGGGGGTGTTGCAAAGGTTGGGAAACAGGTTGCGTTTGCGCCTGAGCTGGAGGTCGGGAGTGAGGTGATGGCACCTGGGAGGAAGGTGAATGGGACGAGGTATCGGTTGTTTGGAGGTGCGTCCGTCTCCGTCTCGTTTTATCGGTAAAGTAACCTCACCAACTGACACAGCGCTCTACCACCACGGCCTCTCAGCCTCGGGCGGACACTACACCCTTGACGTACTCCACCCCAACGTCGACATGTCAACTCCACCCACAAAACCGCGCGAGGGGTGGATACGCATCGACGATGAGTTGGTTTCGGATCTGAGAGCTGATGATGTGTTTGGGACTGGAGGTGCGGAGAAGGATGAGACAATGAGGTGTGCGTATTTGTTGTTCTATAGGAGGATTGGTGCGGGGAGGGTTTAAGGTCTTGGTTTAGTGGGGGTAGGTGGTATGTAGCGACGGTGTTAGATTTTGATCCTTTGAATGTGATGGGTTTTTTGTTTGGATATTTTTTTGGCATTGAACTGGTGACTGTGAGTATATGCGCATGCATTATGTAATAATGTCCAATTGTTCGTATATACCGGAATTTTGGAATGGACCGTCCGTCCCGTCCGTACTGTCCGCATCGTCCTGGCCCAATTTGGCCGTTTCGGAATGCTGTTTCGGAATGCGAATGCTCGTCATTTCGGATGCTTCCGGAATTTATATTAACAGCACCACCACCAGGCAGCACAACGCCCTGCACGCGTCCTGCACGCCGCTCGTCATTTATCATGTTCATATATATCAACTAGCAATTCCCTCTACCCCGAGCTAACTTCTACTTTAGATGGAGGCAGTTTGAGTGCATTCAAGTTGTGCTTTCTCAAGGGATGTCCTTCACTCTCTGAATTCCTTTGTGCACTGCCCACCTCAGGCAGCCACATCTGTCATAAGGCATCCTGGTAGTACTATGCCCCGCCCTCAGCAATATAAAAGGGCTCTCTTTCCCTGTGTCAACATCAACCCACCGCCTTTCGCATCTCTCTCATTGTCGGCTTTCTCCTCTGCCCTGCTTTTTATCTTGCCGCTCTGTGTTATGGGTGTCTCTATATTCATTCGAGCCCTACCAATTTGTGTTACGGTCATTGTGATGCCACACTCTGCACCCCAGCCGGCACCCACAGGACCTCGCCCTCAATATGAGGTATCCTGTACGACATGCAACAAAGCGTGTCTGTGGACCGTGTGCAAGTCAAACAACCACGGTAACTGTGGTCGTTGGCAAGCTATCATAAGTCCTCTGTTATCTTCTGTAATTCCGGTGTTGACTGTGTGCAGTGTTTTGATGCCCGTGAGGATGGCACGACATGCAATTTCGTGCACTTTGGGTCACCACGGTCTTCTCCAGTGCCAAAGGTTACCCATACCCACCAGCACACCAGAAGTGCCCAACTTCCAGCACCAATGTGCTGTGCATGCACTGTTGTTGGCTGCAGGAGCACCCACATCAACAAGAATTGTGCTCGGCACACTTGCCGCAAGCACTGCAAGCGCTTGGGTGGTTGTCATCTGACTGATCATGCTGGAAGTGGTGTTGCGATTGATGCTGACGGTTTGGAGCTTGAGGATGACCCCGAGGATACAGGTGACACTCAAACTGTGCCACCTGATAATGATGATGAGCCCATTATCCCAGTACCAGTCGAAACACTGCCACATTTGCCATCTCCTCAGCTGCACGCGCCACCTGCTACGCCTACCATTGAAGCTTCAAATGCGAACATGCCTGATAACTCACGACTTGCGCATCCCAGGGTGCCGAGGGCACGCACTGTGCCTGCACACAATTGTGCTTCACAAGAGAATGGCCCTCACTATTGCATGCAAATGCCTGAAGTATTCATGGAGCAGCTCGCTGAAACATCGAAGCGTAATGAGGTGCAACATCAACGCCGTGCTGATGAGATTGAAGCACAGAATCATGCATGCTATCACACAGTAGTTTATGCGTGTGTAGAGGTTTGTTTCCTGTCCTGTGTCACATAGTCTAATGAACTTACTGATCATGTGCTCACAGGATGGTAGTCAGCCCAATGTCTTTGAATTTCAGTCAGGCACATTGGCATTCAACTAGCCACATTTATCACTCTCTGAAGAAGTTCTCTCAATGATGGGACTTGCAGCCACTAGCGTCAACAAGGGAGTGTTACAAGTAACATCGGCTACATGGCCCCCCTATCATTTTTCCCCTTCGTCCTCGCCCTCGTATGCCTCCGGCTCGTACTTCTCTACCGACTATCCATTGACTGGATCCTCGGGACTGTTCCCGTCCCTCATCCCCCTCCTATCGCACCAATGTGCGCACGTGCCTTCGGGCTATGACTTGTTCTGACTCGTGCCACCAATGTGGCTTTCCTTATCTTGTCTTATCTTTCCTCTGACTCATGCGTGCTGCGCATTGTATCATTTACCGTTGGCTCATTCCAATGTTTCTCGGTCTCATTCCGCATTCGACCTCACATCACTAATCAGGCTCTGCTACCAGCGTACCTATACCCTTTCCGTTTCCCCTTTGCCCTTACCTACAGTACGGTAGCCTTGCCCTTAACCCTTTCCACTTAGTATAAGTAGTCGGTCACTCTGTACTAGATTCCCTAACTTGAATCTACTCAATCTTCCCTCAAACATACTTCCCTCTGAAGCCCCCTCAGCTTCAGTCTCTAGTATCTTTTCTTAGGTGCTCATCGTGCCTAAGTCTACCTCAATCGACTACTCATTGTTCGGACAAGACTGTCCTTACTTTGAGAACGTCAGTGACTTTGAAGACATCCGTCTTAGAAGTCACGTGACATGCGCGTCTCTGATATCTGCCGACTCGTCGTCACCAGTCTCAGTCGCTACACCGGACCCTTCCGGTTACGTCACGAACGTTAGCGGACGACACCCCTCTTAGGGCTCCGCATAACAGATCTATTTGAGTGCGTAACAGGGAGCAGGCTCCACCTCTATCATTCAGGTATGGAATCACAGCCGGTACAAGTGGCGAGGTGTCCAGCTGGGATACCTTATAACAGTGGTCAAAGGCCAGCCAGTCCTACTTAAGAGCCCCAACATCACCGACTGTGCCGATCTTGACGGCTGTATCCAACGCATCAATGACTCCCCACCCAATATACACACTCACTTGGCTGCTGAGCGTGCTGCTGTCCATGCAGACCTGCATAATCACAATAATGCCTTGCCTGATCCTAACAACATTGTTTTTCATCCTCATGTTAAGCTCAGTACCTCGCCATCGGAGTTGGAGGTTGAGGCTTTGTTACTGTCAAAGGGTAAGGGCAAAGCTAAATGCCCTGCAGACAGGTTTCCCTCCGCCCTCAGCAATCAGTCATTCCAGGCTAAGCCCTCCCCAACATATTTGGCCTATTCCATTCCATCCTTCGGCACACCATCTCCACTGCCCAAACCTAAATGGCTTGTCCATCATTGTGGTCCATCCTTCAGCACACCATCTCCACCCCCCAAACCTAAATGGCTCACAAGTCGCCATCGAAGTCCACACAGTCCCACAACTAGTGTGGAGTCTGGCTCCCCTCCTACTCGTCAGAAACCTCTCCACTGGGCTACTGCACGCCCCTCTACAGGCTCCTCCACCGCTCATGCCCATGTCTCTCTGGGCATGCTTTCCAACTCCATCAATATCAACGATGATGTCAAGGTCTGGCCAGGTGATTTTTATGCATGTGATATTGCCAAGGGTTTCACACATTGCAGGGCGGTTGGCAAGCACTGCCAAGGTGTCAGTGCCGTCTTCCAGAAGATGTTCAGTGTTCCTTATGTGAGCACAATATTCCATGTTCACAGGAAGCGTTGGGAAGATGCACCTGCGACAGTTACTGATAGGTTCATCAAGGCTGGACGCACGGAAGCTGGTCTATGGTCGAAATTCATGGCAGAGACCAGGTCTTGAGTTTGAGTGTTGTCTCTCTCGCGTCTTCTTATCTGTCTTTGTTGTTAGTTGGCCTGGCCTTTGTCTTAGTTCATCTCATGTCTCCCATCTCGTATATTGTGTATCCCTTATGTCTAAAATTTAATTTTCTTTGTTGACGCAATTACTTTCCTTGAGCCACTTTGAGGGAGCCAGCGTGCCCCAAAATGAGTTAGCTACATCTATAGTACTGTAAGGTATTGTAAATATTTTCTTTGTTGACACAATTGCTTTCCTGGGGCCGCTTAGAAGAGAAAAACAATTGCATCAACAAAGAAAATGTAGTTACCTATACCCTACAGTATAGGGTATAGGTAACTACATTTTCTTTGTTGATGCGATTGCTTTCCTTGGGTTAGCTACACCTATACTGTAGGGTATTGAAAATGTTTTCTTTGTTGATCAAAGAAAACATTTTCAATACCCTACAGTACAGGTATAGCTAACTACTCTAAGCGGCCCATGTAGTCAGCTATACCTATACTGTAGGGTATTGAAGATATTTTCTTTGTTAACCAAAGAAAACATCTTCAATACCCTACAGTATACTAGGTATAGCTAACTACATGGGCCGCTTAGAGGGGCCAGCCCACCCCCAAAACTGTTCATGTTAAGAGTTCTGTCTCAGGGGTATTAAGTTAGCTACACTTATACTGTAGGGTATTGAAGATATTCTCTTTGTTAACCGAAGAAAATATCTTCAATACCCTACAGTATAAGTGTAGCTAACTTAATACCCCTGAGACAGAACTCTTAACATGAACAGTTTTGGGGGTGGGCTGGCCCCTCTAAGTGGCCCAAGGAAAGCAATCACGTCAACAAAGAAAATATTTACCATACCTTACAGTACTATAGATGTAGCTAACTCATTTTGGGGCACACTGGCCCCCTCAAAGCGGCTCAAGGAAAGTAATCATGTCAACAAAGAATATATATTCAATACCCTACAGTACTATAGTCCTAAGTATAGAGAAAACATGGTACATGAGAGGGGGGGGGGGGGGAGATTAGTATCACAACTTCTGACTGGCACCGTCACTTGGACCTCTTCCAGACAGATGGTTTCTGTCCTGTCTTCTCTAACTTCTTTAATGTCAGCTCATTTCAGCACAAGATCATCTCATCAAGAAAGAAGTCAAACTTTGCAGGCTTCATCCCTCGTGTGATGGGATTAAAGTTACTGAACCATGAATTAGTTTGCTCGCAAGCTGAAGAGTTAAAGTACCACTCCCCATCATCTGTCTTGAGCTCTGGGAAAGTGGCAGGGTTGCAGTTCTCTTGGCAGAACATGTCTGACTTTGAATGCTTACACTCGAAGTGAAAGACATCGACCGAAAGGCCAATGTCTTGAAAGAAGGGGTCGTCCTTGACGTGCAGCGTGAGTTGGCAGTTATTATTGAAGAATACATGAGTAGGGTGTGTCTCTGGATCTCAAAACACGCGACAAATAAATTCCTAGTTAGAGAGTCAGTAACAAATCACTACATAGCAGGGAGAAGCATACTGACAGCAACACTTCCAACTCCCTCAGCATTGTGCATCGTCTCACGTGCATGAATTATCCCACAAGGCGCAACAATCAACTCTTTGCAATGAGTATAGTTGCGGGTGAAATGAGCATGAAGCCTCTTCTTCTTTCCTGGCTTCTTTTCAACATCATATACCTCCTCACCAATGGCTTGTGTGGCATTAGCCTCATCACCTTCGTCCTCTTTAGCCCCAATCTGCACATTTGCAAGGCAGCCATGAATGGTGCATGAGAGCTCAAGGCGCTCATGCAGTCGAAAGCACGATTTCCCTCTCAGAGTATGCAGTGCTTCAGATTCCTGGTGCGCGAGGATGTCACAAGTGAGGCGACCTGACAGCACAGGTCGTGTACAGCCTTTGATCGCGCAGTGGTTGAGATTTGTGGAATGGACGTGGCAAAACCTGTCACATGGACTATGAAGATGGACCCAACAGTTCAGAATAGAGCAGCATGGTTGGCTCACGACAATCACAGACACCAATTTACCTTACTCATGATTAGCACTAGAAAATGAAAAGACGTGAGACTCACTGATATTCTCCTCACCACTGATGACCCGAGTACACTTGCTACAAAAGTGTCTGCATGCGAGTGGTTGATTATATGAGCGCATGCGCCGGTTCTGATCTAACATTGCCTCAACAAAGCACTCACTCTGATTGAGGCACTGATTGACTTCGAGGATGCACTGACATTGATGGCAATCTTCAAGTAGGCTACAGATGATGAAGGCATTCCATACATGGTCCATAGTGACCTCTTTCGTGAACCATTTCGTGTCGGGAAATTTCGTAGACTCTGCGTTAGCCAGGGCAAGGTTGTAGATGTGCGCACAACTTGTTGCGGACGTGCTGGTAATCCTACAATCAGAGGGTGAATTATGAGACAATGCGTGTAGCTACATACCATGAAGTATGCATCATGGCTTTCCACAGCTTTACAACTTGATAATCGACAAAGTAATGCTCTGCGATTTGCAGAACATCCGGCAGGGAAGCAGTGTAATCGTAATAGATACGTTGATCACTGACAACCTTATAGTTCGTGTGATAAGTGGTATTGCAGGCTAACAGGGACTTAGCAGGCATCTCGAGTCAAAGTGCGATCATGACTCACATTCACAATAGAATTGAATGCTCCATGCAGGGACTACACCATGGCGAAGACTGAAGTATACTGCCTTGTGCTGGATGGACTTGCCAAGTAAGAGACCATTTTGCCGGCGGCTACAGGTCGCATTTTGGCATGTCTTGAACAGAGGATAGAAAGTATGATATGCTGTGGGGGAAGATGTGTTTAGTATTACAAAAACAACACAATGAACATACTAAATCCATATGGGTGTCCATGCGCTTCGAATAAATCCTTGATCTTATCATAGACAGTGAAGTGGCCTGTCCAAATGTCATTCTTGAGGGCACTTCAACACATCCTAAGAGATTCTGACGACAGCACACAAGCACTACTCAGGAATGTGACAATACTTGGAGGAAGGAACATTGGAGGCTCGTGGACATCGTGCGTGGTTGGCTGTGTGAGGATAATGTCATTCTTCAAGCTTGTTGCCAACAAAGCAAAGGTGAATATGGTTTCTAAAGTAAGGTCAGGAATGCCGCTGAGGAGCTCAGCAGCACTTTTCAGTGTGATCATGGCCTAGTGTCGATACAGACAGAAAGGATGGGTGGGACAGGACAGACGGAACAGGATAGACGGAATAGATGGGACGGATGGGACTTTCTAACTTTCGGGTTCCCTCAATTGTTCCAATTCATTGATGCTCCTAAGTTTACCTTTCAACACTACACTACATCTCAAGCCTTGTCACATACTATCATGTCTAGCTCAATAGCAACACTTCCCACAGATCATCAATCAGCCATCACTTTCTCACAGACTACACAAACAGCTTCAACAAATTTGAACCAATCTCCCACCCCCTATTAACAGGACTTGTCATCACACTGTTTGCAGTCCCCCTTGTCCTTACTGGCTCTTCTTCATGGTTATCCAAGGCCCTTTCCCTATCCCCCCTTGAACATATCACCATCATTGCATCTATAATCATCACCTTGTTCTTTGCCTATCTCCATACCAGGCCTCTTAGAAGGTTTGCACACCCTGCTGGGGTACTTCTTCAGTGTATCAATTGGCACCTCATCATTGTATACTATCTCATTGATCTGTATTCAGGCAAGTCCACTAGCCCTATACCTAACTTAAACTTACTTGGGCTAATTCTTACTGACTCAGCCCTACCTACACATACTCCATCAACTGTAGTCATTGGTTGTATTCTTTTTGTCTTGATGATAGTCATGGCAGATGCAGTCTTTTGGGCTATTGTAGCCCACAGATATAGTGAAGATAGACGGGGAATATATGCAGGAGTGCAAGATAGGGTTTGGGCTGGCCTGTGTTGGCTTAGAGTTTGGCTACACTTATTGGGACAGGGTATGTATGGTTATCTAACTCAAACTCAGAGTCTGTTCTGACATCATCTTTCAGTGATTGGAAATCTATTCTAGCTGCTTAGCCAGCTATTTACATGTGGACCAGTCACATAGTCTAATGTGACTGCAGATATAACTCCTCCTCCACTGTATTCTGTAAGTGTCCAATATCTATGCTTAAATCTATATTCTAATCATGGTTTCAGCTTTATGATACTGAAGTTTTAACTTATAGGAATGTAGATAAAGTTTAGTTGAACTACATATTGTATCACCTACAGCTGGCTGCAATGTTATTTGATTTGTCATCAATGTAGTGCAACAGCTACAATAAGATACCATCTTTAACTCATGATGGACATGTTCATACACAGTCAGTTTCTTTAAGTGAGTCAGAGAAGGAGCTTCAACAGGCAAGCAAATTTTCTTGTTGCATCATGCCCACTAATCTTATTGGACATTAGTATAGTGAGTAAAGAAAAGTGCATGCGAGGAGTTTAATTTATAAGAGAATGTATTCTAATACTGTTGTCAGCTCATGTATGAAGGAATGAATAAGTATGGCTCACATTTCAGTCTCAGTAAAAGGACTAAGATGTTTCTACAGCAGGAATGTTCTTTTAACATACAGTAACAGTAAAACTTGGAGAAAAAAATAAACAATGATATAACTTTGAAATATATGAGGGTTGGCCTGTTGGAATAGCAAGTATGCACCCACAGTCGAGGCACATCATTAGTTTCATTCATTATGTCTGACAACTCGTATGTTTCCATTATCCGCTCTTGTTATTTACTTTTCTATTGTACTTACAGAATCTATTGATCTCATGTGCCAGTGCCCCATATATTTTGTTACAAGTCTCAGATACTTATTTGTTCACACAAGAGCACTTAGCCTATGCTACATACAAATGACCTAGTAATCTGAGATGTCTGACACAGTCACTCAAAAAAGTGTTGTACCAAATTACTCATTTGCATCTCTGTAACAATTACAATACTATATTTTCTAGTCATGTGTAATGTGACATTACAGTTCAGAACCTGCTCACAATAGAGGCAAAATATTGAAAATGCCACTTTCAACTACATCACCATGTTATTTTTGAGTCTGGGTCATTTCAGAAGAACACAGGGCAGTTGATTCTAAATAACTTTCATTAAGCAATGAATACAAAACTGTAGTTGAAAAGTGGCAGGCAAACCTAATTCTAATGATCTTGGTAGATCTGACAAACTGTTATATCTGGTATTACTCAATGATCTGACTGTCTGATGTCTGATAAAGCTAATATGTCTGTGAATCTAATGTCTGATTTGTCTGACCATGCTGATAGCCCATATGACCTGTGACTCTGACCTCTGTTGTATCTGAAATTACTGATCTGCTTGTTTATCTGATGTCTTAAGTATCTGATTAGACTGATAGGTCTGTCTGACTATATGCTGATGGTGCTGATGGTGCTGATTTATCTTTTTAGTATCTGATATCAGATTCATCAGACATCTCAGATAAATCAGGAAAAATCTAGGTTTTCTGATGAACTCCTGGTATTAAATTCTCTACCTCCTACCTGCTGTCCAGGATTACTATTTGCTGTATTTGCATCACTTTCACTTTCCTCCTGAGCTCTGGCCTTATCAGAAGCCCTTAGGCTGAACATACTGCTCCTTTGTATATGCCCAGCTCATATATTTCTTCTACAGCACTTTGGCATTATTTGGTGCTCTTTACATCAGATAGAGTCTAGCCCAGGAGTATGCCATTATGATACTTGGATCTGTACTGGGTGGGAACAAGTGCCTTTTGATACTTGTGCCATGTTCTATAGAAGGTTACAGGATCTATATCATTTCCATTTTCTCTAGCAATAAATTTTTCTCGGCTGATGCTCATCTGGTACACACCCATGCTTAGATCTGCTTTCTGTACTACCTATTCATATTCTTTCCATGTTCTTCTATTTCTGCTGGTGCATGTTCATTTTCTCTTTTGGTTTGACTAAATATTAGCAAGACTTATTATATGTATTGACATATTCTGTTCCACATATGCTTTTCATTACATATTACTTATCTGCCTTGTTTAGTTTCAGATGCTCATGCAGTAGGATAAAATCTTGTGTACTACAGACTGTACGACACTTCCCTTCCCTTGGATGCTACCTTTGTTTTGCAGGGTCACCTCAGATATTCTTAGTACTTTGTTTAATTGACAAGCTTTATTTACTCTTACTTTGAACTTGCATGTTCTTGACTGGCTGCAGTGTTACCATTCAGATAGTAAGAATGAAAAGTTTCATCTTTTTCAAAGTCCCATTCACCTTTAGCTTTATGCAGTAGCATAGATCTTCTTTCTTCTGAGTCCATGTCATTGCCATGACCATCTACAAACTCTTCCTCTACTTCCTTGAATTGCACAACCATGGAACTGTTGTTGGCACCTTCCCTCTTATCCAGAGCAGCCACTGACTCCTACATAGGCTGAGACACCTCACCTGCATCCAGTACAGGATGTAGGATGAAATTATCTAAACAAAATGGAATAAAACTTAGGTGGCCTTGGCCCTCAAGCTAAGCCAAGTGGATAATAACTGTATAGAAGTTGTGCTACAGCACTGCACAAGTCTCGGTGGCAGTAGAAGTAAGTATAAAGCTGCTATTGTCAGTCAGTGAGCCTATGCATAGGGCATAGTCTATTAAATATATCATTATTTCTAAGTCTATAAATTTCTGCTTTATAAGGGTCACCAGTAGTTGATGCAGAAGTTGGAGAAGTGCAGCAGGATGGAGAATCTTAATTGTAATGAGGTAATTGTGGAGCATGTTGGCAGTGTGAAAAAGTAATATTAGCTGAAGATTGACTCCTAATCATATGAGGCTCAATAGAAAGCTGGCCCTCCAATAAATGTAACTATGGAGCTTTTAGGGACACAATGTTTTGTGGAAGTGAGGTGCAAAAGGTGTGTGTTATATATTGAGTAGCCTCAGTAAGTCTTATTATTCACTTATCCCTAGGTCAATCAACTTCTGGGCTCCCATTCCAACTGGCCAAATTCATAGAGTGAGCCTAACATGTCAGTTTGGAATCTGAGTCTATAGTCAGGAACTCAATTTCAAGTCCTAATAGTGGCCTTTGGGCCACACCATCAGCAGCTCAGATTTTATGCTCCTTTGCACCAATGAGAAGCTTTCATTATGCCTGTTTCTTGAGCAGGACTCACAGCCACCCATTATGGATAACTTAGTCAAACTTGTATATAGAATTCCCATGGTCTGCAGGTTGATCAGGAATGCCCACGCTGAAAAGACATCAGACTCATTGATTTTATTTTGGGTGTCCATGATTGTAATGAAAAAAATCATCCTTGGTACTGCATTGGTTGGTGAGTGAGCTTGCGAAACCTGCTCCCATTAGGATTCAGCTGATTATTTTTAATCTACTCTAGTGTGTACTCCTAGTGTCAGTCTGGGACAGTGCAATGCACCCCAAGACAATGAAGAGTGCTACTTTATAGATAGAATGTAGGATGTTAGTGATAACAGACTAGTTCTTTCATATGCAGTCATGAGTGAGGAAATAGTATGTAGTGTAGTAGCAGATGGAACTTGATCAAAAATATGATTAACAGTGAAATTTGTAATTAAGCTAGTATACATGGCTAAATGGGTCTCTAGGAAAGGAAATTATGCTCTCTCAGTGACTGATCTTCATTCAACACCAAAAAAAGATTGACTCATAGACATTACTCCATCATACCACTTGAACCTCCTGATGAGGATTTACCTGCCATTCAATTCTCTTTGAGGGAATTTGTCTCAGCTGCAGAACAGATGTTTACACCGGACCAACTAGAAAATTTCCTTCGCTTTGTACTTGCTAGACACCTCCAACATTATGATAAGCTAGCTTGTATATTTATAAATGCCAAACAAGGAGCTCCCAAGCCTCTCATTTCAGAATATCAATTGTACAGAGACATTGACTCTGTTATGGGCATTACATGTGATTAACCATTCAAATTGCCTATTACTATCTTTCCCTTGATATAATTCTGTGATACTCTTACCAAAGACAATCATTTAAAATGCCCTTCCTCTTGTTCCAAAGTAGGTAGATTTATTTCAAATATCCAGCATTCTAACAGGGGTGCCTTCATTAAAATGTCATAGGTCTCCTACTTCACCAAATTCCTAACATGGTATTAAGAAAAGTTGCTTGATGTCATATTACCCATATCTTCTTCCTTGGATTGTATGGCCCAGGCCAAAATCCTGTCATTCTTCTAGAGTTCATGACTTTGATCTATGAAAGTGCCTTCAACCTGCTATCACCAGTCTCAATCCTGTGGATCAAAGCTGATGACCAATCACATATTCTGCTACCATGACTTTGTATTATGATCAGAAGGGAAAATTTCACTTTGGCACTATTTATTTCCCACCTCATCTCCTGTACTGGCTGGGGCCTAAACTTCTGGAAATGTTTCAGATGCAAGATGGACTATAGGATGCATTTTTTGTTCATGAATTGCGAGGAACCAAAGGTGCATCACACCACAATCCATACAATGCAGAAGCCAGATGTGCTGTCCTCAATATCATATTTCATTGTTTTGACATGTCATTAGTTAGACCTGAAGACTGGGTGGTTAATATTAGACTAAAAATTCAGCATGAGGGCCACATATTACAGTGGCTCACCAAAGGCTATTATCATTTACTGCAATTTCTTTTACCTTCCAGTGCCAAACACAAAATAGATTCCATTCTAGCTTTATAGACTCAATACCATTGTGACCTCTCAGCACAATGAAAGGATCTTGGAGGATTCCATGCCTATCTAGGTTTCCATGGAAAGAATAATCAAGTTCACTACATAAATGCCTATACCACAGACAAATGTGTTACCTATCAGCTCCATGATGGCATCTTTAAGTATTGCCAGGCATAGCACTTATTTCCAACCAGCATAGGAAAGCTCATGAAGGATCTTAAGCATATAGCAGAAATATTTTACCTTTGGGGGAAATTCTCCTAATATAGGCGGATATGAGGGAAATGCTCGATTGGAGATTTAAATATCATTCAGTTTGACAGACCAAGTGCTCTTACAAATGCCAGACAGTGTAATACAAGATATGCTGGTTATCTTTAATTACAGATTATTTTGGTAAGCATTTTCATTACGATGGTAGTCATACTTAAGGGACTAATGTGAAATTCAATTGGAAGGTACTTTAAGTACTACTGTATAGCTGTACTTTATCATGTAGTTAAAAACCTACAGTGTGCCAGCTAAGCTACTTGTCTCCAAAATCAGTCATTACAATTGAAGGCTTTGGTTACTTATCAGATCACTGCCCTTATCTACCAGCTAGCAGAGGGTCAAGTGGAGAAAATCTTGCTGCAGGCTTCCTGCCAGCATATGCCTGCATATAGTACTAATAGGCCCAGCACTTGTCCTATTATGTATGGAAAAGGGACATACTTTCTGTCAGACCTAATCAATGATGCTGGAACCTATTACCTTTCTAATATTAGATTAATTGATAGTGATGCCTTGCTGGCTCTGTATCAAAGGGATTTTATGAAGGATATTAAAGTGGAGTTTTCAAACTCTCATATTTTCAGCTGCTCTAGACAGCTAAGGGTCAACTATCCATTAAGAAAATGCAAGACCACCCATAGAATCAATGACTCTGATGGCTCAGAGGTTAGCAGTAATGAGAAAGATAGTTAGGTAGAAGAAGATATTGAAGAAGTGAAGAGAAGTGAATACAGGGCCACTTTGAGGCCCCTTCTAAGATGGTAATAAATTCAAGCCTATCTAGGAAGCTGTCTGCTATTCAGCATCAGTTTGTCTCTGATATCTTTTAGCTTTCACCACCTCCAAAGCTAGCCTCAAATTCTTAAGTACTACTGAATCCAGAGTAGAGAATAAATACCAAGATCAATATCTTTTATTCACTAGATCTCAATGGTATTTTCAGTCAAGTGCAATATTGAATCATTAGCCATGAGGATTGGAATGACCTGATATTTTGATACTACTTTTCTATGAAAAGAGCCTTAATAGTTAACAATCTTCAGCATTTTCCATCAGCATCATACTATTGGCAATAGCAAGCTCTTATGGACAGATTTGATGAAAATGATACAGAGATCATTCAGAACCACTACTTGACTTAGTAGTTTGACAAACTCTACTGGTTGTCCCATCCTAAAACTGACTGTATGTAGTCAACTAGAAAAGATAGTAAGGAATGGGTAATGTTGCTCCCTAGAGAGCCAAGGATTTGCCCTTGCATAGCAATCAATTCAAGATTTATTGAGAAAGATGCTGCTATTATACTAGTTACTGGAACTTCTTAAAGGCCACTCTAGTAATGCAGTAGACCTACCATTCATAACTTACTAGGTTTTCTGTATGTATTAATTACATTTTCATGTGCCCTTCTTTGCATTCCAGTCCAACTCAAAGTTCTCCTTTTTTACCAACTAAAATTCAACTTTTATTTTTCTGATATCTTGCTTAGATTATCATGAATAGGAAAAGTAAGGCTAGAAATAGAGAATGGAGCTACACAGTAAAGCAACATGTAGTAAACTCTTTAAGAAGCCCTTCATATTACTACCCATTTAGATTTCTGGTGATTTCAGTGCCCCTTGCATAGTTTGCCTCCTAGCATCCCAGCCATCACAGACTATCTGTTTTGTTGGCCGCAGGACTTGCACTATGTTGGTGAAGAGTGGCTCAATATTATATGCAATCCTAGCAAATGTCTTCAAGAATTTGCACCCAAATTTCTGGGCCAGCGCAATGTCCTCCCTACATGAGACTTCATAGTTATGTATCAAATCACATTTATTAGCTACTAGCATGAAGATAGGTTTTTGATGCTTGACTTTGACTAGGAATTATTGGTAGCCCTCAAGCCGCTCAAAGTTAGATCAGGCTGTGGTTAAGTAAACCAGAATAAAGCCCTGGCCCTCTCTAAATAAAAGCTCAGATGTTCAAGTTGAAACCATGCAAAAGTACAATGTTGCCTACCGAACCCATTGGTCATACAAATTTGCATACTCTTCTGAATAAAAGTCAAATGAATGCTCTGGGGTTCTAATAGGTGAGGGAGCCTTACTCTGTCCAGCAGTGTCTATTATTTCAACATGACACCTTTTGTTAAGTGCTTTCTATATAAGTCTTCTATAATTGGATCATAACTCTACCAGAGGCTCATTAGTTGAGGGATGGGGGACAGCATATACTAGAATACTTACCTCTGTATAATTTGATGACCACAGTGATCATGCTTATTAGCTTAATATTAAGAGTGTTGATAGTACTAGACTCATGGACAAAACATTGGCTAGAAAACTTGGAGGAAATATGAGGGCAGGATGCATACTATGAGTAGCTTTATGATGACCTACTTGAATAGCCAAAGCAGTTTTACCAATACCACCATCACCCAACATGACTACTTTCCAATTTTCCATACTAGGTATTAATATGATGATAGAATTTAATGATGAAGAGTTATGAGACAGCCCACAGCAATGGTCACAAAGATACTAAAACTAAGAATAAAGTGATGGGAGGGCAGAAAAAAGAGAGAAGAAGACGCCAAATGGTTTATGATATTTCAGAAGAGCCTCAGCAATTACATACAGGTTAGACATCAAAAGCTACCAAGCTCTAGGTGCATTAAGACTATATTAAGACTATATTGAAGTGGCTTTCATGGGTCCCAGATCAGTATCCAACAGTGATGCTGACCACAGCTTGAGTGACTGGGTCGGTCTATTATAATTTATATTAACTTACAACTTATGCACCAGGTTAGCTTTGGAATAGAGAAGCAGAAGAATAAGATAAAAGACTGTACTAGTAGATATGGTGTAATTATGATCAAATCACTGCCACTGGGCATAATATTGGTCCCTTCAAAGACCATGATCATGGAGTAGATGCATGGAATTCTGGGACATGATTATATATTTTCAATTTAAGCACTAGAATCATGTCATTTTAGCCTGCATGGTCTGCATGAGAAAATGCAACATTCAGAGTGCTGTCCAGTTGATATCAACTTGAGATGCTCTATGAATTTATGTCCAGGAATTGCAAGAAATCAATCTTACCATCATTTCTTATGAGAGGCTGAAAAATTTGAACATGGACCACATTCCGAGCTACCCCATCCCATTGATAACAAGATGTGGGGGGAAGACTAAACATGGCCAAAACAGTTTAAATTACACAAAGTCGTCATATAAATTGATGTATGTTATATCCAGATTCCAGATACTCACTGGGCAGTATGAACAGCTTTTGAAGGGTACAATAGTAGAGACACCTACAATTTCTCAGATCTTAGAGATCATAATAAGGCTCAAGGCTAGGAAGCCAAGCCAGGAGTTCAATCAATGCAATAGGAAGTTGAGCTTGGGTGCTACTAGTATAGCTCAAATTTGCAGTTTAAGCCCATTGAGTCCATTTAAAGTCTCCAAGGACTAGGATCCAGTACTCAGGAATGGATGTTAATTATAGGTCACATAAACATATCAAACAAATATGATCCTCACAGAATACTATTTGCATTGAAATGAACTCTGCATAGAATGGAACTGGTTATGGATGACTAAGCTAAAAGTTTGTTCTACTAGAAGTTTGATAATTACTGCAACTCTTCTAACACTTGCAGCACACTACCATAAGAGTAATGTGGCCCAGTATAACTTCTCACACTTACTCTGGTCAGCTTTGATGATGTGAGGCAGTGCTGCACCAGCATTAGCTGCATCTCTGCCTTGGTCATGGTGGGGGGGAATAAGTGAGCAAAAGCCAGAATCATGCTACTGTATTCCAGGACTTTTATACATATTCTTCAATACTCCACTTGAAGTTTGTTCAACAGTCAAGTTCATTGACACTGTGGTTGGCAGCTGTCCCATTCATCTTATAGATATATATGTTTGTTGATGATATTTTCAAGTTTGCACTAGTATGTACATTGTAATGTTTTTATTATAGTAGACATTCAAATTTTTCTTAGGTGAGAAAGATGATTTGGTTTTCATCATGATGTGAAGGCTGCACAATCAATGTATCGCACCCTAAAGGACTCAGGTCAGGTTTCTGATGGCCTTACATCAACAATCATGTTGAAGACCAAATCCCAAATAGTATTAGGCTGTCTTTTGACTCGGAAGGAAGATTCCAACAGCTTATGAATTTTAAGTTCTTCATAACCTGGGACATCCTGCATCTTAGATCTTAGCCCTAGCACTCCCATTCTATGTAAGATGCTTATGGCTATACATGATTGTGTTGAGTGATGACTACCAAAGTGAAGACCTTTTGATGTTATGCCTTGGCCACATGCCATCCATATGAGGGGCTACCAACGAGAAGCAAGATATTTGGAGTTGCTGTAAAAGGATGAACTACCCTATTGACACTGAGGTTCTCAATTCACCCTGTCTTACGTTGTTGCTTTTCAATAGCACTGATATCTATCTTCTGATATTTCAATATTCATTTCAATGCCCATCGCATGTGCCATAGCATCAATATTGATTTTTTAACCCATAGCTACTATGTTCCCTCAGTTTACCTTTAGTCCCTGTTCCTGTATCAATTGCCTGAATGATATGTAATCACAAAGTCCGTGCTTCTGTCAGATATGGGTGTGACCCTTGATTTACACCTGGGGGTCTTGGTATACGATCTGGTGTCTGCATCAACATGCTGTGAGACTGGTCATAACTTGCACTTGGAACGTGACCTTGCTTGTAAGGTGAATTAGTCAAGTGTTTGAGCTTTTTCATGTGTGGCCTTGCCTTGGTTAATTATACTGAAAGATTTCAGTGATCTAGTCAGCCTCTCAAATCTCAGGCTGAATAAGTTCACAATAAAATTAGGAGTGCAGTGCCTCTTCTCATTGTGACTACACTGTTATCCCTTGGCCTAATTAGCTTACTTCAACTGGAGCATCACATTATTTCAAATGCAGACCCTCAGCCTGATGCTGTGAACCACAATATTGAATCTTGCTGGTGTCAAGTGCCTAAATGCAGAGAAATGGTCCAATGTAGCGGGCTTTGATAGCTGCACTAAATAGGCCATTGTCTTGTTTTGTTAAGGTCATACTCTCATAGGGTCAGATCCAAAGGACTTTAGCCTTAGCTCATACGCTGTGCCCCTTTCCCAAGTACTGTTCCTTATTTCAGATACTAACAATAATACGTCTAAAGGTCCAGACAAGTCTCGCAGTAATATCTGGATGACTTCCAGATATCGGAAACACATATAAGACTAATCTGGACAAGTCCGAACTACAAATCAATAGAGTATAGATTACCTGAAGGTAGAGCCAAGGATATAGACTATCGGAATCGATCTGAAGTATTGGAGGTTGATAAGAGTTGAATAGACTCAAGTCTGGAGGATAGAAAGAGGACAAACTAAGATGATATTTGAACTGAGGTACTACAGGACATATACATGAGTTTATATACTAAGAGGATAATAGAAGGATCAGTAAGTAAAGGTCCGAGGCTATGTATGAAGCATATGCAAAGCTTCTCAAACACAAGTTGGAAATGAAGCATAGGTTAACGGATCAGTAAGTATATCGGTAATAAGTATAACTGAGATACCAGGAAGAGGAAATACCGAATGTGTTGTGTTTAATGTTATATGAACAGGAAATGAATTAAGAAGCTTATCATAAATTGGATCTATGCATCGGACCGGATCAGATCTAAGGGTCTGAAGTCTGGAAGAGAAGCATGAATATATGGGATATGACATGTTTCCACATTCTTCTATCGCCTATCACTGTGACTGATTCAATTTCTAATAGCTTCATTTTGAAAGCATCAAACCACTTGCTTGAGGCTCTCAAGGAAGATTGGTTTTGCAGTGACAATGTGCAGTTTAGTGGCACCAACCCCACAAAAACTTGGTCAAGTTGATGACCAACACTACTGATTTGAGAAATTGACCAATGCCCGTGATCATTCCACCCATCCCTAGTTCATATAGTATTGAAAATTGGGCCACTTCAACATAACATATGCACACCTGCTCCAAATGCCAATGCAATAATTAATGCCTGATGTCAGGCTATCTATTCAAAAAAACTGATGTCCACCAAATACTCAATTGGGGATATCACCATAGCTGGTAAGCTAGAAATTAGCGAAACCCCACAAATAAAGCTCATCTCCCATGGAACTTTCGTTCTGTACAACTAAGGAGCTGTCAAATGCATGAGTCTGTAATGTATGAGCATATCAGTGCCTCTCCATGATATCAACAACAGCCTGCGATATACTGAGCTTGAACCTGACCATTCTGTTTGAAGAGGCCCATATTGTGATGGCCAAAGATAGTGATTTGCTCAGTTCCTAAGCCAGCAGCGTCCAGAGGAGCATACTCATCAATTCATTTGGCTACTGTACTAAAAGATGGGATAAGGTACAGTCACTGCAGGCATGTCTTCATTTTCCTCCACCAAACATCGAAAAAAAACATTAAATTAGAAGATAGAAATTTCCTTGCATTTTGTGTATCAAAACATTGAAACAAAAAATGTATGTATTGAAGATTTTCTGCATGCAAGACATAATCTAAAAATGAGTCATTTTTCCTCAAGAAACAGTCTGTATTTTTCATTCATCATTTCTCAAATAACAATTTACAATCATGTTAAATTTTTTGCCTCTGTTTTTCCAATGTTCTGTGCATCAAAAATCTCAATTACTTCATCCTGTTCACCATATGTTTAATCCAAGAACATTGAAAAATTATATAACAAATAATAAAATATATTTGACAATGTTTTGTCAAGGAAAAGCAAAGAAACTTCAAACATTCATTTGTATATTTGGTAAGAGGAAATTTGTGGAACATGCACCATGTTTGCAGTATATTCCTCCTGCACAACACTTGAAAAACAATTATTATGTTCAGAGAAAAAAAGTGAAACATAATTGCAGAATACTCTACCTAAGAACATTATCGGAAATTTCCTAGCGGCATCAAAATGCCGACATATTTTAATGCAACCAAGTGCGCATTATCACTGTGATCAGAATCAGATTTAGACATGCCTTAGCTGAGTTTTAATTACATCATGATGCTATCTCAATCTCAGATTAAGCATTATATTGAATGTTGAACTCCAAATCGTCGCTGTTAAGCCTTGTATCTCATATTTGTGCAATACATGCTTTGTTTATTGTATGCTTCAAAGATGCCGAAGGACTCACAATGTTCCTCAGAAGAAGTTTTATGCAACATATGTGGTACCATGATTCGAGCTCGTGGGCTAGTCTCGCATATGAGGAAGTGCAAAAAACAGGATAGAACAGGCTGAGCTCACTGAGATCCTTCAGGAAAGTGCAAAGACGTGTGAGTACTACTTCCTTGGAGCAATTGATCTATGTCATCTTATCAATATGCAGATCACCGCAAAAAGTCTCGCCAATCTAACAAACCCATGCCAGGTAAGCTCACGACAACTTTGACAATTATATGTTGACTTTTCTGACAGTTAGCAGTTGATTCAATTTCAATATGGACCATACATGATGGACCATCTGCTGCTGGTGGGGACAATGTCTCAGAAGACATTAGTATGTTCCCAGGTTACTACTATAGTTTATGAGTTTCTGACATGTACATCAGAAATGCATGGATCGTCACCCTGCAGTCACCAATCAGTGGATTTCAATCCGGGGTCCCCTCACTTAGATGGTGCTGATTTCGATCCCACCCTTGACCCCGAAGTGGTGGAACCGCAACCTCAACAAGATGATATTAAAGTGGAATATCACCCACACAGTAAGATACCCTCGACCATCCATCGTTTTGTAGACTTTTCCCGTCACCATTCTATGGAAGATTCTGTGCCTCGTAGCACTTCTCCGTGGGAACCTTTCCGAACACGACTGGACTTTGAGGTTGCAGAGATAGCGCTTGAGGCAGCAATGACAAAGGACCAAACCAACCGGCTCTTTAACCTCCTGCACCGCTCTGCATGTGGTAAAGAGGCTTTCACATTGCAAAGTCATGATGAAGTCCGTTCATTTTGGGAGATGGCTTCCGAACAGTTCACACCAGTGAGTGTTTCTAACGATGCATTATGTCCAGGCTCATCAACATCATTTTCACAAGCGTAGTTTCAGAGCAGTGTAGTATCTGTGAAATACCGAAGTGAAGTTCATGATTTTAATATGTACTCCCAACCTCTTTGGGACTGGGCACTAGACCTGCTGCGAGACAGTCGCTTCGCGAAGCATTTTGTTTTGATGCCCAATGTTTGTACAAGTACAATGGAGCCCACTTCACATGCTTCTTCAATGAGCCCTGGACTGCCAACACATTTTGGGATGCTCAAGTATGTACCTACCTTGACCTTTCGACTATCATTAATACATTGTATTTCAATTGTTATATTAGTCGCGACTTCCACCAGATGCTAAGCCACTCGCATTCATTCTTTATGCCGATAAAAATAAGTTGTCATCTTTTGGAACTCAAAAGGGCTATCCAATTATAGCGCGAATTGCAAATTTGCCTGTTGAAATCTGGAATGGTGTTGGTGTGGCTGGTGGTCGAGTCGTGGGTTGGCTGCCAATTGTAAGTGTCTAATATGAATCTTGCACTTGTTTGACCTTAAACGTCAAGTTATGAACAATTTCATTAGGTCAATGAAAATCAAAAGGATAGCGGAAAAGCAAGTTTTGTGAATTTCAAGAATGTGGTTTGGCATGAGTCATTTTTGCAGCTTATAGAGTCGGTCATACAGCATTCGAAGACTGGTTATTGGTTCGACTGTGGGGACCTGATACGACGCCTTCTTTGGCCAATAATATTGATCCTCAGTGCTGACTATGAGGAACAGTGAGTACCATGTGTTTCTTTACACACTGTAATGAAGTCTCTCATGTATCATGCAGATGTATCATGTCCTTAATTTGTGGATTGAAAGGCAAATTCCCTTGTCCAGTTTGTCTGGTCCCCCAAGATATGCAGTCTATCTACACAGAGGAACTAACACTACGCATAAGTGCTGAGTCTCAACAAGTGCTGAAAACTGCAAGATTGGCCAAGATGAAAAAGGCCAGAGAGAATCACCTAAAAGCATTCTCGCTGCACAATGTTGAAGTAAGTTAGTTTTTTCAACTTGCGAATTTACTGACACCAAGCCCTACAGAACGTTTTTTGGAAAGTTCATCATTGTGATATCCATCGTGCACTCTCATGGGATTGCATGCATGCCAACAATGGCAGGTTATGGAGCGACCATTTGTGGGTGGAGCTTCAGTTTTGGATCACGGATCTAGGTCGAGAAGCAGCTGTTCAGATTGATTCAAAGTTTGTCTTGTTATTCACTGCACTACACTTCATACTAAATTGGTTTTGAATTTAGCTTTGACGCTTTCCCAAGATGGCCTGACTTGCAGCACTTCTCACATGTGATGAAAATAGACTTTACTGATAGCGCAACTCATGAAGATATATCAAAGGTATGTTAGTCTTCTGGAATTTCGAACTTCGCATTGCTCAAGTCGTACCAGTTGGTAGTATTCGCAGTGCAGAACATCCTTACACGGACTGAAAGCAAACTTGGCTACCTGCTCTTACGATGCATATGTCGCTTTGTCATGTTCGACATGTATGCAGCATTGGAGGTTCACACAGAGGATACCATCGCAGCCGGAAGGGAAACTTTGTGTGAATTCTTGACACTGCTGGATGTAAGTTCTTGTGAACAATATTTTCTGGCTGATGTGTTGATGAATCATTACTAGGAATACATTACAAAATCAGAGCCAGAAACTGGGAAGAATTGGAATTTTCCAAAAAAGCACTCAAATGTGCATGTGTTCGATGACATCCTAGCAAAAGGCGCCACTCGAAACTACAACACGAAGCCAAACGAAAGGATGCATGGCCCATTACGTGTGTTAAGACCATGCACAAAGGGTAGGACTGATTCTGAGGGGCTTGGCTTCAGCTCGTGCACTGCGCCCCTTACCTGAGTATGTGCCCTTAATTTCAGATTGGTGTCTGAAGAAAGTCCAAAGACGTCCAAAGACGTCCAAAGACGTCCAAAGGACATCCAAAGGCGCGGGAAACTTCGGAAGGACTTTCCGGACGGGTGCAAGTAACTTCCGGATGAGTGCGGGAAAGTTCCGGAGGAACTTCCGGAAATTACGATGAGGTTTTGTCCTGATACGGATATGTATAATGGCTACTTGGGACTTGTCCTGAGTAGAAGTAAACAGAGGAAAGGCTGCAAGGACAAAGTCCGAAGCAGAATAGGTCCGGAGGACCGTGGGAAAGATCCGGATGAACTTCCGGAAACTACGGAGGATCAGATGAGCAGATGAGCGGAGTATCAGATAAGCAGAGCTCTGGCCTAGGGAGAAACTCCCTAGGCCTGAGATGGATAACAACTAAGTTGGAAGACTAGAACTGATATGAGGACTTAGAGTGAAGACTAGTGCGAGGACTAATATGATATTCAGACTGAGGTACTACAAGACATATACACGAGTTTATATACTAAGAGAAATAACGGAAGGATCAATAAGCAGAGTCCGAGGCTATGTATGAAGCATATGCAAAGGTTGACAAACGTGAGTCGGAAATGAACATAGGTTAACGGATCAGTAAGCATACCGGTAATAGATATAACCGAGGTACTGGTAACAAGGAATACCGGATAGGCTGTGTTAACGTTATATGCACAGGAAATGAATTATGAAGCTTATCATATATTGGATAGGAAACGGATCTATACATCGGATCGGACCGGATCGGATATGGTCCGGATGAGATGCATGGATATATAGGATGTGGCATTAGGGCGATGGGACAAGGATGAATGATGCAGGCTAGCTGCGAAGGATAAGGGATCTGGACGTGGACATGCGGATGTGGATGTGCAGAGGTGCAGGGATCCGGATGGGTACTGGAGACATGGATAGCACATCCGAAGGTCCGGATGAGGCGTGGGAATATTATCGGATGTAGGTCCGGAATATGGGATATGACAACGTGTGATATACCTCCGATGGACAAATTTCAAAAATGTTGCTACCCAGGTCTGTAAATAACATTTTGCTCAATGCCATGATTCACTGATATGAATCATAGATCATTCGCTATGACCATTGGCTGCTGACATCGACATCTATGTGTTCTGAGATCGATGACCTGGATGAGTATACACGCCAGCAAGTTGTTGACCCTGAGGCTGGTGAAGAGATCGAAGAAGTTGCAACGCATACATATTTGGGTGTGAGGCGAGGCAGTCAGTCTTTCTCTCAGATCGAGCAGGAGCATGCAGCAGATACAGCCTTTTCCGGATTTCGGATCAGGCTGAACAGGTTCTTGAACGAGTTCCTGCCTCAATTTGAAATTCCCTTCCCAGATGGGAGGCGTGTGCATTTTCGACCTGATGACCAGGTAACGATTTAGCTATTCCATCCAACCATTCAAACATTACAATGTAACATCCTTTTGGCAGGTCACAGTATTTCAATACTTATGGGTGAATTACGAATCTATGGTCGACTGGCATCTAAAACGAGATCTCCTTCGATGCAACCCATCTTTCTTTGGATCACCAAGGTATGATTGTGTCATGGTGAAGGCCCAAGACCAGCCTCTTTTTGCGCATCTCATTTTCTTGTTTCGCTGCTCAATCGGTGAGATCGTCCTTTCTTTCGCCCTTATTCATCCCTATGATGTTGCCATCGGTCATCGCCATAGGCAGGACATAGATTTGGGGCTGTATCATGTGCGAGCCAAACCTTGCGCATCTCTGGAACTCATTTCCATCGAGTCCATTATTCGAGGTGCTGTGCTTGCCAGTGACCCTGCTACAGCTGGGGATTATTTCATTGTAGACACCATCGATACCGACATCTTCCTCTGAATGAAGTCACTACAAGCCCATTGTGTTAACTAATTTGAATGTCTAGCCTTGACAGTAAGTGATTGATACTATCAGTGTGACAATCTACCTCATCACATCTCTAATAGAATGTTCTGCTCAAGCTTGTGCTGGTCTTATGAAACATTTGTTGGAAGCTCCAGTGTTATAAAAATGTTTCTCATCCTACAATTTGAACTCCTTTGTTTCTTTTGTCAGTATTTGATACCAATAAGTTAGATATCATAGCTCTTAGACTGTTCAATGTGAATTTACTATGATGTCAATGATTAAAAATTCAGTAAATAGCTTACTAATAAGAGTAATGATTATATCAACATTATTATGACTCAATAAGCCATGAGGCCATGCCGTGGGCTTCTTGACTTCATTCCGTCCGATAGCATCATGCCAACCACAGTCGTTGTCGACACATCTCCTGTGTTTCTCAGCAGAAGTACAGGTCGAAGTTCCTCTTGCCAAGAGCCCAAGAAGAGCATCAGGCCCAAGACTTTGATTCAGACAAAGGCAGCATCATCACCAGCATCACCATTTACTAGCAGAAGGAGGGAAGATCCAGTGGTAAAGAGTGGCTTTGCAATCCAGCCCAACATCAAGGCCTCACCAGAAATCCTGGGAAACAAAAACATTCCAACAACTCCCTCTGAATCTGCTAACATCCCATTGCGATTGGATTATTATTCGGACAACATTCTGTGTGAAATAGCTAACAGTGACATACCTATCACAGGTATTATTTAATGATTCAACTAAATCCATCGATCAAACCTGACATTCCAGTAACCTTTCAGGTCCATGCAAGTCGGTGCTTGAGTTTATAGCAAACTCTGAGAAAGAGGTCGAAGTACATTTAGATAAGACTGATGGACAATGCCGGGACCTAACGATGATATCAGGAGTTCTCAGATATTCATCCAGAAGATTTTGAGACAATATCGCACATCGTTGATCAGATCCAAACGACCAAACAGAAACCAAGGTATGTTTTATCACACGGGTTTGCTGTCTATATCACAATTGGTTGTCTATAGATTCACTTATGATTACATTAACTGCCATCTTGTTGAAATGCCAACTCATATACATGAAGTCCCGTGCACAGTATTCAAGACGTGGTTTGACCGGTTCCTGGACTCTCTGGATTTCGACCGCACCCTCATTGACACAATTGTCTTCATGAATGCTGAGGTTAAAACAGAGGAGCTCTCCACCATCCTGGATATGACATTGTCTGTCATCGTAGGGAACCCTCACAGACCTCTCAAGGAGGCCATCCCTGTTCTCATAGAAACCGCATTCTCTCAGCAAATGAATCCGCTGATGAATAAACTCCGGAAGCAAATTCGTGCCAAGCCCGAAGTACTCATGGTCATTGCGACCCTCATAGGAGAGACCAAACCATACCATTCGCCTGAACGCTCATCTACTGCATGGGATACTCTATTGCAAGAAACACCGGCTCGCGAACTTAGCTCCTTCCTTGACCTCCAACCCTTGGATTCGAAGCCCACAGATCCCATTACCATACTCGGTCACCAGTGGTTGGGTCTCTAGACTATAGATGTTTGGGTATGTGTGAGAGGAGATAGTCCCATCAATATCAACCTTGTGACTGGGCCGTGCACGGCTCGTGGTGTAAGTATTCCTTCGTTGTCTCGACATAGTACTAACTAATCTTTTACAGAGACTGTACCCTGACCCACACATGGACGCCGTAAATGCTATGATCAACCAGGGTCTACGCTTGGTGAAAAACAAGTTGGGTTCCCTCTGCAGAGAGGTAAACAAAGTGTGCGACCTCACACCTTTAGAAGAATCTCCTATCACCTTCCCTTTTTCTTGGGACCGTATGTACAACTCCTTAATGGGGGTGTCAGGAATTACGGCCCACTCTCATTACCTGGCATGGTACGCAAAGTCTGCCAGAGGTGTAAAGCGCGTGGAACACCCAGATTCCCATAACAATGAACCATCATCTTCAAATACTCGCTCTCGCACTGACACTGGACCAAATGCTATGGTCAGCAACAACTCTGTGCAACCTGGTACTTCCAGTGCACAAAACAATGACGTGCAACATGATGCTGGTAAGTCCAAGTCTAAGTCGAGGGGAAAGCACAGGAGCACCAAGGGCAAAGGCAAGGGCAAGGGCAAATAGGATTGCTACTCACCGGTGTGCTGATCCATAATGGACATACAGATATCTTTGGATTGTTGTCATTGCTGATAGTCTCACTCGCCTCGTGTATTTTTACTTGTTGTTCTCGTGTTTACATTCTGTGAATCTGTCTTGCATTGTAGGCTAGTTATGTGGTGTACAGTACGTGTCAGACCTGGACCATCCAATACCATGATGTCGGTTTATTATTTAGCCCTCAAAGCTTGAAGTGAGTGACGTCACAATGAACCTGGACCTTAGACTAAAGGTAATTAATACATCATTGAGCAAGTGTTTTTTTGTCTTATTGTTGTCATACTCCGAGTCGCAGGCCATCCAATTACATCATAATATAACCACCGGGTGAACAATTGGTACATTGTTAAACGTTTAATGAAAACCACAGGTTCCTTGGAGTGTACGATGAAGTAACAAGCACTCTGATTCAGAACTCACAGTCTCACACATGGACATTATATTAACTGACGGCCATCATATTACATTCAGATGCAAGCTATTGGTATGTCTTAAGGATCTCATGTTATTATTTCGGTTTGTTGACTTAGCATTCCCCAACCTTTAAATTTTCAAGCATACCCCATCAACTCTTCAGGTCCCCACTGCGTCGACTACCTTCGCTACATCAGGTTTTATTCTCAGTGCTCATAATATTGCTCACTACAGTTATGTCAGGCTCCGATTCCAACTCCATGTCTGATTCTGAATCGGGGAACTCTCTCTCATCAGATTCAGAAAATGAAGGGTTCAGAGTTGTCACCCCACCAAGTGAGGGCGCCACTATTGAACATTACAAGAAGGTACATTCCAGTTTACTCCATGACTTAGATTTCGCTTGTGCTAACTAATGTCAATATGTAAAGTATCTTCAACTTCAAAAGGGTCAGTTGGAGAATCGCAATGCGTGCCTAAATGCGACAAACAACATGCTCCAGTCACAACAGCCACAATGTTCTCGTAAAGGTGTCCGTGGCCACGCGTCTATATCTACTCCAACTTCAACAACATCGGCCCCAACTTCAATGACATCGGCCCCAACTTCAACGACATCCACCGCTGCAACCGACAAATCTGATCTAGCCTCGGACAAAGTCTTTATGGACTTGGGAAAGAAATATGCACTCACTGTCGAGATGTTTATGCTTGATGATTCAATTTTCAAATCACCCTGTCCGGATCCTCCTGTTGACATACGAAGTCTGTCTCGTTATGCCAAGACGTCGGCAGAGAAGGCAGCGCTCATCACAGAGCTCTATGGATGCATTGAGCATACACTGCACCCTTACATGCCAACTACGCATTTCATCAATAAGGTCTATTTTATCTTGCTCAATGTAACTCAGGTCTGACTGTTCTGCACTAGTTTTGCAGCGGAATGCAGCGCATACACTCCTTGTACATCTATACATTATGGTCTGTAGCTGGGAGCATCCTCGACATGCCATCTCCAAATTTTGCCGCATCGTTTGATCGTGCGGCTGTCCAGCAGATGACAGATGTGATTGGGTGGGTAGCAGGGAAGGGAAAGGAGTTCAACATACTCAATGTGCCTATCATCTACCCTAACCTGAAGGTCAATGCTAAGAAGGCATTCGGAAACTGGCTCATGATTGCTAAGGTAGGATCCCACATACTTCCTGGGACACTTCCTTATCTTTATCCATAGTTCATTAAGGTCGCAATCAGTGGGAAAATGTTGATATATTCCAAGTCTGGATGTAGCGGAGGCCCGAACCCCTACTCAAAACTATGGAAGCTGAAAGGTTGTACACCTGGTTTAATTGCGTGTGGTGTGACCGTGGTGTGTTCTGAATACTCCATCTAGATGTTAATTGATTACTAAATTTCATCTAGCTTATTTTCATTTTGTCTCCTGATCAGCAGTTCCCAGGATCAGGCATCAGCACTATGTCATCAATCCCCTACTTGACTGTCTTCCAAACTGTGAAGAGATTTTTTGTCACCCAATGGAACCACGCACGTATTCAAGACATCGTCAAGAATATGAACAATTATATCTTCGAAGATGTTGATGAGACATCACGTGACGTTAGCCACAATGTTGATGATACTGGCGAGGATCTTAGTGATTCACTAGATCGGGTCATGGCATGCTTAGACGATGACGATTCATCTGAATCAGATGATGAGAACCGTATTGCAGCACCAATTTCCCATTGCAGCTCATATTCCTGGACCAGCAGTGGTCATTGTTACGCCTGCCCTGAACCTCACTCATACTGTTGTGACCTCACTGTCCAAGCTTATCGTGGACCAATGCACATCTTCTGGGTCACCCACCACTCCTGTTCCTAGATCCCCCCCTACTGATATTCCAGTTGCTAATATAGTGCCACAACATATCAATATCGCAGGAGAGTCCATTTCTGCTGCTAGTGAGGTGTTATTAGATAATAATAATACCAAGGGTCGGAAAAAGGGGCCAAAAAAGAACAAGACTTCAGACGCACCTCCTCGCCGTTCTTCCCGTAAGGCTTAGTTGATATTCATATTTCCCCTCTGAGTTGTTGTCTACCCTTTCTATAGATATTCACAAGGTTTCGGCATTTGCCATCGGTGTTTGAATATCATCAAATCATTGCGTCTGGTTTGAACTTGGTCTAAGTCTAAGTCCTATCATTATAATCTCAGCCGGTCATCGTGCTTGACCCCAAACCTATTAGAATAACCATAGGTAGTAGTGTCATCCCTCCTGATGGTTTTGAATGCTGGTGAGTCAACTAATAATATCTGTTGCTGCAATGGCACTCAAATAATAAATTAAAAGTTCGCTGCAGATCTTTTAATTATCATTACTATGGAGCCTAGCTGTAACTCTAGCTAACAGGCATATTATAATATTCCCTGGACCTCCGATTATTGCAACAGCCCAGAAGGTGAACATCCATCGACTTGCTTTCGTGCACCAGTGCTGACCTCACATCATTGACCGCTCATTTCGAAAGCCTTCTGGAACCGAACAATCAATCAAGCAATGCTATCCTGGGGCTTTACTTGCCTGAAATGTGAACACTGTATTTACTATTGACACACTGATACTAGTACCCTACTCGTCGCAATCCACATTGTCGATTCTTTACCGTTGGCAGCACTAAAACAGTACTCGCTGACTTCAAAACACAAAATGGACCGTGTCTGACCTTGGCGAAGCCTGTTTTTGCGTCAGGATCGCTATTGACCATGATCGTACCTCCCATGCTATCACTCTCTCCAAATGTGCACTCGTACTTGGAGGCGAACATAATGCGTGCCTGCTGGGATACACTGATAGCAAGCTGAGTTGACACATGTCGCTCCATTAGCGGTTATTGCCTGGGTAGCGGTATACTGGTCACTTGGAGTGACACAGATATGGTGTGACACGGGCATGGGCACAGGCTGGAATACCTTGGTTACCTACCCTCCACAGGCTCTGAATCCGGTGTTGCAGATTCAGCAGAGGTGTCGACGTACTTTAGGGCTCAGTCTGTCTTGATTATCGTACTGCACCTACCCATTGTAAATGTTGATGTAATACATTTTAATTGTTTCATGCTTTCATTCAGAATAATTTAAGTACCCATCTAGATCAACCCAATAAGTATTCTAATGTGGTCACAATGACCATCAAGGTGAGCGTCGAAATTACGCAGAGCTCATTTTGAAGTGCATCTTGATGCCATCCAAAATGCAAATGCACCAATCACAATATGCTTACAAATGCTCATTTTGAAGTTTGGACCTGTTATTTTGACAAGTATGGAAATATGTGTCATGATGCGATAATAATGACCATTAAAATGCTGACTGATTGATCACGATAGAATTATGCCGTCAAGGCATTTTAATGCATCAAAATGCCACGAAAAAAGTTCCGACAATGCATAAATTATACATTGTTTTCTGCACACAATAGATGGAAAATACAGCATTATCCTTGAAGGAACATGATAAATTTTTGCATCATGTCCTACACACAGAAAATCATTGAAACATGAATTATTATTTTTTTCAAATTTTTGACAGACAAAATGAAGGTACACTGGTCCAAGTAGTGCTGCTGTGGTCTGGTTCAGTTTGGTTCAATGAAACATTTTGAGAGGCTAAGACTTTCTGTAAAGCAAAGTTTGCTTTGAGCAGGGAACCAACATATGATTCTGCTGTTGTTATGAGTGTACATGAGCGGTATAAATACATTTTCAAGTACTTTACTAGGCTGAAATAAGAATGGGGAGTATATGGCAAGGTGAAAATACTTTGGTGAAACAAGGGTATCATGAAGTTGGAGCACAAGGTAAGATAACAGAAAAAGAGAGAAAGGAGAAGTGAGAGAATATATCCATGTAACTCATATGTAAAGCATAGAGCTTTCTTGCATCCGTGAGTCATGTGGACTTTGTGAACAACAGTTCTCAGATTTCCTTTTCAAGATATAGGCTGTGTATAGAGGATAGACAATCCTTACACATATCATAGCTTATGGGACACAGAAAGTTGATGAATCCTTTAAGTTGGCCTTTCTTATGCACAACCAGCTGCTTTTGCTTCTTGACATCACTTGGCATTAATTTACATTTCTGTCTGCCTGTGAAACTGTAGTCAGTGTATTTAGTACACAATTACCTGAGTGTTGCACCAAGCAGTCCAGTTGTTGGCTTGGGACATAGACAGTTCACATCTGAACCCTCAAAAAACCAAACATGACCACTTTGAACAGTTTGCAAAGGTTCAATCCAGGGTTTGTCAACTCTGGTAGAACTAGACCTAGGTTTGGCACTTGTGCCCCCACTCTCAACCTTGCCTCTATACTTATCGCTTCACCATTACTAAAAATCTTCTCAAAAAACCCTTCTATATTGTCACATCATTTTGTTCTCATTTCCCCGCCAAACTAAAACCAGCCTTATACATACAAGATCCAACAAATAGTGGGTATTTGTATAACTGCTAGTAAAAAAACTCAACTTTTGACCTGTACATATGCAGGGTAGCCACTTCTTTACACATTTTTGCCATTATGTGGGATTCATTCAGATCATGAATGTTCAAAGTGTATTGTTCAATTATTAAAGAAAGTCATCATGAAAAGCCTGAATGCACAGCACTGCAAGCAAAGAGCAGTTCATAATTCAGCTGTTGTGTCAACATTTAACAAGCCTGATGTGGTACATGGAGTCTTCCACTCATTTGGGACCCATGTATGGGCAGAGGTGGACAGGAGAAAAGACAGGCTTCTTGCCCATACATGAAGGTGTGTGGAGATGGAAGGGAAAGTGCAGCACCTTCATACTTCAGGTGTGTGCACTATTATACTGGAGATGTACCTTCATGTTGTCTGTCAAAAATTTGAAAAAATAATAATTCATGTTTCAATGATTTTCTGTGTGTAGGACATGATGCAAAAATTTATCATGTTTCTTCAAGGATAATGCTGTATTTTCCATCTATTGTGTGCAGAAAACAATATATAATTTATGCATGTTCTTAGGTAGAGTATTCTGCAATTATGTTTCACTTTTTTTCTCTGAACATAATAATTGTTTTTCAAGTGTTGTGCAGGAGGAATATACTGCAAACATGGTGCATGTTCCACAAATTTCCTCTTACCAAATATACAAATGAATGTTTGAAGTTTCTTTGCTTTTCCTTGACAAAACATTGTCAAATATATTTTATTATTTGTTATATAATTTTTCAATGTTCTTGAATTAAACATATGGTGAACAGGATGAAGTAATTGAGATTTTTGATGCACAGAACATTGGAAAAACAGAGGCAAAAAATTTAACATGATTGTAAATTGTTATTTGAGAAATGATGAATGAAAAATACAGACTGTTTCTTGAGGAAAAATGACTCATTTTTAGATTATGTCTTGCATGCAGAAAATCTTCAATACATACATTTTTTGTTTCAATGTTTTGATACACAAAATGCAAGGAAATTTCTATCTTCTAATTTAATGTTTTTTTTCGATGTTTGGTGGAGGAAAATGAGGAAATGCCTGCAGTGAGTTCTATGGCAAGTGACTTCATAAGATCTGGAAAAGTATGATGAGTGACCCAAAAAGCGTGAACCAAACATGCACAAATTATGCATGCAGCCTCGGAGACAGGCTTTATTTGAGTTATCTTCACTTGTGCATCCAAGTTGCATTCATTTTTTCAAGGCCATAGGATCATAACAATATCATGAGGAATCCAGTTTCTTTTGCTCTAATTCTGCTAATGGGTTGTGGACACCTCCTCCATCTTCCATGATGCCCATTATGAATGATTTAAACTCACCTGGCTCGCACCTGCCTTCCTCCAAGCAAAATTTTGACTCAGCACGTTCAACTATGGAAGACAATAGTAAATAGGACCATTGTAATAGCCAAGGATCGCACTTACTTTGCTACATATTTCTCTGATCTTGTAGAAGCATGCATCAAAATGATGCTTGAGCTTCTCACAATACCTAAACGGTTTTCCATATCTCTGACCTGACCTCCTCAAGCTCTATATCCTCTGTTCTCTCAGCCAACTCAAAATTGTATCCTTACTCGCCACATCTTGTACCTCACTTTATTCTTCTTGACATGGATAATGCCAGGTGGTCATTTAGGCAGAATGCATCTTCTACGCATGATATATCAGGATAGGATGTGATATCTAAGGAATGTCTGCGATGCATGCCTAAGACAGACCTAGGTGCAGAAAAAGGTGCTAGATTCATGCATGCGACATGTGTATGAAGTCATTCCTTGTTAGTCAGATATGATCTGATCTGAGAGTATTGACTTTATATATTAATCACAACACTGATCATTTCAAGTTCTAGCCAAAGCTCCCAGAGTGGTGTACACCCTTCCATTCTAGTGGTACCTATCTATAGTTGTATGATAAGTAAAGTATATACTGACTACACACACACAAAAAAACCCCTTCCCTTGGTTCTGATTTTAGCCTTGGTTCTAGCCTCCCCTAAAGCAGAGAGGAGCCATCTCCCATCACTGAGGGACCCTCCACCAATGCACTAGGGAAGTTTGGTGGCATAATACACTCTGTACTCCACAGGGCACCTGCAAAACCACCTAAAGATTCCTACTTCCAGTAGAATTACAACTAGATCCAAAGACATGGCAGAAATTGCAAGATCATACCATGATAACCTCCAATGGGCAGACTTATAGGAAACAAGCAGTGATCTAAGACATGAAACAATACAGAAAGTTCTAAGAGAGATACTGGATGAACAAAAATTAGCAAACCCACTGCAAAGCCCACTGGGTGACCCAATCCAAGAATTAGACATAAGAGCTAGTTCGGCAACTCGATATTTTCGATATTTTTCAATATTTGCTTTGGCATGTTTGCGAAAATGTTCACCGGCATCGTTCCGAGATGTCGGAGCTCGAACCTTGCTTCTCTCCTACTGTACATATTATCAATGGATGTATACCCTCATCTAACCCTAGAGCGGCGTAAGAGGCTTTTTGCTGGTGCGGTCGCGATCACT